GCCGAAGGGCCGCGAGTCGGGGAGGGCCAGCCCGGGGCGAGGGGAGGCCGAGGCCGAGGCACATGCGCTGCTGGATTCGGCAGGGGCTGCCCAGGCACCCGCGTGCCTGCCCGGCTTTGATGCTCCTGTGGCCCGCTCTCCCAGAACCGGGGCTCCATTGTCCTCGGCTCGGCGCGGAATTGTTATTATTATTGTTACATTTATATGCCGCCCCGTAGCCCATAGGGCTCTCTGGGCGGCTTACAACAGAACAATAGAACAAGAGCCGGGGTCAGACTAGATGGCCCCGGGGTCCCTTATGACTCGCTCTCTATCTGTGTGCCTAAGAAAATGCATATGCCACACAAATGCGATAATGCATTCGAGCAATACAATCAAGGAATACAATATTAAAGTGTAAGCAATAAAAAAACAAAACTTACTATAATAATAATACATAATATAATAGTATATGCCTGGAGGAGTATTTTTCATGGGGTCACAAAGAGCTGGGGCTGTTAATATATGTTGCTTCCACGCAACTTCGTGGCAGAGTTCTCTGGAAGGAAGTTTATTGTTGCTGCTGCATCTGGATATTGCAAAAATGCAGATGCACAATTTTCTTGGCACATTTGTCCAACCCCTCCCCCCAAACTGGGGGTGCACCTGACCTGCTCTTGAGTACCCGAAGGGTGGGTTAGCTCCTCCATAGCAGGCTTAGTTTTCTGAAACCATAGAGGGGATCAGTGTCCTATTCTAAGGTTTCCACGCTTCACCGTGGCTTCTCCGGTCATCTGGACATGGGATTGCCATTTTGTCATTGTTGGTTATGGGAATGCCATGGAGTCCCCTGGCAAGAGTGGCTATAGAATCGGTTGCAGAAGTGGCTGCCTCTTGCCCTTCCTCTCTGCTGCCCTCAGTTCCCTAGCAATGGATGGATGCATCACTTTATTCCCATTAGCTGAGCAGCGTGTCTGTCTCCCTGTGAGCTTGGAAGTGGTGCAAAAATACATGGAGGGAGAAGTAGCTGCCCCTTAAGCAGGTGCGAGGGATGGCCGTTGGGAGGGGGGCCTTTTCTGCAGCTGCTCCCCATATTTAGATGCTCTGCCCAAGGAGATTCTCCTGACACCTTCCTTCCTTTCTTTTCTGTGCCAGGCAAAGACCTTTCTTTTTTAAAAAATATTTTAATAACTAATGCCATATGACCTTGGTTTTGTATTTTCTGCTTGTTCTTTAAATCGCTGTTTCATTTTTAATGTATTATTTGTTTTTGCTGTATTTTTATTCTGTTTTTATCTTATAATTGTGAGCTGCCCAGAGGTGCTGTGACACAACTGGGCGGCATACAAATGTTTTAAATAAATAAATAAATAGGGACTCGTGACAAAAGTATTTATTTTATTTTCATCAAAGCCTTTGGGGGCTCGGGGGCCCTGGGGAGTCCTGCAGACCATCACATACTCTTGGGAGGAGCAGGAAGGAACCCCCTTCAGGGCCCCTGCAGACAAATCGGGGGGAGGCTCCTGCGGTAGCCTAGGCAAGAACAGGGCAAGGATGGAGTTTTCACATGTTGGGCCTGCCAGGATGCCTGGAGGGGAGGGAGGATGTAGCAGGGAGCACAGAAACCACACTGCCCGGGTGTGATTGTCTGCCTGGTACGTTCCAGCCAACAATCCACACGCTGTGGTGACAACATGGGATTGTTTGCTGTGTCCTGTGAACCCAGCCAAAATCTCTTGTTTTCTGTGGTTGGAGCAAGAATGGTGCTGCTTTTTAACCACTTTTATAGCCACAGTTGGAATTTTGTCATACACAAGCTTGTTGATGAGTTCATATTGGGAGACAGGTGGATTTGCCCAATACAGTCTTCAGTGTGTGTGTGTGTGAGTGTGTGTGTTTAAATCGAGTCTTAATATAACACAAAAGCAAAGTAGAATGTGAGGCTAGCAGTGTTACAGGGCATTGTGAGAGAACTCGAGTGGTGCAGATGGAGGAACTAAACCACTCTCCCGAGGATTCCGTCCAAGCTTCTTTTCTCTTTTCACACGATTTCCATTCCCCTGGCAGATGACATACTGACAAATGGCAAATCCTGCAGGAGAGATAGATCAACAAGGGGAAAGGTCTAGATTAATTAAGATTCCATGGTGCTTTAGCCAAGAGATGTGAGGATTTGCTTTTATATATTTTATTTTGCCTCTCCCTTGATCAAATAATTAGCATGCATCATAAGCATGTCCTGGGTTTCTATGGAAACATTAAATAGCACCCTCCCACAGCTACCACTTCCTTTCAAGAAGCTTACCAAGGGTGAAATAGAGAAGGTTAGAAACTTTTCCCTTTACAAAGCAACCCTCACGATGGGAAAACAAGCTTCCCCTTGCTCCGGGCTCCAGTTTGTTTGTTTCCATTTCTGTGCCACCCCATAACCATTTTAGACAGTGTTGTCCAGAATTAACCCATCTTTTACATTTATTTCATCTAATCTATAATGGGTCTGTAGTTTTGAGGAAATAACTCTTGCAAGTCCTTGGTATTTGAAGACCCAGGTATTCTATCCATGTGGTGAACCTGTTTTTGGGGTGAGGTTGAGTTGAGCACCACGGAAGGTTCATATGATGCTCAGGAGAAATCTTCCCCTGCTCTTTGCCAAGTACAGTCGTACCTTGGCTCACGAACGCCTTGGTTCACAAACAAATCAGGCCACGAACAAAAATTTCTGAAAAATTTTGACTTGGGTTGTGAACTCCGCATTGGGTGGTGACCAAGATCGCAGCCATCTCCCCGCACCCCGAGTGGGGAGATGGCCATGATCCCAGTCGCTTTCATGCAGGGAAGGCGTGTGTGATCGGAGGAGTGCTGCTGCAGGAAGGACCGGCGGAATCTCAGCCGTCTCCCCGCGGCTCTGCTTTGCTGCTCCTGTCTTCCCTGCAGCAGCTGCCTCGCCGCAGGGGCACGCGTGTGCGCACGTGCGTGTGGGGAGTGCAACACCTCTGTGGCAGGCTGGATAAATGAGCGTGGTGGGCCGGATCTGACTCACGAGCCGCAGTTTGAGGACCCGTGAGCTAAAGAAAAGAAGCAGTATATGCAAATGTGCATGCTACTTTTCAAAAAAAGGGGTTGGACTACAAATTGTTTTCTGTGCTCTTGGGTGATTTGTACTGTTTTCTTTAGGTCCCCAAATACTTGTCTCAGCAGTGGAGTAAAGCTTCAGGAAGAGGTGAAGTGGGGAAGCTGAGAATTGCCAAGTAAGAGCATTTATATTCTGCATTGCGTAGCTCAGGGTTTGAGCAGCGATGGTGAATGTGTGAGGCCTCTGCGTTTGCTCCCACCGGGCCAGAATTTCTGGCCCACTCCTGTTAGGTTCCTGGCTGCTAGTGCATGTATGGGCACAGCAGCATTATCATACTCCTACCAGTTGTATTGTAATTAATAGACATGCTGAAAATTTATTGCTTGTATGGTAAATGTTCTGAGGAAGAAAAGCATTAAAATATTATATCCTTTGTTTCACAGAAATCAAGGAAGAACTGAAGTAAGTAAATAAAATGCAAATATTATTACACAATTTTGTATTGCAGCATGTTAATTCATGACAGAATTCCTTTTAAATTATTAAATGCTGCCGTTACATAAGGTTTTGTGTGGTTGTTGACCAGGTCCACTCTTGCTTAGGGTCAGCCATGTTGCTGCATCAGCTGAACACAGATAATTAAGTGACCTGACAGAAAACGTTCTTGCAATGCTAACTAATAATTGACTTTTAAAAGGAAGATAGTTTTGTAAGTGTTGGCAGTAGCACATGCAACGCAAAAGGCCTTTTATAACAATTGAGTTGTCCTGTGCTTTCTTGGTAGAAAAAGAAGCTTGTTTACTTGCTATACACTGAGCAAAAGCACCTATGCATTGGAAAATCCTTTGCAAAAATGGGAAAATAGAATAAATTGCTTCCCCCAGGCTTCTGCCCTCTCTTTAGATGGAGGGACTGAGGAAAGTGAGGGACCAAGAGGACAAGAAGCGGCCTTTAAGTAGCGCTGAGTCAGAGGGGATGTTAGGGCTTGTGGGCAAGGAGATCAAAGGGAGGCGCCTCTGCAAGGAGAGTGGCTTTTCCTGGGTGCAAATTTGAACTGAGCAGCCAGGTGTCTGACTCTGGGGCTGCTGCCCAGTTGCACAAACTTTACTGGGATTCTTCCCTCACTCAGAAGACCCTGATTTGCACCAATGCATCATTCGGGCTAACAGTTGGTTACCTTCAGGCCATGAAGGTATTTCTTAGGTCAAAAAATCAGACGATTATTGAAGTAGGCCATACTGGGCTTCATGCAGAACTGGTCCTCACTCATTATAAGGATAACATCTTACAGTCTGTTTCAGTTTGTGGGCTTTTTAAAGTATTCTTTTACTGACTTTTTACAGTAGAAAATGATTGTGCATTAAATGTGGGTAAGCTATTGCACTTAATTTTGCAGTTCCTGTTATCCTAGCATAATGCACAACTGCTTCTGCAAATGAAACTTTATTGGGTTCTCTTCGCACAAGCGTAATGGGTGGCCACTTGCGCAGCGGAAAGATTCATGGGCACGTGCCTGGCATCATTTCTGTTTGCTCAATAACATCGTTGGATACAACTTCCAGCATGCAATGGCAGCCCACATCTGATATTGTTACTGTATATGGTTTCAGTTTCCGCCGCTTAAAACCTTGCACACAAATTGTAGTATGGCCCACACGGCGATAGACTGCATTCACAGTTCACAAGGTGTGTCTGGCCCCCGCACTGATGCTGGGCAAAGGCCTTTCTCAAACCCTATACAGCATATGGAATATATTTTCTTTGTCCTTCCAAAATGTTCAGAAGCAGTTGACGGTTCTTTCTAAGAAATAGTTAATGGTATTTGTGGTGTTCAGGTATCATTCACTTTGAATGAAGATCTTGCAAACATTGATGATATCGGTGGAAAGCCGACTTCCATCAGCGCACCCAGAGAACATCCTTTTCTTCTACAAAGCGTGGGAGGACAAACATTAACAGTGTTTACGGAGAGCTTTGTGGGTAAGTTGGATGGAAAAATGGCTGCCAATCAAGCCCCTGTGTCCATTGATGCTCTTTCATTGAACTGAGGTTGAATTTTTGTCCTTAGCCAGAAATTTGAAACGTATTCTCCTTTTGGAAAGCAATGTTGGAATTAAAATTTTGGAGTCAGAAACTGAGTGTTACTCTGAAGCATCCTAACATCCATTTCAAGTTTAGCGTCTATTTCTCCTTAGTTTAATTTATTTAGTCTCTGAACTAAGAGCCTTACTGTCACCCTGCACATTTTTTGCTGGTCTAGCAAAGCCAATTTGGAGGGGATGGGAGGAAAACTGGAGGGGTCTCAGAATGGCTGAGAGGCGCCTTGGCCTCTCCAGCCTCCTCCCCCCCATTGAAATGCCACCTTTCCCCCTTCTCCACGGTGCTTGGACTCTCTTCATTGCTGGCTGTGAAGAGGGTCAGGGCGCTGATCCTGCCCCCTCCTCGAGCTGGGGTGCTGTGTCCTGCCTCCAGTTTGCCTCGGGGCCACAGTGTTGCTTCTTTACCTCCTTTTTGAGTGGTTTACAGCATAGGAAGCCAGAGTTATATAAACGTAGTAAAACAAAGCACCACAAATGTTGATGCTCACAAGTTTGGCAAAATAGTGGTTTCACGAGCTTTGGAAAACAAACAAGCTACTTCCTAAGGGAGAGCACTTGGTTCTGGGACAGGAGGGCTTGCAACTGAATAACCAGCTGCTGTGAAGAGCGTGGCAGAGCCATGCTGAGCCGCTGTCTCCTACCTGGTGCCTTCCTGGTTGTGACCGTACCTCTTAGCACACCTGAATATCATCCATATGGGTTGGGGTTGACGGGAGTTGGTCCAAAACATTTGGTGGGTACCAGGCTAAGGAAAGTTGGTCTCTGTTATCCCACCTTCCATATTCCCCTCCTGAAAACTACAAGTGTTTTGTTTCTGTGGCTCCCCACCTTAAAGCTGTCTCAACTTTAAAGCTTGTAACCTTTCTCACCAAAAGTCGTGCTGTATGTCTTTTAGAAACCTGGCAGCCTGGCTCCTCGTGCATGAATATGGGACTGTTGCCCCACCAGAGGCAACAGCTCATGAGATGAACAAAATGAGATTTTGCTAAGGGAATTGTTTACACGGGGGTGTAAACTGTTGCTTTTTAAACTACAAGGATCCTTTGAATCGCTTGTGAGGGAATATTCTTATTCACTGCTCCTAATATATCCAAAGAGTTGTTCCCAGAAAATAGGCTCCCCATAGCTTTTTCCACAGAGCAGATTTTTCTAAACTCTACTCCTCTCAATCCTTGGCAACCAGGAACACAGGCTGGGCATTTTCTGAAGTTCCTTCTGGTCAGAGCTCTGCCCAGAGCCTTCTAGTGCTGAGCTCTGCTGTCTTCTTGGAACTTCACCACAGTCTCATTCTGTGGAAGCTCTGAATTTCTCGGTCTCTTCTCAGATTGACGTTCTCCTTTTACCAGCTCTCAGGTCTTTGGCCAGTGGCCCTCTTCTGCTCTGCTCCTCCTTTGCCCTCCTCAGCCAACAACCTTTAAGTGTCTCCAACGATGCCCTGACCAACCTTTACCGAAATCTCTTGGCCAGGTGGTCTAAGTGCCAGTCCCGCTGCAGATCCTGCCTGCCCTGGCCTAGCCCCGTGGGAGCTTCTCCCCGCCCGTCCTTCTGAAACGGTCACCTTTGCACCTCTCCCAGCTGCATCTACACCAACATCTCCATCCCTGGTCCTGGTCCTGCAGCCAGACATACCTGTGGCCTACGCCCTGGCCTGCCCCCGTGGCTCCGCAGCACTCAGGCAACAGCAGCAGGCTGAACCTGCGCTATTCTGTGACTCGCCACGTTCTCTGCAGGGACCATTTTCTGGTGATGCTCACTGCAGTCCCTCGCAGATGCTCCCACAGGGTGAAGAAGGGTCGGCAGCCCTGCTCTTCAGGGAATTTTAATTCCTGTGTGTTTGGAGCCACTGCAAATTTTTCTATGGAGTTCCTTCAGCTTTTGTCCTGTGAGCCCCATAGCCCACTCTCAGCATGCTGGCCAGAATTGGTTTTCGATGGCTCAAGATTTAAAATGTCACTGTCTAAAGTTGCCTGCTTGGTTGGTAAATGAGAGTCACAGCTATTTGTCATCTTTGCTGGGCTATTTTGTTTGTTCATGAAATATCAACTGCATTTCCTTCTATAAACATCACCAGTTGTACATCACCAGTTGCCATGCAACAGTGCAATTTGTGCTTCACATTATTTTGTCTTCATTGCCATCCCAATTTTACATCTCTTGCATATATTTCAATTTTAATAGGCCACCTCGAGCAAATTAGGTGTTTCCTTTCTGAAATACATAGTTACAGTATAACTGGATGACTAATGACACTTCATTTTAGATTGAGTGGCATTTTAGCTACCTAACAGTAATGATACAGTGCTGCAGAGAAAAGGGGTTTAGAAACAGTGGTGATTATCAGAAATAGCAGTCTCATGGCACCTTAAAGACACCTTATTCCTTCATGGGCTTCACTCCTTTGCGTCCAGAGCGGCAGGAAGACACCATGGCATTTGGCAGCCAGGAATATGATACCCATGAGCAAAAGCGGGGCGGATTACTCAGCTGCCTTTCAGGCCACACATGTAAGGTTAGATCGGGCACTACAAAACCCGTCAGAGCTGCATATATTTGGGAAGCCTCACAGTGGCCTGTAGGTACAGTCAGTGAAATGATGCTTGCTCCCCTCCAGGCCTGTCTCCCAGAGGCTACTCTCTGGAGGGTGCCGTATTCCCATGCCTGCGTTCTTTTTCTGGTCCCTCCCCACAGCACACCTGGCTGCATCACTTCTTAGAGCGTCTTCCTGAGGAGACGACTGATTCGAAGTGGTCCTTGAAGGAGCCCCCAAAAATGGATGCTTCCCAGGAAAGTTCATTGGAATTGCGACCCGCTGTGGTCTCCTTGGGGGCAGGGGGAATGGGGGGAGTGGCCGTGGAGGCGTTGCAGAGAGAAAGGCACTCGCCTTCCGTGGGAAGGTGGACCCATCAGGTGCGACTGGGGGGGGGGGGGGAGTGGCAGCGATGACAAGGCACACGGGTCTTCTCCTCCCAGGGGCCCAGCAGGTAGGGGGACGGCAGCACAGACGGGTGCCCTGGGGAGCCTGGGAGCGGAGGGGAGGCAGAGGCAGAAGAGCAGTGCATGGGAAGGGGTTCGTTTTTGGGAGTCATTGGGAAAGTAGGCGAGCTTGCAGCAGTCGTAGGGCTGCAGGGGCAGCAGGAGCCGGAGGACCTCCCACCGCAAGGGGTTGCAGGATGCAGGTGGCAGGCAGGGGCCCTCGAGCCGTGTCCCGCTGCCTGCCGGAGGCCTGGGGAAAGCAGGGGAGAATGGCCCACAGAGAGCCCGTTCCGCCCCTGGCACATGGTGGGTTGTCCCACGAGCACCCAACCTGCTGCGGCTTGTTGACAGTGATGGGCAAACGTGGTCTGGCATGCTGCCCACTGTGCAGTGTGCCCGTTGTGAATGTGAAACCGGGCGGCGCATCACGACAGCCCGATGGCGTTCTCTTTGCACGAGGCACCTGGTGTCAAGAGACGTTCTAGCTTCTTCCTTGCATTCTGGTATTCTGTGTCCATGCCAGGCTGTTCATTTCTACGAGCCCTCCCTGGAAGCACACCATCCCGTGAGAAAATTAGATCTGTGCAAAAGCTTCTTTAAGAGATTGAAGGCTTAGCTTACACAATAGATTATTAATAGCTCCTACAACATTTTAAATCAAATTACAAAGTGTGGATTTTAGAAAGAGATTCTGTGCTCCCATTTTATTTTATTTTTTTACTTTTCTAGCCCACTTTCTGTTGGAAGACACCACTTTGGTGTTTTATACACGAGTAATTATAGCACACTAGCACATTCCATAAGAAATTCATTTATAAGCAGCATAATTCTTTAATCTCTTTTTAATCTGTTTGGCAAACATGGCATATAAAGAGCCTCATCTGAATGCCTTTTCACTCCACAAAATCCCACTGACCAAAGAGCCACCTTCAGCTTAATGAATATTTAATAATTAATAATGCCCTTTAAAATCCGAACGAGGCCGTCAATGTTTGCCGCAAAGCTGTGCAGTTCCCTTGCAACAGGAATGCCGTTGGTTGTGCTGAACGTGGGCAAAGCGGCACCTTCTGGTCCTCCTTACCTGCCGTCGAAAGCTGCACGGACGCTTGGTTTCTCAGTCCTCTCAGTCTAGTTACCTAATCTTAAAATCTGGTTATCTATCCAGTGGTTTATCAAATCGAGTGGGTTCCCTCCCCACAGTTCTTTTGAGGTGGCTTTTGTTTGGGTAACGCTGAGTTGGAGAGGCCACCAGGGTTAGCAGGTTGGGCAGTGGGCCCCCTCCACCCCAAGGGAGTCCCACACTTTGCACCCGTTCCATAACCCCTTCATCGGAAGGGTCTTCTACTCAGTACCAAGTGGGATGTTGTGTGGTATGCAACAACTTGTAGAATCAGGCTACACATGGAAAACAGAAGCATACTCGCAGTTTTCCCTTTCCCTCGTGGAAGCTTACACGGGATTCTACTCTGTTGGACAGCCGGTAGAGAATAAAGTACTGGAAAATGCACCTGCTGGATTCAGTTGAATGGTAAGAGGGGTCCAGGCATATGCCTTTGAAATGGTTTGATTGACTTAATCACAGCTGTAGATGCTACATTATTTTGGCAGGAATTGAGAATTATGTAGCCGAATGCACACAGATGGTGTTCTCTCTCCCCTTCCCTGTCATCTTCTGGAAGTCCTGTGTGTCTGCGCCTTGACGTGGTGCAGAGACTTGATTCCAGAGACCGGCATGGAGCTTAGAAGTTTTGCTGCACATGAGTTCACTGTACAGTCTTGCAGATTTAGGGGCCTTAGGCCTGTACAGGTGAAAGCATCTCCTGCCTCCTGTGTCTCCTGCTTCTCTCTCATTGGGGCACACATGGAGATTGAATGGCTAGAGTGCCTCCTGCAGTTGCTGCTCTTTCCGGAAGACTCTGTGGTAGTTGTGACCATGGGAACCATGATACTGGGTTCAGACACCACGGCAAGTGATGGTGGAGCAGAGAAACTGTATAAAAATCTGTTGTTTCTTATTGTGGTTCCTTAAGACCAAACCGCAGCTGGGTTCAGACAACACAACAAACCACCAGTGGTACCAAAAACCCACAGCACTTGCTGTGTTGTCTGCACCCAGCCTGTGTGTGCGTTTGTGTATGTGCACGTGAGAGAGAGAGTTCTAGGTTGGAGGTTGGCGTGAGAAGGGAAAAGAGACACTGGAGTTTAGAAAGAAATAATGACAAGTCGCATGCAGTTTTGTGTTGATCTGTGGAGAGCAAGAGCAAAACAAACATTTTAAGAAATGACATTTTTCTACACTGAAATGTTAGTGCAATTAGACAAGATGCAAATGGAGGTGGTATTTTGTATAAACAGAAAAGTGGAAAGACATGGCGTGTTTTTGCTTTATGAGCATCTAAAAGTTGGTGGAAATGTAAACTACATCGAGTGCAGGTCTAGAAGGCGGGGGGAGGGGTGTAGCATGTGGGAGTGACAAGCTATTGCGTCACGCCACATTTTTCTGAGCTTGCAGGAGGGACCCATCCGTAGGTCAGGAATGACTCTGCAAGCTGCACCATCTGCTGGAGATGCGCCAGGCCTTCGTTCTAACGCCAGGCCCAAGCGTGTTTTCACATACGTTCTGTTGAGATGAGCGTGGCTGACTCAAGAAAGGGTACTTGGGAAGGCAGCCCAGGGCTCTGCGAGTTGGGGAAGGAGAACAGGCGTGCCGTGTATTATCCGCTTTCAGGAGCGAGTGCTGTGCAGATTGAGATGGCAGCGCTAGGATCCCTTGGCAGCAGCCCCCACTGAATTTAGCGGGCTTTACATCTGGATAACATGCAGCGCCTAGTGAGCGATCGTGTGGTAGCTGGCCAGCTCTGCAGGGTTTCACACTTGGGAACGTTCTGGGTCGTTTCCTGAGCTTCGCTGTAATGAACACAGGACCCCAGCGAAGGGTGACTCGCTTGTCCAGCTCTGGAGAGTCAACCCCATTCGGGGTCCAGGGAAGTGGAAACGAGCTTCCCACAAATACACTGGAAAGGGATTCAAAACGTGGCGTGTTGAATATCCACAGTGGGTCAAGATTGCACAAAAGATCTTGTGTTCTTTATGCCTTCACTGTAGGCAGTTTAGGCACAGGAGTGTAAATTCAGATCCAGCCCACCTGGGGTCCCAGTTTGACCTTCTGTGTTTCCTCAAAAGGCTATGTCCCTGGTCCCGGTCCCAGTCCTGGTCCCTTTCCCAACCACCAATTGTTTAGGGCATTTTTTATGCACCCCCCCCCAAAAAAAGGTTGAAATGCCACCCCTAACACTTGGTTGCTGGCAGAAAGAGCCTCAGCTGTACCATGCTGGCAGGTGTGGTCGGGCCCCTCTCTCGTTCTGCCTTCAGCCTTGCCTGCCACCGGCATGCACCCCAGCCACATCTGCTCCAACTCACAGCTCCACCCCGGGGCTCAAAGAGGCTCTGTGCTCCGCTTTGGCAGTCCGAAAGGTAGCCTTGCAAGTAATAACATGATGGCACTGCAGGCCACCAGACCCTCAGCTTTGCTTTGTTGTTGTTTCCAGAGTGCCCAACGGATGAAAAACCTGAGAGCAGCAGCTGCGGTAAGTAAGTGTTGCTGATAAATTGCTGTTCTGAATGTTGGCATTTGACCTTCTGTTTAAGGATCATTAAGAGGATGTAGACCTCAGTATAGCTGAAAAAAGCTAAACAAGCGGATCCATTTCAAAATGTAAAGATACTTGGGAGAAAATCTATTGTTTGGAATCTTTTAAAAGGTTTGACTATCTAATAGCATTGAGTTGCTATGGTCCTTTTGGTTTGCTTGCTTTTGTTAACCAGTACAGAAGCCAGTTTCAATTTCTCTACAAATAAAAACTTCAATTAGCATCATAATTTCAAAAATACACCTCTGATTTGCCCCAAACACCACAAATTACTACAAGCCGCTCACACTATATTCGGTTAAATGTCAGCTCATGCATACTCCTTCAGTCTGCAATATTTCATTCCTTATTGCTTTTCAGATGCTTCATTATTCACATCTTAGCCCCCAGGACTTCATTCAAGATGTGTTTTGCATTGAGCACACTCAAACTCAATATTGAATTTATCTGTTTAATTTCTTTGTAAAATCTGTTAGCAAATAAGCATTGGCAAAGCATTGTTTTATTTGAGGTTTCTCCCTCTGATTACAAGGTGTTAGAATACAATAACAAATATATCTCCCTCAGTTGGTATTTGCAAGCATGATTCGTATTCTTAAATTATGAGTGTATCTAGAATTTTACAAGGGCGTTTGTCCAAAAGCAGCACAAGCTCCACTAATTCTAAGTATATGAACACAAACAAGCATGGCTGCTTGCGTGCACACACTGAGGATTTGGCAGGTGGGCATCTGTCGGGTTCCCTCGTCTTGGCTGCCTGCATTCTGGAAAGCTTCCTTGCAGCTGTGAGTCTGAGCGCACCACCCTTCGTGCCCTCCAAGAAGCGAGCCTGGGGGGACGCTACGCAAGCTGCGCTCCTCTTCCGCATATGTGGCTTAGGTCTTGGTGCTTCTTGTGCTCTGGGAGCAGGCTGCTGGCTGGGCAGCCAGTTCCACAAGTGCTGGCCTGGTGCAGAACACACAGCAGCCCATCATTAAACAAGGTGTCACCAGGTTCCCATGACATGGAAAGCCACCCGAGCGCAGATGGTGGGGCACATTGTCCAAAACGGGTGCGCGCTTCTCACAAGATGGCTCGTCACTCAGCAGCTGGGTTTATGCATCGCCCCGTGAAGACATTTATGCGCTCAAAGTGTTGTCCGGACCCAGAGGACACGTCAAGCGCGAGGCTGGCCAAAACTGCTGGGGAGTCACTTGGCCGAGTGGCGAAAGGGGCTTGTGCTCAAGCTGAGCGATCCGTCCACAAGGATGTTGGAAACCTCATCCGTTTGTGCCTCACATTTTAGAGGAATCCTTTACATGCAGGAAGCCCTGTGTGCAGAGATGGTTTTCTTTTAGGAAACAACTCTCCTGGCCCCCTTGGCCAGCATGGCAGCTTCTGCCAACTTCTCGGTATTTCCCAGTGCAAGACGAGGACCTGCTGTTCTTCACTGCTGCCTAGTGAGGTTTTCGGGCCAGGCCAGCTGTGCACCAGGGTGAAGCATGGAAGGAACGGGTGTCTGGTGCAGCAAGATTATTTTTCAGGCATGTATCCAAGCACGATGCACTATTTTATGTTGCGCTTCAGTTTCAGAAGTATCTGAAACAGACACTTTAGGCCTCCCATGTCCTGGTATCTCGATTAGAAACATCATTCATATTTTAACATATCCCTAAAATGCTGTTTTTAGTCACCGTGCCTGGGGAGTGCACAGTGTACTCTTCCCCGCCGCCCAGCACACTGCTTGGCATTGCCATGCCTTCATACTGGGAAAAAGTGGTGCCCCAAGCCCAGTGCCCCAAACCTCCCACACAGTGCTCTCAAGTTCCACAACACCGTTGCCTTTACTGGCAAGGCTCTCACTTGCTGCTCTGGATTTCTGGGTGGAAAGCACAGCAGCGGCTTTGTTTTCCACACTCGGCACGTGCCCTGAAACCACTCCCGTATTGTAGAAGGCAGAAGAGACTTCAGCTGGAGGTTTCCAGCCTTTCCTCCTCTGGCAGCTCTGATTATGACCCTCCCAGCAGCTCGCTCCTGGCCTTGTGATGCTGTGTGGAGGAAGCAGCCTTTCTTCTCAAATACCTGTTTTATGCACAGACAGCCCAGTGCTCGAGGGACTGTGTTATGGGCACCCTATTTTCCTGGCTCCCGGCAGTAAAGCAGCAGGGAGAGTGACTAAGTGGTGGCATCGCAGCAGAAGTAACGGGGAAAAGAAGTCTTGTTGGAGAAATCAAGCGAGAATGTGCGGGTGGGGGGGGGTTGCATATTTGCATTTCCTCGAAACAAAGCTTTTTTCCATCCTCACCTCCCCCCCAATATTTTACTTGCCGCCAGGGAAGACCTTGCTTGGTGTTAGTACCTAAATGGCCTGTTTTAGAAAGTAATTATTGCTTAAAGCTCCTTTCTGGAGCTTGGGTCCCGGAGACATTTTAATTTCTTCATAACCAATTCGCTGGGCCTGGGAGAGTTGCTATTATTTTTTTGCGCAGTGTCCTTTCCGGGCCTGTCCAGCTGCGCAGGGATCCGTGCTTCCGAGCTGAGCGTGGCAGCTGGGTGTTGATGCCTCTGGTCAGGACACTCTTGTGTCTGCCCCGCCCCGCCTCGCTGCAGTCATGCCGTTCCCCGTTTATATTCCATATTGTCTTTTATTGGCTGCTGCATCCTGCCTAGAGAGCTTTCGCTAAGAATTAATCACCATATTGCACAGGTTAGTCAATGCGCCTCCAAACCACAGGCCCCTTTCACTCCCACTCATGTTCCCGTATGGATTTCTCCTTTAACGACTTGCCTGTTTTAATTATAATCTGGCCAGAATCAGATACTGCACTTCAAACCACGGTGCCTTATTCTCTCTGGGCAGGCAAGTATTCATCACCGGCTGCCACGCTGGACACGGGGGCAAGCCAGTCTTAGTGCTGAACGGCGAACAGGAGGAGGGAGGGCGAAGCCACCTCTCGGCTCGCCGTGCTCCGAACCGTCGCCTCCCAGGGCGCCGCTGCGCTGATGCTGCTGGCTCCATTTATTAATAGCCACTCCCCTGATGGTCCCAGGTTCCAGTCCCTGGGTGTTACCAGGATGATAGCGTGCTTGCTGCTCCGCTAGATAGTCTGTTCAAGTCGTATCTAGATCTGACTGCACACGTCGTGACTAACCGACACAAAGGCAGCCACAGCTGGGTCGTATGACCCTGGCTGATGCGCAGCCGCCCCCTGGTTCTTGGAAACTCGTGCAGGCAGCAAAACCAGGAGAGGAGTTGCATGCCTGGGGCTGGGTTTGGCTTGCCAGGCAGGCCTGCTTCAGACAAAGGGCCTCTGCACCTAGGTGAGTCGTGGGAGGGACTGTGGCTTATGGGCTGCATTGCATGGGAGAGGCTCTTGCTTAACCCCACTGCCATCCGCCTGGCCTGGGCTGGGCTGGGTGGAGCGTGGCCGAAGGCAGCTGCCTGTTCTGCCTGGCACTCCAACCTCCACGAGCCGTCCCCTTCTGACGGGCCGTGGAGGGGAGCCCACTGTAACTCTGTGCCCGTGGTTTGGGTTGCCCCTTGGGCAATTGCAGGGCGGAGAGAGGCTCCAGCTGTTCACATGACTGCTCAGCCGTGCATTGTCAGACCCGTGGAGAGGCTGCGCCGTGCGCCATGTTGAATACGCCTGGGTGATGTTGTGTCATGCAGGCCTGCAGAGCATGAGGGATGCCGATGCTAAACAGCCCTTCCATCACCCGTGGGCAGCTTTGCAGTTATACAAGGGTTGCTTTGCCTTATCATGACCCACGCTTACTAGATCTGCGCAAAATGACAACGCCCCAGTGGGGTTGTATATGCACCCTCCTGCTCATAGGTTGTGCAGCTCATCACGGACAAGGAGCTTTGGTGTGTTGTTGAAACCTGGTCTGTGTGTCTGTGAACAAAGCCAGGACTTGGTCCACTGCTCTGCCACTGACAGCCATCCGGCTGAATCTAGCTGCAGGATCCCTTACCATACAGTCGAGGATACCGTTTCCACATTGGCTAAATTACCAGTAAGCCCTTGCTGGTTCCTAGCATTTTGAAGTCTGGTGGACCATGGAAACCCCTTAACAAAACTTGTCCATCCAGTTAATGTTTGCTAATTAAGCATGCATCATGGAAAGGGAAGGCCCCTTCTCGAAGAGAAGCCGACCTAGCCCCTTCCTCTTTGCGTAGCGTCGTTGGTAACACACCGCAGTGTCATAATGATGTGGCACGGGAGGCAAACGACCAGTCCCGGCCATGACCGAAAGCCACATCCAGCCTGTGCTTCGCATCTTAATGTTCTGCAGTTGCTTAAAATCCCAATCGGCCCGTCATTGGAACTGATGGTTCAGTGCAAGCTCGTTCAGAGAAAATGGATGATGTGACACTTAATGAACAACACCCTCCTCCGTATTTTCTGCTTACACAGTCACATTTTTGACAGCACAGGAAACAGTGTTCTTATGATTTGTTAAAGTGGTTAGTGTGGTTAATGAGACTGCGGGCTGCCACATACCCTGTTCGTGTGCATTGGATCAGGGAAACATTGCCTCATCCATGGATCTGGCGTATGCATGGATGCCTGGCCAAATAGCAGAGTTGTGTGAAGTAGCCGGCACTGTTCTTCACGCTCCTAAAGGTGGTGGTCCTTGAGAGTTGTTGGCCCCGGCTGCAGTCCAGCCAAGTGAGGAGAGGCCGAGAAGGGTCAGGCATGCATGGAGCGCTGATGCTCAAGGCACGGGCATGTGATGTCTGGCCTGTGACAAAGTCACCAATCCAGAGTTACTGAAAAGGGGGTTTCTTGGAAACAGTTTCTAGTTTGGGTTCAGCAAACCTCTCTGTGCGTGCTCAGAGACTCTTCCTGTGTCGGTTATAAGTCTGCTGGCAGTATGTTGGACATAAAGTGCTTTTTGTCAAAGAACTGTCTGTTATTTGAGAGGGAGAAGGTAGGAAGCCAGCTCCCGACAGAGCCCTTTTGCTCACTGTTGTGATTCACATCTGCTTCTCATGTTGGTTTCATCTGCAGTGTTCCACTCGGGCAGAATATAGCATGCATGAGACTCCCCATTTTTTAGCTCAAAATACTTCTTTGAAGGAGGCTAGACTCAGAACGAATAATTTGTGTGAGGCCTCTCAGGGAATTTAGCCATTGTAGGGTTTTAAATGCATGTCTTTCCAACCCAAGAGGAGCCCACTCTGTTCCCCTACCCTTCAAATGAGGATGGCAGTATAAGAATACTGCAGAATGAAGTCCACGAAATGCAGTTGTTCACCTATCAATAAAAAGGAGGTTGAGATTAGGCAGAGGCTGATCTTCAGATGAACAGCAGCCATTTGCTCATGATGGCCTTTGGTTTGCAGGTCAGTTTAGCACAAACTCTTCGTCTGCTTGTGGCATCCATGTAAGGCACATACCACAACGACGTGGTGGTGAAGGTCTGCCTTCCCGCCGAGGTGCTGCCCCTTCTTCATTTCTCCTGACTTTTAATTTCTTGAATGAAACAGCAGGCTCGGAGAAGCATATGGTTGCTTCTGAACAGAGCTGAGGGAGCTCATCTCAGCATGTTCTGGCATGTTTCGTCTCTGTGTTTAAGAAAACAAGTGCACTGGGGAGAAGGCAGGCCGGAATGCTTTGCCCTGGTGCAGTTCCTTTCCTTCCACTTTGCATTTGGACGAGGGGAGCATCCGAAAATGGGGCGCATCCTGTCTCCGGAGGCCTCCTGGAAGGCTCTTTCCAGATGCACAGCCTTGGGTGCTGTTCCTGCAGGCAGACCAAGCCTTACCTTGGGAGGATGAGGGCCTAAGCCAAAGTCCAGCTTGCTAAGAATTAAGTACACATTGAGAGTCAACTTTTTATGCCAGTTCGTGGGGTCCTGCACCTGTCTTTGGGAAGCGTGGTTCCCTCTGGAATCTCATTCTGCTGCCTGGCAGTCATCCCAGACTTCCTGGAACAGGGCTGGGCAGCCTGCGTCTCCAGGGCTTCCTAAATGAGCCCTAATATCCAAAGGCACTGTTTACTAAACGTAGTAAAATTCCTCTTATTTTTTAAACTCTCCTTTTGCATAAATTACATCAAATCCCGTAAGCATCAATGAGCTTCTGTTCTCAGAAGAATAACTTGTACTGGGAGATTAGAAAAATTGTAGGGCACCAAGCTGTTGTTAAGCAAAGGCTCAGCTGCATCACGCTCGATTCCCTTGTATGGCGTTGCTCCCCGAGTTGCCCTCCCTCAGCCCCAAGCACTGTAAGCGGCAGTTACAGATCAGGGAACGGCCTTGGAAAGACAAACTTCTTCTTTCACTCTTTCATTCATTTCATTCTTTCAACACTTCCTTCCTGATGTTTCGAGCAGCAGCTTCTGTAAGCCCTGGCTTTAGCCCTGCCAGCTTCTGCTGGTACCCCAAAATATCTGGGGAGCACTAGATTTCCTGCACCTGTAAGGATGAGGGCAAGTTTTGTTCTGGAGGGGTGGGGTTGCTGTGAGTGTGCGTTGCTGAAGTTGGCCCCCAGAATTACAAAACCATGCATTTGGGAAGAGCCAGCTTCATGCCTGCACCAGGATTAATTCTTCCATCCCTCGCTGCTCTCCCCCATCCTTTCCCATCCCTCCGGAGGGGCTCAGCTTCTGCACGGTGTATCACTCTTGGTTCAGAGATGCCTGATTCTCAGCCCACACAGGCACGTGGTGGCAAACGGCCCCTTCTACCTCTCTTGCTCCGTTGCGCGTCCCTTCCTGCCCTCCACCCCACATCATAATTGCATTGCATGACTTTTGGGGGTTTATCCAGTCTTCTGTGTTGTGTGTTCAGGTTACTGCTGGTTAGTTCTAAAAAAGGAAACCCCCCCCTCACACACACGCACACACGTGCATGCACACCACCAAAAATGCTCCAGTGTATTTATTGATTTATATGTATGCGTCACCTTCTTTCCTGCAACGAAGCCAGGCCAGCTTGCATAATCGCCCTCCTCCTCTCCATTTTATCCTCATCACAGCCTTGTGAGGTAGGTTAGTCTGAGACTATGTGACTGGCCCAAAGTAACCCAGTGAGCTTAATAGCTGAGTGGGGACTAGAACCCAAATCGCCCCAGTCCCAGGCCTGCAGTCTAAGCACTATGTCATGTTATTCTTTTTTAAAGTACCCTTTCTTTCAACAACCGCCAAACGCAAGTGCTTACAGAAAGGCAATGGGATGTAAATCTCTCTTTCTAGAGTACCACGCAGGGTCGGGCATGTTTGGAGAAGGTGGAAGGCATCGATCAATATTTAAAGGAGATCTGCTAATGCCACGCTACTGTCAGAGCAATCCTTAAAAACTGCCCAGGGGGAGAGGGATGTGTTGCTCCCTTTCGGAGTGAGGGACCCTTTGCCAGGCAGTGGTTGTCAGGTGCACACAAAGCAACTCCTGCACGGCCGCACTTGCTCTTTGACAGTAGGTGGTTATCCAAACATTGGCCAGGCAAGAGTCCGGTTTGGGGGCAGCTGGAGGTGCCCATCAGCAGACCTTGGAAAGACAGGGAGACATAATTACGATCGCAGCTGCGTGCGTTTTTGCTGCTAGGACAGACCCACAATAGCATTGGTGCCAACGAAGCACCAGTCCGTCCCGGGTCCAACTCCCTAAAACAAGCCTTGTGTTGCCAGGGGGACACGTGCCCCCAGACCAAGCCGCCCTGTGGGAAATGGGCCAGCTGGAGGTGCCTGGTGGCCCGGGCAACTACCGTGTCAGCCCAGTTGCTAGCCAGGTGTGTGCTCTCTGGAAGAGGGAGCAGCCGCGTACCCTGTGCATGCCCGCCACGTGCCACCTCTTCTCTCCCAGCACCTGCAGAACAGTGACATCAGGTCCCGGCAAGGTGAGCTGCAGTCGGTAACTCCCAAACCAGCCCACAGACCGTGCCTGTCCCGCAGTTCCAGGGTGCCCCGCCCCACCCACCCTTCCTGGGCTCAGGTGACTTGGCAAGCATGTGCAGTGGTTATGGAAAGGAGGCGGCACATGGCAGGCTGGGGAAAGTCGCAGCCATGGCCTCTTCCCTCCCAGATGAGCACTCGGTGGCCCTGAAGCACGACTGCCTGTCCGTCTGATAGTCATACCCCGCTGCCTCTCCGTTCAAGGGACTCAAAGCGGCCCGCATCCTCCTCCTCCTCCGCCTGCTCTCCGTCTTATCCCGGCAGCAGCAACCCTGTGAGGTGGGTTGGGCTGACCAGCCCAGAGTCACCCAGCTGGCCCCACGGCTGCGCAGCAGCTAGGACCCGGATCCCCCGAGTCTCTTAACCATGACCCCACACTGGCTCACAGTTTTTCTCATGCAACGTGGTGTAGCAACACTGACATGTTTATACAGATACTGTAAAGATCGCCTCAAGTTAATGCATACAGCGTACTTTGAACTGTCAGAAACACTCCACCAGTGCCAAGTCGTTCCTATTTATTGACTTTTTGAGAATTACAATTCTGTGTTCCATAATGGGACTGTTTATATAATTTTTTACTTGCAGAAATATGGAAAACCTCTAGGCATAATTCTCAGTGCAATCTAGCCTGCAACCTTTCCTCATTCTGATTATTGACGTACGTTTCAGCTCATTGTTGTAGTCAGTTCAGAATGTAAACTTGGCAGAGAACCTGCTTTCACGTCCGTCTTCTGTCCAGAACCCATTTTGTACCGAGCATTGCAATCTGGATATCTTGGAATTATCTTCGGAGGGGTGACTATGATCTTGCAACAAAACCAGTGGAAACGCTTGTGTTTAAAGATCAGCAATTTTATTTTGTCATGATCTTTTGTTAACTTCTTTTGTCCACTTCCCTGGATGTACAAAGTGTTATATCTACTAACTGAGGTTAACAGGAGATTCTGGAAGAAAGAGAAGGAGGTGGAGAAAGCATCTGGATTTGTCCAACTGGATTTCTCCTACACCTTAGTCATCTCTTTTCAACTGCCTTATGCGAATGATCTTGATGACTTAATATCTCAATATTGTTGTGGTTTTATCAATATGCTTTTAAACCTTCTCAAAGGTTTACTATCTTGAATGTGGGATATAAATGTGATTAAATAAATTGGTTGGTTTTGATATATTGGCTTTTATGCTGATGAAATGGCAAACTTGGCTGTTACATCTTGGAAAGAAAGTCCTTTGATTCAAGAGTGAAAATTAAGTTTTGGGTTTTGTTTCTTGTTTGTGCAATGTTCCCAGGAAACATAGACATGCCACATTTACCAATTAATTATAGTGTAAAGCATATTATCTTTACAAAAGACAGATAAACATGGTTCCTTGTAAAAGTCATATCAACAAGTGGACTATCTGAAGTTCAAAAATTGGCTTCCTGGTTCATAAGCCAGTGCTCCTAGGTATGATGCTCTTGTTCAAAAGGAATAGGGTCTGCCTCAGGAGAAAACTGTTTTGGTAGTAAACGTAGTTTTTACTCTTCTGTTATCAGGCATTTCCTAAAAAACAGATATTTTTAAATGTAAAAATGGTGGATAGATTTGTTGTTCGAAGCTGTTCATTCTGGGATCTGTCATAAGCACTGATCTGTAGGGGACGGCACTCTTTTGGCAGGAAAGTTAGACTACCTGGCCTCACGGTTTCTTTCAGGCATCTGCTTCTGTAGCTGAAAATACGATGTTTTTAAATCTATAGGCCTTGAGATCCCCTGTATTATTAAAATCAAGAGGCTATCTTGATATATTCTCTTTAATTCCATTGTTCTGTAGAACTTCAGTATCATAGCTACATTTAAATCAACCAGTTAGAGGCGAAACTTAATTTCCATGTGAAAACCAGGATATATTCAGTAGAAAGGAGGTGCTTTGTCCATCGTTAAGAAGAAAATACTTCCTTCACTCTTGAATGGCCCGAGAGGTAAGGCATGTTAGCCAAAGAAGCATACAAACATTTTAGCTGCATGTTGGAAAGCATAGATGCAAATGGCTTCAGCATTCAGTCTGATTTTAACATGTTTAGTAAGTATCTTTTTATTAAATTTAGGCACAAAGAACCCATAGATGGATGTGGCAGTTTACATACCATTAGCTCACATTTGTTCATTAGCAGCAGTGCTGGGTGAATAAAGCATTTTGCGATGTCTTGAAGTTTAATGAGATTTGCAGGCTGCATGCTTGTGGCCTTTTGTCTATTGAGAGAAGAAGTAATTACTTGATAAAATGAAGTGCATCGCTGTGAACAATTGACCCTTTGGAGCAATCCAGGCTGGTCAGCAACCTAAATCCACATTTTAAAGCCATCATGATTGCTTCAAACTTAAGAGTTTCCAGGGTGCAAACAAAAGTGTTATCTTCCTTCAAAACAAGCCGAGTTCCATTTTCCGACTTGATGAAGTATTTAAACTGAATAATGTTGGAAGAGATTGAAAACTCCTCTGGAAAGCCATCCAGCCTGCTTTTGGACACCAGTACAATGCGAGATTTTATTTTTGTGATGAAATCAGGAGCATTGCAAAAAATTCGCAGGCCCTGGGAACGGTCGTGGCTGTCTGTTATCTCCAGGAAGGTGGTCTCCCTGGAGGCAAGCTGTTCCTTCTCCCACCTTGATTTCACTGCATCAGCCAACACTTTAAGCTGAAAGAATTCTGCCTCTTGTGCTAGAAGTTGGTTTTCTTTAAATCCCTCCGGTAGAAGCAGTTCCCCATTCCGCAGGAAGTTCAGGACATGCCTGAACAGCAGACCATCTCTGTCTATGAAATAATGGCCATCTGCGTCAGATGGGCACAGCATTTTCCCATTTACCACTCTTTCCAAAAAGGAGTCTGGGTGCTTGGTTAGTGTCTGCTTTTGCGTAACGTAAAGATATCCACCAACATTGAGAGTAATCGGAGACATGTTACAATTCTTGCCTGGATCGCAGCCCTCCCAGTCCTTGCTTTTATTATCGCGCTCCGTGTCGCGTCTGTGTGGTTTGTGCTCCATTCCGACGACCGCTTCCTCGCCTTGGCTTTCCGGTGGCCTCCGTTTGCGCTGTGGGGGATTTCTTCCGAAAGCGCCTTTATGCGGCTCTCGAGCGAGGAGAGCAGGGGCGAGCGCCAAGCATTCCCTCGGCTCGTCGGCACAGTTTTGCGGTAGGTGGCGTAGAAGCCGTGTGTGCCGTGTGGTTCTGGGAATATGACTGTGAGGCACAATTAGCATTTAACTGTGTAAGGGCAAGAAGATGGCTGGGATGAACGTGGTTCTGTCGGATACCCTTCCCTTCGAAGCCCAGGAGTTGGCGTGCTTGAGGGGTGCTCTTGTGGATGCTGGAGGAAATTTAACTCTTCCTTGGATTTGAACATTTAAACTGAAGCAGGGGCTTAGAAACGAAATGACAAATACTAGCCGTTTAACTTTGTGGTGAAATAGCTTTTTAAAAGGATTGACAAATCATAATCTTCTAAAAATCTGGATTACCAGTTCCAAAGATGATTGTGATTAACATCTTTGCGTATGACCCTAGACAGCAATTTGGGTAGTATCACATTTGCAGTTATGTTTAAAAGCAGTGTTAAAAAGCATGTATTGTATGAACAATTCACATGGGAAATCTGCTTTTTAACAACATAAGAAGAATGCATTCTGCATTTTTCTTTGGGAAGAAATATCCTTTATGGGCATAGAAAGGATGGCTAATTCTTACTATACATATTCCAATATATATGGAAATATTTGAGAGGTTACTTTATTTTCCATTAAAACAGTGCTGCTGTTTCTGTGTGAGGGAGAGCAGGCGGGTCTGTAACAAATCTTTGTACATCAGAGAACACCACAGCTTAGCAACACATCAGTGAGCGAGAGAAAATGCCACAGGATGCGACTGGAACGGCTGCCTCATTTCTCCCTGGGACAGAGGTGCCCTTCGAGCCCCATTGCCTTAAAAAATTGTCTTTAAAAATGAGCTCTTCCTTTTGCAAATATTTGCAGCCAGGCATGAGACAAAAGACGCTGTGAAAGTCTGGGTGTTTACTTCTGCAGAGAGGCTGCCAGATCCAGAAAGGAGGCAGCAGTGCCGGCAGCTTCGCATTCCACAGCAAGGAAAAGGAAGCATTAACTCCTTCAGCCTCCTTCACGGGCAGCCTTTGAATGAACAGCTGTGTGTGTGTGTGTGTGTGTGTGTGTGTACGTACATGCGCATGTGCGCGCACTCTAACAGATCTCAGCAGTAAGGAATAGGTCTGTAACCAGGGATGAGGATGAAGTCTGCCTTTCACGCATTGTAACGTGGAGGCTTCCCAGTCCATGACAAAAAGCTCACCTCTGGCATTGGTGGGGAGAGAGCAGGTCCTTCATCACCATCCGGTGGAAGTACCAGTCTTTTTACAGTGCTGCAGGTGCATTTATATCTCCCTTCTCAGTGTTTCTGGTAAAATGAAATGACATGTTTCATCCGTGTGTGTGTGTAGTTATGTACCAGAGAACCTCAAGGTGTTTGTGTTTTTCCCTCATATATCTGAGAGAAAGATGCTAGAGGCATTTCATATATAAGAAAAAATGCTAAGTTGCTTTCATATATATGAAAAATGCTAAATAGGTTTAGCATGCGTGCACACTCACACAGAGGAATTCTTGTACAACTCAGCAAAGAGCTGGCATCGTTGGAAAGGGCGCCCAGTCTGAAGAAACCTGAGCACTGAACCTCCTTTCTACAGTTCCATCGTCCTTGGTTCCTAAATCTGCAGTCTGCTCAGCTTCATCCCTTGTGCGGGATAGTCGCACAGCTGCTCGGAGAGCCAGCCTTTTAGTCTGGCGGAGCAGTTCTGCAAGCTCAGCTAAAAGTCTATTGAAATGGATGCGATGAGCTTGCGTGTGGAGGGGGACTGGCTGGGTAAGGATAATTTCTACCAAATCCTCTTGCGTTATTTATTTGTTTAACCACTTCTGTGCTGCCCATGGCCAAAACTCTGGGCAGTTTACAGCAAAGTATAAAAACAATGAAAATACTAGCAAAACAAAGGGCTGTGTCCAGTTACTCAGAGAAGACCTGTTGAAATGAAAGGCAGTTAGAGAAACAGAGGATGCACCCAAAATGTGAATTTGTATAGGCAAAGCGATTGTAATTGTGCTCCCATATCCCTGGTGGTCGCTTCACATTGGCAGGGTAAAGCTCCCCAGAAGGAACAGGTGGCCATCTTTTGAGGACCCCGGGAAACCATCTTTTTCATAAACTGGAATAGTAGGCCCACGAAGCACAGAGGCACATGTCTGTAACTGATGGTTGGTTTTGTCAGAATTCTTGTTTGGACTGATCTCTATTATGGAATGTTGTTGTTTAGTTTCTGTACTTCCCAGTAGCTGAAGCTTTCTGGGGGATTCACAGCAATATATAGAAAGAAACTTTTGTTGCATTCTAAGCGTTAACAGTAAGACATAAATAATAAGCCTTTTCAAAGTGCTCAGCACTTGCCTTGTACGAGTCCTGGTGCTAATCTGCATCTCCTTTTATTCAAGAGAAACTGTCGATAGAAGGCATCGTGGTTCAGCGTGCAGAGTGCAGGCCAGCAGCCAGTGAAAACTACATGAAGCTGAAAAGGTAAGGCTGCCCTGCCTCTGCCCTCAGATTTGCCATGTCACGCTTCCACTTTCTGCTGCAAGGCAGATGTGATGCCTGCACCTGTCCAGGTAGTAGGGTTCGGAAAGGAGCGCCCTATAATCCACTGCCTACCATTTTGTCGAGCACAAGCCTCCGAGTTTTGCCTTCGAAATACCTCTCTGTCTGTGCACGCGCGCACACGCGCGCACATGCACAGAGAGTGAGTGATGTTCTAAAGGCATGGTGCCTCACGTGCCCCGTCCCCCTGCCTTGTTCAGTCCGCCCACCACAAACGGACTTTGGATCCCGAGCCCAGGGGCAGGCTTCTCGGCCTCAGCCTTAAATAACATAAAGCCCTGGGACTACCTAGGTTGTCGGGATCCATCCTGGTCCCTGCCGCCACGAGGGCCAAGCCACGACACCCTCCTTCCTTGTCTAGCTGGCGAGCCCCTTCATCGGCTGCCCGGGGCGGTCCTCTCAGCCCCTGCCCTTTTCACCGCCTCGGTACATTCCCATGCACTCCTTCCCCCCCCCCCCCCACACACCCTGAGGTTCCCCGGTACATAAAACGTCAGTGCACATGAATTAACATCTACATCCCATAGCAAGGAGCTCTGCTAATTAGCTCTGCTAATTAAGATGCTGTAGTCTGGAAAGCGCAAGTGCCAACATTTCTCTGGCAGTTTGTGCATGGAATGACATAAGTTGCTTCGCTCGTCGGACTGGGCACTCCGCCTGCCAGTCGCTGGGTGCTCCGTCTTGCCGTTCCTTGTTCCCCGAAATGCCGTTGGAAACATGCCCCCGCGTGTGGCCCCCGCCCCCTTGTGGCCTCAGGGAAGAGCTCGTCCATGTCTGCCTCTGCAGACGCATCGGGGAAGCGCCTTCCGCCGGCCTTTCCCAGCTGGACCGAGAACTCTCCGCAGTCCTGAGCTGGTGGATGCTGCATGCCCTCTGTCTTGGTGGCTGTGTGTCACTTTTATGTGCCAGAAAATTCAGATAACGCCGCTGTCGTTTTGCCAGCTGGCACAACCCACAGCAGTGTGGGGGGCGGGTGGGTTCTATCCCCCACCCACAGCACAAACAGCAACATGGGTCAGGTTTGGGGGCTGGGGGTGGTCCGTGACCGGCAGAGAGCCACAGAGCAAAAGCACCTCCACACAACCGGGAGACTGTGAGGAGATGATGCCCGTCCTCTCCCTTGCCTGGGGGCCGCAGGAGTGATGATGGCGGGCACCAGAATGTGCCTTGCAGAATGCTGGAGGACAGGTCCCTGCCCCAAGGACTGTACAGTCTTCAGTCTGACACGGGGAAAGAGAGAGAGGAGGCGGGGAGCGGAGTACACGGGAAATAAGGTGCAGTTATTTTAGTCAAATATGTTTAGCATTACAGTTGGTGAATTTTTAATTCTATTTTGTAATTTTTTAAATATTTATATTAATTTTTTAAATATATCCAGAGGTTTCTCTGCCACACCTCCGTATAAGGAGAACCAGGCTGGCTTTCAGCAACAAAAGCTAAAGCCAGCAATAAAACAGCCAAGTGTGGGAACCCCCTCTGCAGACCCCGAGGGCCACGAGGGGCATTGCAGGGAGAGTCGTGCTGCCTCTGGGGGGGCTCTGCTGATGCCATGCTGTGCAGACCCTCTGCCTAGGCCCCCCACTCCATCCCACACAGCTGGGCCACATGGGGCCTCTGCCGTGGAGCGGAGGCTGCCTATGGGCTGTCCCCCCCCCCCCTTTAGCAGCAGCACTCTGTGAGTGCAGTGCAGTCACCTTCTGGTTTGGTTCCAACACAATCATGTGTGACAGTCGTTTGATAAAGCGTCCCTAATTAATCCCCAAAGAATTCCACAGTGGGTGTGTCCTACAAATGTTTTGTCGAGGGCCCAGGCTGCTCTTTTTCATCTGTGTGCAGGAAATGGGAATCCAGCTCCGTCTTCTGCGTTCCCTTCTGAGCACAGGCACCAGCGAGCCCTAAAATGGCCTTTTTGTTTCACTTGCTCTGTGTTGCGGATTTTGGAACAGCGGTCTCAGCGGGGGGGAGGCATGCAAGGGGGGGAAACAGCAGCACCGACAAACTGATGTGTGTGGGCTGTAGCCGTGCCTCAGGAGGCTTCTCTCCAAACAACCTTCTTGAGCTGTGCAGCCGTTTGGAGCGAGAGCTGCTTCTGCTTCCGCTCAGCGCCCCGAACTCGTGGCCGTGTCGTCCTGCTTTGCCAAGAAAGTTCATACGGGGCCGGGCTTCCCGCCGACTGGCAGTGGCATGCAGCCGCTTCATGCCCACTCACAGCTCTCCGGAGTGCCTCAGGTTCAGGCCTGCCACGCCGGTTGGAGCTCCTGCTTAATACGTCCACTGAAGGACGACCCATCCCTTGCCAAGGCACGGTCAACATCCCCCATCACCGCTTTGGCTTGCTGCTTGGCGGATGCAGTATTTCAAGAAAGCCTTCCAGTGGCCCCTGGGATGCTGCCACAGCCCTGCTTCCATTCGCCAGTCCCTCCACTCGCAGACTCGTGGCTTTTCATGCAGCTGCACACAGTCTTTGCATTTCCTTCCGCAGAAGGGATGCCCTTCCATTATCCCTCCCTGAGGGACGTGGAGGAACACCTCCTCACAGGCCCACTGTGGAAGATGCCCCTGTGTGGGGTATCGCTGCTCCTATTACCATAAATCTACTCGCCTTTGCTTAACACAGACGCCCTTTCTAAAGCACCCATTAGTTGTGGAACAAACAGATCAAAGGCAGAGTTATAGTAAACAAAGATGCAGAATGCTTACTCTAAAGGCACTAAAACAAGAACATTGATTATTGCATAGTTGTTATTACTTTAAAAGAAGCCTTCAGCAATTTACCACCGGTCAGGCTGTAGAAGCATTAGTTCATAACCACGCGTTCCCGGTTGCACCTCCCTGCTCCACTTGTGGCGATGATGGCGTGTTGGGTGCTTACCTTTTGGTAACATCTGACTCCCCCTCCCCGCCACCCCCAGACCTTTGATGCAGTTTATCGGGCTTCCCTTAAGGTCTCTGGCTGCTGTGGCTCCAGGTCCCCTCCTGAACCATCCCCCGTTTTTCCTGAAGGCTGCTCTGGAGTCTAGCTGTTGTTTTGCGCTTCCGGGCTTGGCCGGGCGCTCAGCCTCTCCTGAAGATGCCCAGCTTTCCCAGGCGAGCCCTGCCCAGACCCCACCCGACAGTTCTCCGCCTTGGTACAGAGCAGAACCCCGCGTCCAGCCCGCTTCGGTGTGGACGTGCTTCCACCGCCCCACCTCAGTTCGGGGTTGCAGCCCTCTTTGAAGCGCTTCACAAGGGCTGCCGTGCAGACAAAGCAGCCGCGGTTTCTGGGGGGTGGGCTGAGCCGCTGGCCGCGTCTGCCAGGCTCGGACCGCACCGCAGGCGGCACTGCTGGGGCCATTGCGCACGCACAGCCAGCCACAGCCAGCCTGCACAGGGAGGCTGAGAAGCCACGAGGGGCTATTAAGCGCCCGGCCATCTTGTGCACTGGGGTCGTCTGCCTCTGCCTTTTCCTTCGTCCTGAGGATTTATGTCCATTTGGGACCATGCCTGGAGGAAAAGCAGCTATTTTAAACAATAGCCCTAGGCTCCTTCAGTGGTTTGTTGGAAGACGCTAACATTCCCTCGTCAGGGTTGCTGGTATAAACGTTGCTGTTCCAGTTGCAGCTGCTGCAGAAGACAAAACATCGCCGGTGCTTGTGCGTAGGCCTTCTAAAAAAATGAAAACTGGGTTTGGCTAATGCTCTTGAGCATATTGCAGTCTCTCTGCAAATACATTCCTCAAGGCCATAAGCTTGCCACAGCATCAAGCCTTTGCAAAGGCCAAGCAGTTAACACACAGTCTTCAGTATTCTGCATGGGGAAGAGTGAGGCATCCCTCGAACTGAGAAAGGATCCTTGTCAGGGAGGGAGGGAGGGAGGAAGAAAAGAGGACCTTGCTCCCGCTTGAAATTCCAGCTCAACACCTCTCCTACTCCTATAAAATGCATTCGTGAAAAAGCTTCCCAAGGCTTGAGGAGAGCTTTCCATGTAAAAGCTGCATTTTAGAGAACAAATATCTGAAAATGGAAGACCTCAAAACCCGCCTCTTTGTGGTTCTGTTCTGCAGGCTTAATGGCAGAGGAATCAAAGTTATTAATAATGGGTTTTGATTGCTATTTCCTAGTCATTGTACTCAAGAATCGCTTTCGGGAAAAATGTCTTTTTAATCTGAGTGCCTCTTTGGCTAAAGACACATCAAAGGGGAAGACTCGTTCATTGTTCTGTACTGATGGGGATTTTGCAGTTGGAGCTTTAGGATCAGAGAGAAGTTGAACGGAAGCCAATAGGGTGACACCCAACATTGCATGAGCGGAGTTTTGTTGGGGTAACCGAACGTTTCCTATTTCTCTTCCTCTGTGCTCCCAGGAATCTGCTCCAGAAGGTCTTCCAAACCTCTGGAACGCATCGGGGGAAGGGTTCATTGGCCCAGGAGAGCATATCCCGCAGGCAGCTGCAGTTCTGTTAGCAGATGGGTACCCCTGGGGACAACTATTAAGTATTGCACAAATACTTAATAGTTTTTCTGCAATACTTAATGGGGGGGTTTAAATGTGTTTTTTATATTTATATATTTATATATAGAGAGCGAGAGAGCGAGAGAGAGAGAGAGAGAGAGAGAGAGCGCCGCCCCGAGGCTTTGTTGTGATGGGGGCAGCATAGAAATGTTTTAATAAATAAATAAACAAACAAACATGCCATAGAAAAATTTAAGATTAATTGCAAGTTAATTTGGAAAGTGCATTTACAGGGGATTAAGATTAGCATCAAGGTATATAGAAACATAGAAGGAGAGCGAGACAGAAGGGCCCTCCCGGGCCATCTAGTCTGACCCCCGGCTCCAGCCGGCTCCGCTCACGACGTGCCCACCATGTGCGTGTCCAGCCTGTCCTTCAACACCCGCACTGATGGGCCTCAGGGTGGGATGGCTGCAATGGTTTGGCAGCCTGGATCAGATCGGGGATCAGTTTTGATCCACATTTTTTTTTCAAAACTTGCTCACGCTCTGTTTATAAAGATGGAGCATAAATTCATTTGTTGTTATAGATCCCAAATATGATCTCACAGATGTCTTGAAGTGCAATTGTGGCTTGGCTTCCCAGGCAGAAAAGTCTGGAGTTGGCTTTGCCTCGGAGGTGTGAGAGTATAGCACCCGTGCATTATTTTCCTCTCTATTGTAGGATGATCCATTAAGAACCTAACCCTTATGTATTTATTATTAAATGTCTATCCTTCCAAGGAACTCAAGGTGGCTTACATAAATTTCTTCCTCCTCCTTTCAATGCTATACTCACAGAAACCCTGTGAAGTAGTGTAGACTGAGATTTCAGTATGGCCACGGCAAGGGCAAGAATGGGATAAGACGGTCGATAAGTGTGAAGGACAACAAGCGATTCTGTATGTTCCACGCAGTGAAATACGACTAGAGGAATTGGATGCGAGTTGGCCATCACCTGCTCTTAGCATTTTGCTGTTCAAACTCTTAAATAAGAGAGGACTGCATGTAGGTATAAGCGCCAAGGAAAAGCTGTTGCGTTGTTTCCATTTCTGCGGAAGTCAGGCTGAGAACACCCGAAAAAGCTAGTGGCCATGAGCACAAAGAAACAGGACGGCTTGGGGCAGGCGCTCTGTGTGCGTTCAGCAAGAAGGCCGCTCTGGAGGACTCAGGCTGGCTGCACACGCCCATGTGAACCTTCTAGTGGTGCGCATTGGACTTGCACAGAACGGGAGGGGCGAGTCTTCTGAGCTTCCTCGGTAGTTTTAAGCTGCGTTTAAAGGGGCACGGAAGAACAAAGGTGGGTTATGGGGCAAAAGGACTGTGAGCAGGCTCGAGCAGGCCAAGGCGAGCGTGTCGATTGGTGTACGGGGATTGTTCGAAGAAACGAGAGAGATGGTGCAGGGTGGGGGCCGACAGCGCTTGGCATGTGGCCTCCAATTTCCTAGTCAGGATCCAGCTGAAGCAGGCTCCGCGTCCCTGCTTAAAACATTCATTTTGACGATTCCTGAAAACGATCTTGCAGTATTTGAATACTGCCTTGGAAAGCTTTATCCTTTGAGCTGTGCTGGCTCCCTCAAAAAATGCTGTCAAATCTGCCCGACGAAACAGTTCAAAGGTGGAGCAGGGAAGTCGAGCCTCCGTAGGGAGCATATGGCTCCGTGGCCGGCAACACGAAGCATCCTTTGCAAGCCCCTGAAGAGCTCGGTGCCTCGTCGTTCCTCTTCACTAATACGCCTGGACACACACCGGGGCCTGCCACGACCCCAGCTGCTTGTCATTTCCGTACCCCTTCTCCGCACTCTCCCATCGCAGAGTGTGGGCTCTTGCCGCTCCACGTCTGGGCATCCTGTCTCCTTTTTCCCTCTTAGCGCATTCCCGAAGAGTTTGGCAGCCGCCCCGTGCCCGCCTGTGGAGCAGGGTGGACACTGTTCCTAATGGCATGGAAATGTAATGTGCTAATGAAGCTTGTCCGGCGCGAGAGGAGGAAAGACTCACTGTTCTGTGTGCGATACGGGAGGGATGAGACAGAAGGCCGGTCGCAGAGCTGCTCTGTGCGTTCATGCAAGCTGAGAGGAAGGGTGTGTGGCATATGCGACGCGGGGGGAGTGGGGGGTCTTGGCTCACATGTCGTGTGGCAACGCTTTCCCTGAGTAGGGAAGATCATCTGCAGTTCCTCCTGCTGCCGACGTGTTCCAGCTGTCCAAAGTGCCAATATGGCCAGAAATAGCGCAGCACCTTTTTGGCCCCATCTCCGTTGGAGGCCCCTCGTGGCTCCCCGAGTACGGCCAACGCTCAGGCTTACGGGTTTCATCCCAGCCCCTGCTGCCCCGCCGGGGATTCTGCCTCACTTTCCTATTTCTGAAAGCTGCGTTTGCTTCTTCGGGAACCTCCTGTTTCGTGTCTCTTGCTGAGCAGACTTCAGAAAAGCAGAGCACGTTCTATCTTATCTGGCTGTCTTATTTCTGTGCAGTATGCAATGCGTTAATAGTAATTGCGAGATCACTGTAAAACCATCGTGCTGGGCCTTGGAAGATGGGCGCTGCACAGCAGTTGCGGTAACAGGAATGGGCCCTGCCCACTGCCTTGCAGGGCAGATGACGAGACTGCCCGAGAGGGGGAAGCAGACGAGGAGAAGTTCTGCAGCAGAGAGGCACCTGTGCAGGCTGCTGCAGGTCGGGAGAGGGGCAGGCGTCAGAGGAAAGGCAGCGAGCTCCATAGCAAGGGGCAGAGGAAGAGCTGACAGAGACGTGAAAGGCAAAGGGGGAAAGAAGGGGCGAGAGCAAAGATGCTTCGGAATAAAACACCGTGACAACAGGGTGCGCTTCCTGGGCAGCCCTTCTGTTTTGCGTCATGCCAGTGGCATCACGCGGCATGATGGGCTCCCCCTGCAGAAACACCACGAGTGAGTTAGCCAGCAGGGGCTGCGTCTGCATGAGCGCCGGCTGCGGAGGCACGGCCAGCCCTGATGCCCCGTCCCGCGTGGCGGGTGGTGGAGCTGAGGGCAGTGGCACTGGGGCATTCGGAGCTCCTTCATGTCATGCCTTTGCCAGGACGATCACCTTCAGTCCTTCAGGTACCCTGTGGAGGAGGAGGCTGGAGTTCTGCTGTTGCTTGACTCCACACTGGGCTCGGTTGCGTTCTTTTGATCAGGAGCGCTGGTTCTCCCATAAATCGGGGGGCGAGCAGCAAAGGCCCAAGCGTCACAAGGATGCCGTGGCTTCCTTTCTCTTCTAGAAAGCCTGATGATGACAGTGCTGAGGAAAGGAGACAGTCAGATGCACAGCCCGTGTGGCACGGTGGTGAAAAAGGGAGTGGGGCTTGGAGGTCCAGCTTTTAAACCACGGTCGGCCCAGAAGGGCCCGTGGTGACTTTGGGCTGCCCATAGACTTTCGCCTAGCCTCCCTTGCAGGGTCATGGAGAGGATGAACCAGAGAAGAGAAAGTAAGATTGGATATACATGTGGTGATGATGTGCAGAATTTATCTAGAGTTCTCGGAGGATTTCTTTTGTTACCTTCATAGTCATCATCTACTTAAATTGATGTGCCATCCAATTCACAGATGCCTCTTGGGGCAGGCTAGAGTCTAGCCCCTACCCAAAAAACCCTCAATCATACAACAACCAACTTAATAAATCAAACACTAAAATATCAAAAGATGAAAACATCAGAATATCATGCTGAAGATGAATTGCCTTTTGGAAGTGTGTCTGGCCGAGACGCCAGGAAGGGCGTCCCACAGGGCTTTGCCACCGGTCGCCACCCACCACTCTTTGGGGGGCAGAGCAGAGCTGCTGAAGGTCACGAGCTGGTAGGAGCGTGTCGCAGACTGGGGCGGCAAGGCCCAGAGGATACAGACTGCCCCAAGCGCATCGGCCTCGAAGCTGACGTGCGATTTGAACATGGGACCCGTTTAGCCATGACTGTATAAGCTGCTGCTGATATTAATCTCCTCCCTTGTGAAATCGAGACTACCAATAATTGGATGTACAGAATGAAGTGGGCTTGGAAACTTTGCAAATTCAGAGCTAAATTAAGCTTTCATGAAGAATTGTGTACTTTTATATCTCTACCGCCGCTTGATTCCATTTTAGCGTTATGTTTCACACAGAGCGATCAGTCGTGCTTGTAGATTCCTGTTGTCATTATAATAAAAGTCAGGGAAATAACAGGCTGTAATGACTCACCGATCAATCTGTAATGTGCATGAGATGCCAACCTAGGAGAAAAACTGCTGTGGTAGGTGTAGGGGACATAATGTGGTAACAGCATGCTTACACAGGCATTGTGTCTCCAGGGTTTTAAAAAAGTCCTCGGGGAAAAAATGCCGCCCTGTTTTATGTTCTAAATAGACCTTGAAATGCAATCCTCCCAGACATCTTTCGTTCGTTCGGTATGAGCAACACTTCCTGCAAGAAACGGAAATTGCCTTTAGGTGCTTTGACTGTGTCTCAAAGCCGCTGCATCATTTTTGTTGGCGTGCTAATGCCCGATGACGTCCTATGAAGAGCATGCAAATACGTACCTTCTGCAGCTCAGCGCTGCCGCAGCGGTGCCTTCCTCTCACACCACTTTCACACGTGGGGTCTTGTGGTAGGACAGAGGCCTGTGCTAGATGTGCGAGTGCCATTTTCATGCTGAGTTCTGTGCATGGGGCCACCGGCAGTGTGCACGGGATCCAGATGTGTGGGCGTCCCCGCTGTGAGCTCGCACTTTTCCAAACGATGTTGCTCTTTATGTTTTCAGGCTGCAGATAGAGGAATCTTCTAAACCTGTCAGCTGGACCATGCAACTGGACAAAGCGGTGACAACAAATTACAAGCCAGTGGCTAACCATCAGTATAATGTAAGTCGCTTGCACATGCCCAGAGTGCGGCTGCCCAAAAGATACTAGAAGCTTGCAGTGCGGAAACTGGCTGGGTTTGTTCAACTCGGGATGTGAGAGCCACACTCTTGTGTCGAAGAGCAGCGTTCTCACCAGAATACTTGGCATACTCACCTGTAGAACACACTGAACCTAGCAGGACTTATTTTTGCGTAAACAGACATAGGTTTTTGCTATAAGTCTTACGCATACAGTTTAATATTTATTTATTCATTTATTTAGAAAATTTCTATGCCGCCCCATTCGCCGAAGCCTCGGGGCAGCTCACAAAACATAAAAATATAATACATTAAAAATATAAAATGAATTTACAATATAAAATAAGTCGCCCTGGCCAAAGAATAAAATAAGGAAATAATATTAGCAATTAAAATGACGTTTGAATAAAAAGGTCTTGGCCTGGCGCCGAAAAACAAATAACAACGGCGCCAGGCGGACCTCTCTGGGGAGCGCATTCCATAGATTGGGCGCCACCGCAGAGAAAGCCCTCCTCCGGGTACCTACCCTCCTAATTTCCTTCACGGAGGGTTCCCGGAGAAGGGCCTCTCCCGCAGATCTCAGGGGGCGGGCGGGCATATATGGACGTAAGCGCTCCTTCAGGTAACCAGGACCCAAGCCATTTAGGGCTTTATAGGTCATCACCAACACCTTGAATTGGGCCCGGACTTCAGTGGGAAGCCAGTGAAGCTGACGGAGGACTGGAGTCACGTGAACATAACGCCCCGTCCCCGTCAGCAGCCTGGCAGCTCTATTCTGAACCAATTGAGGTATCCGGACCGTCTTCAAGGGCAGCCCCACGTTGCATGTAGCTTCAGATTCTGCAGGGACTCTAGTATTTTTGCTGTTTTAATATTGTTAGTTGTGAGGTTCTGGAAACATTGCCATGAACAAATAACCTTCAGGTTATTTGTGCTTCTGTGCAAATTTGGTGCAGCTAAGTTCTCTTCTGCATGCATGGCGGAAGGGAACTTAGTTCCTCTGTCACTGGTTTGCGACTTGTGCTTTGGCAAGTCAAAAAGTGTATATACTTGCCTAGAGATTTTTGGGAATCTATTGAGATACTTTCCATTTCTGAAAAGAATGTTCCTCTGGAACTAACATTAGAATTGGTTTGTGACAAGTGCCACCCTGGGAATTTCATAAATAGGTTAAAAGGCTTTGTGCAACAAAGCACATTCTCCTTTAAAAATAAGAAATAGATGTAATCTGGTTTATCCTTCAGTATGTCTCCCAACTAAGCTCTTTCTTGGTCACACCATGGTAGAGATAGCTTTGCAGTTTTCCTGTCTTCTTGCTGCTGCAGATGAACAGGATGTTTTTCCTGGAGCATGTTGGAAGCGGTTTTTAATTTATGTGATTCGATATAACAGATTGAATATGAAAGAAAGAAGAAAGAAGATGGAAAACGGGCTCGGGCGGAGAAGCAGCAAGTGCTGGACATGCTGTTTTCAGCATTTGAAAAGCACCAGTATTACAACATCAAGGACTTGGTGGACATCACTAAGCAGCCGGTGGTGAGTGTCTCTTCCAGAACCCCTTTCTGAAATTACTCAGTTGGTCTCTGAACAATGTACCACTATATAGAAGCAAATCCTTTAATGCTTAGAATAGATCTCCTCAATACCTGACATTTGAATTAACTTTCCAGTGGACAAAGTGAAACATGCACATACATTTTACAAATACTGTAAAAGGAATTGCACCCCACATTAAAAAGATAAAATAAAATCAGAACCAGGTAGGTAGATCACTTTTTGTTGCATCAGCCGGGCTTGAATATAGATGCCAGATTCAGGTAATACTTTTCAGACTACAGCTGAGCGTTTATATTCATTTAATGTGAAAACTTCCCTGTTCCCCAGCAAATTAGAGTTAGACTGAGTGTTAGGTTAAAACGGGGATCCCCGAGGCAGCCACAGGCCCTCCAGCGGCTTCCCCGGAGCTCGTCCTCCCTCTCGTTGGTGTTTAATAAGCGCCTTGCAGTGCACTGGGGTACCCGGTGCTGCTCTGTGTTCAGGACCTGCTGCAGATCCCTCTTGGGGGGCAACAGACAAGGGAAAAGCTGTTTTTCCATCTGCCCCAGTCTTGCATTTCGCCCCACTCCCAGTCTCTGACCTCATCGTTTCTCCCCCCCACCTCAGTTCACTTTGACTAAGCAGGCCCCCGGCCCCCAGGAAGGGGCTGGCCGTTTCCTCCGTGGGGCCTGTTCTCAGCCTCCTGCGTGTGCCCACAAGCCCAAAGTGGTTGGGGACCCCAGCCTGCAGGATGCTGCTTCGTCCGGCATCATGTGTGGAATGTGGGAAGCCCAAGGAAGGCAAGAGCACAAGAGTGTGGGCCAGACTGCAGGCAGAGTGCTTCTGGCAGGCTGTCTGTCCTCTTTGCCTCTGTGCGGCAGGGATGGCTCTGCATCCTGCAGGGTTCCGTGACTCTTTCCAGCTCCAAATCCAGTCAGGTCTCCCTCCTGAGCCTTGTAGGTGCCTGGTAAATTCAACAACTGAAACTTGAAAGACCTCGGGGTATGGAAGGTTTGACATGTTTCCAATTAGAGCAAGTCTCCAAAGTAAAAGATTTTTATGATTACTTGACCCAGGGACGATCAGACTGAAAGTTTGCTATACTCTCTGGATGGAAAGTGCAGCAGGGAAGCCAAGCCATAGAATCAGAGAACAATTGAGCTGGAAGGGCCAGAGGGCCACTGGGTCCAGCCCCGTGCCCAGGGCAGGTCTCCAAGCGCCACCGTCCCTCTCAGAGGCACCCTGCGTGCCTCCGGTGTGGGAGAGCCCGCCACCTCCCTGGGCCACCGGTGCCAGTGCCGTCCTGCTCTAACGGTCAGCAGGGGCTTCCCAGCGTTCAGCTGGAGCCTGGCTCGCTGCACCTTGCGTCTGTTACTCCATCCTGCCCCTGGGATGATCAAGAGGAGATCATGGCCTTCCTCTTTGTGGCAACCCTTCGAGAACTTGCGAGGCGCTCTCCTGCCTCCCCTCAGCCTTCTCCTCTCAAGGCTGAACACGCTCAGTTCTTTCCATCTCTCCTCGACCACTTCCTGCTGGGTAGAAAAGGGTGCGCATGCCCCAAGCAAGCCCGAACCTTCTGCTGAAGAAGGCCTGGCATGGCCTTTTCCTGAGATGTGAAAGAGGAGTGAAAGAACCCGCTCCTCCAGGGCCATGGGGAGGGGGGAATCTGGTGACTGGGCAAGTTCTGCGCCTTTGCTTCAAGCCAGACTTTGCTGATACCTCTGGGAAAGGACCACAGCTTGGAGACCAGGAACCTCTTTCTTTCCCATAAGTTAAAGCGGAGGATTTTAGAACATGGAAAGTAAACCTTTTGTAAGATTTCAAAGTGAAGGATCACAGTAATTTGAAATCGGTGGCAGTAATGGTCTGGGTTCAGACGCAGCTGTTCAGATTAAAGCATTCTTATGCCCAGAAGCGCGGAGGCGGTTGCCTGGCTCAGGGTGCAAGGCCCGTTCAGAGTTCTTTCTCTGGCACTTACCACCTCCCCTGCTCCTGCGCTCTTGCACTGGGCTGTTGTGAAGGGGACTGCTGCAATACACCATTGTGCAAGCTCCCTGTTCAGCAAGAAAGGGTTTCATGAAAAACATGTTGCACAATAAAATACTGCTTTACCGCTTTTGTTGTGCATGCAATAATGGGTTGGGAATCTTTTACTTTGCGCAGGATGTCTATCCTGAAGCTGTGAGCCTGTGAGTTTTGCCCGGCGAAATGAAAGTTTTATTGCATTTATTGCATCCATAAAGTCTGGTCATTTGAACCGTTGTCTTTTCTGAACTGTTTTCCCTCACTCAATTTGAATTCTGAATTCTGCAACACCAACTCAAAAACCTGGCTATGCCATTTTCCGATTTAATTGCACCAAGTGTTTATCTTATTAGTTCATCTTTGTGGAAAGAAGGCAACTATAAAAATGTCAGCGTGGAAGCTGGGGCTGGCGTGGAGGGAAAGATCGCATTCCAAACAGGCGGTGGGAAGGGGGAGGCTGCATTCACACAAACGGGTGGAAAAAAACTCTGCTTTCCTTAAATGCTGTATCCCTTTCTTCTGCGTCTCTTAAAGGGGGAATGTCCACATTTTGTGATTCTGTACATGCAGAATTTTGAGCAGTTCTTGGATTCCTAAGAATGAAGACAAATTATATGCTATAATACCAAATATTTCCAATAATGGACTGTCTGTGCAATGCACTGAGAGTCTAAATAGAGCAGGAACCCTAGAGGTTGAACATGTGAGCAATTTAGGGCCTTTTAAAGAAAAAACTTAGAGTTCAGAATAGATCAAAGACGAGGTTTCCTTATCAGCCAATGCCTGAAAGGAGCATTTTTATGGGACGAATACTCTAAGGGGAGCTGGGTGAAGGATGGAGGATTGCGAGAGGTGGGCCGGAAACACTTTGCCTCTTCCTTTAGCCAGGCATGCACTGGGTGGCGTTAGGCAGGCTGCACTTTCTCCCCCTCCCACGGGAGGCTGCTGTGAGCAGGACTGAGATAGTATTTGTGGGGTGCTTTCAGCACCCCAGAGTGCAATAGGAATGCTTTTCTTACCGTGTTTCCCTTGGAATTATCACTTGGGCTTCTTTATAACCTCTGAAAAGCATCATAATAAGCTTTACTGTTTATGAATTCTGTTGCTTTCCAAATTATGCTCTCATCCTTTCACTACCGCATTAAGAATTTATCTTCCATTTACAAATTTGAATGGAGGTTAAGCAATAACCAGTTGCGCCATTTCATAAAATGAGTTTGTGGCGAAGGCTTTTATACCACATGTGGTGCCTGGTCATCACAGCTTTGGAGATGTCCGTTTTCTTCAGAAAAACAAACAAGGGACACATTTAAGTGGGAACAACTGGCTCAGCTCGGCCTTCAAAGGCAAAAGCCTTAATTTGCAGTCAAGTGCGTCGAATAGTCACTTCTGTTATTTCAGCTGGGCCAGAAAAGAACATGATTGATTGATTGATTGATTGATTTAAACAACTTATATGCCGCCCCATCGCATGAGCCTCGGGGCAGCTTACAATCATTAAAATCTCATATAAAATACACAAAATTCATCAAATAAATAAAATACAACAAATAAAATAAAATAAAATAATGGATCCAGCCTGGTCAATTTAAACTGACAAATAAACCATTAACAGTTAAAATAGCGTTTAAATAAAAAGGTCTTGGCGTGGCACCGAAAAACAAATAAGGACGGTGCCAGGCGGACCTCTCTGGGGAGCGCATTCCACAGATGGGGCGCCACCGCAGAGAAGGCCCTCCTCCGGGTACTCACCCTCTGAATATCCTTCACAGAGGGTTCCCGGAGAAGGGCCTCTTCCTCGATGTCAAGGAAGGGCCAAGACAGTTGTCAGCTTCCCTCCCCTACAGGCCCCTACAGGAAAGGTGAGACCACCTCGTCGCCCGCCTCACATGTGTGATGGGGCCCGCCCTTGTTGCCTGACGTTGAGTTGGGTCCATGTACCTGGCCTGGCTCTTCCTTCTGCAGGCAACGCCCCCCCCCCCCGAGAAGACCCTCCTTTCGAGTGTGAGGGAGGCCAAGAGCAGCATAGCTGTGTGGACCGGGGAGGGACACCGCTTTCTCCCTCGGTACATCCGCTCCCAGCCTTTCGCCTTCTCCAGTGCAATCCGGCTTGTTTGTGGCCACACTCGCCTTAAGTCAGCGGCTCTGCTTTTCTTGTGATTGCAGGTTCTCACAGTGGGTAATACGCTTGTTGTAAACGTGGTGAAATTAACCTTCGTGTGAGAGTTTTCCAAGCATTTGCAGTACTCTATCAAAACAAATTTCCAAGCATTCGCTTTTCCGACTCAGCTGCTGTAAGCGTGCGTTTCCTTGTGTCAGCCTAGTCTTTTCAACTTGTATTCTTGTTCATGTCTGCAAAGTGCCGAACTGATTTGGGTTCTTTGTACTTGGCTGTCTGCAGATTGCTGGATGTCGGCAGCAATTAGCTTGAGAAGTTGGCAGCTTGACAGCAAGTAGCTTAATTTCATTTAGGCTTTGTTAACAGTCCTCGTGGGCAATTTTATATTAGCGGTGTTTGTTCCCGACAGCTCAGCTGTCAGACAACTGTTGAAGGGAGTGGACCAACACAGTGCATCTCAAGTACAGTATCCGCACGTGTGTGTGTGTGTGTGTGTGTGTGTGTGTGTGTGTCGGGGGAGGGTACTGAAAGATGAGCTCTTCAGGCAGGAAGGCTGCTCTGCGCGGCTCCTGCTGCACACCCCTCTGCGGTTGTCTTGCGCCGCCCCACGTGCAGAATCCCATCAGAGGGGAGCAACATTGCCCGGAGACAAGACACAGGTCTTTGTCAAGATCTTTTCTAGACTTGGTTTTGCCATTTGGCTGAGCCTTACTATCTTAAGTGGCTTCTTGCATATTTTCCAAAGCTTCCTGTTTTTGAATAAGCTCAGGTTTACTGGGAGGGACGGATGGTTAACATTGCCAGCTTCCCTTGCTTAATCAATTTGATTGTTTGAATCTTGATAAAGCTTAATTACCTAAAGATCGCTGATATGAAGCAGCTGGAAGCAGTTGGAGTGCCACAAGCATGGCCCCTTCAGAGGCTCCTGCTCGTACGCCATGGCCCCAGAGGGAAACAAGCGACCCCCGGGCCTGAGTAACGGGGGTGATCGGCAGGCCGGCTTGGCGGACCCTCAGGGCGTCCTGGGGACCGTGAGCGCACGACGGTGCCATGGCTCTTCCGCAGCCAGGCTCACGGAGACTGCAGGTGCCTCCGGAAGGATGAAAACTCCCAGGCCGCCGTCGCCGCCGCCAGCTTGCACTCTCCTGTTCCTTGGAGCCAGCAGCGCAGGGAGAATGCCAGCTTTTGGAAGACACCTAAAGGGGAATGAGGGATTCTCCAGATCCACCAGCTTCTTTCCTAGCCCAGGTGGTGAGAGTCCCACTAACATGTTGATGCAGCAACCAGGGGGAGCACAGCCACGGAGTGCAGTCCACCGGCACCAAGAACGCCGTTCCCAGGCCTGGCATCGGCTGTTTCGTCGGGGCCTGCCAGCCTTCACCCTCCCACTCCTCACAGAGAACTCCGAAGAGCTGGTCGCATTGCATGTCTCTGCATCTTTCTTTCCTGGTTCTCCTCTTGCTTGTTAGCCTGATCTGTGGGGATGGCTTTCCTCTGAAAGTACCGCTGCAGCCCGGGCTTGTCTTGGTGTGGAGCAGCAAAGTTCTGGGGAGGCTTCTCAGAGCTCCTGGACAAGCTCTTCCTCGAGAGACTGCGCTTTCCTTTGGCTCTAATTTCCTCCTGCTCAGGAAGGCCGGACGGCTGAAATGCCTGACAAACCAGACCCTGTTCTCCATTTGAGGCAGTGGCGTTAATTACTGGCTTCCTTTGTAATGAAGTAAGGGTGTTAGAATATAAGTGGGTGAGAATGAGAAGAGTCCAGTAATTGAAAACATGCACCCCCAGAGGGGGAGACTGATTGAGGGGTGAGTTCATTAGCAGTGCCAAGCTGTGCCAGCCAGGTCCAAGAGAGGGGCAAAGGAAGCGGTTCGTTCCGGAGGAGGAGGGACCTTTGCTTGACTAGACTTCCATGTGCAAACACTCCGGAAGGATCTGGTCACGAGAGAGGGGACTGCTGGATGAAACGAGCCGCACTCTGTCTGGGGTAGGATCCTTGTCTCCATTTCCCTTCTGGCTGACGGTGGGAAAGCAGGGCCGCTCCTGTCCTTGGCCCTCATTCCTTAGCTGTGCATCCCTTTGACAGATCTCAAGGCAGCTTCCATCATTCTGCTCCTGCGGCTCTCTGTCTTGTCCCCACAAGGACCCGTCTGTGAGGAAGGCTGGGCTGAGAGTCTGGCACTGGCCGAGTCACCCCATGTCCGAGTGGGACTGATCGCCTGAGTTCCAGGCCCACATTCTTGACCACCACGCTGGCTCTACTGACCAAATTCTTTTCCAGGGGCACTTAGGGTCCCAGCAGCTACGTGCCAAAGAGTCCTCACGCATTGGCTCTGCTCCTTCTAAAAGCAAATGCCATGCGATGCCACCAAGGAGATTAGTTGCAGAAGTGCCACGAGCTGCTGATAGCCTCTCAGTATTTCGCCAGGGTCTGTTTTTCACCGAAAGGCTCTGTCCTGCAAGCACAAACCGGAGCTGCCCCTCAGTTTGCGCGGACTCCCCAGAGGCGAGGATTTTCCCAGGTGGAACATGCAGGCTTGGGGGGGACCAAGTCTGCCCAGAGAGGCCCGTTTACCCAGTCCAGGGCACCCTCTGCCAGCGAGCCCTGCTCTGTGGCAAGCTCCGCCGTGGTGTCGCTGGTGGACTGCTGCCACCTGGTGGGGCTGCGGTGACTCAGACAAACACCACGACTTTTTCTACCTTTTCCTGCTGCTCAGAATTCAGAGAGACACCACACTGACACATTACGTACACAAGTTTCGATTGGCACTGGTTGGTTTTGCTTTGTACCTTTTTTCCTGCAAAAATATGATTTAGTAGCTTCAGTTGGGGTGGTGACAGCCCCTGCCACCTGTTGGCCTTGTCTGCGCCGTCCAAACGTAAGGCTGTAGCTTGGGTTAGAAGTGAATTAGCTTGCTGAGTGTGCAGTAACAGTGGTGTTGCAGAGGGAAAAAGCAGGCGGTTCCGCAGCATCAGTATGCTCGCTGACTCAAATCACACCAGGTTTAGAACTAGCAGAGTTACCCCTAACCTTGAACTAATATTGGCACGGTCCGGGGCTGTGGTGATCGGCAGGGCCGGAGCAAGGAGTCAACAGGAGTTAGGAACGGTAGGCTGCTCCAATTTAAATTCTCTCCCTCCGCGAGGGCCACTTATGGCCTGTGGCGAACCTCGTAGCCAGGACTCCTCACTCTCTGCTGCCTTCCTCGTGTGAGGATGTTTGCAAGGGGACCAATACTGGATGCAGAGGGGACGAGAACACCCGTTATTTCTACACATACATCTAGGCACATCAAACTGCTTCATTTAAAAGGGGGTTCTTAAGAGGGTTAAGAGTCAAAGACAACCTCTCTTCTCCCTGGGAATGAGTATTCCCCCTTTATCCATATGGGGCACCACTTGTTACAGGTGTGATCCGTGCCAAGTGTTTTCAGACTATAATTTCAATATTTAAGAAGGCTTTTCATGTATTCTGATTTAGAAAATCATGCTCGTGTCTTTCCTTATCTTCTCTTAAATGCAGTTGCTGCTTTCTTAGATTTTCAAATGCTAATTTATCATGTAAGCCTAGAAAGACATCCGGAACACCATTATTTTGTGTGTCTGTGCAGATTCTCCTCCACTGTATGGCACTCATCCTCTTAAAGTCACCCAGTCCTCCGCACAATGGGGGCTCGTCACATACCTTGGTTTTCCCTCTCTGTAATTGTCCCAAAGGGGATAAATCCAACCCTAGATGAGGGAAGAACCAAATGGCTGTGCCCAAAGACTGGTTGGCAAGGGCTAAGAATGCAGAACGGGGGTGCTGCACCCCCTCCTGTTGCTCTCTGCAGGTCGAGATGGCCTTGAATTACACTGCAATCCTTTTGCCATTTTTGACAATATGTAAAAGACCACTGCATGAAACTCACGGGATACACATTAACTTGCTTTAGCACTGTCATTCCTACTGATAGAAATGTGTATTTGTGGACTATTCTGAATGGCATCTTTTCTGCTTCAGAGCTACTTAAAAGAAATTTTGAGAGACATTGGTGTCTACAACGTCAAGGGAACACACAAAAACACCTGGGAACTGAAGCCCGAGTACCGACATTACCAGACTGAAGAGAAGAGTGATTAAGCAGAGCTGGTAACCAAGCCGGGGTGACCTCGGGAATGGGAAGGGCAGCTGCCCAGTTCACCCTGATGGAGTCCACACAAGCCATTTGTAACAAGCCCAGCTTCCTTTTTTTAAAACAAGTTTTTGCTAGGAATTTGCTGGTTTTGGTTTTGGCAGTCAGGTTATGTATAGAATAAACTTGTATTAGACTTTTTCCGTGTTTGGTCTTTTCCTGTAGTTTTTTGTTTTGCTAACATACAGCAGTATTAGTAAAAGGACTAGTAGTATTTTGTATTGCAAAGGTGATTTTATCCCACTATTAACACCCCAAGTGATCCTGAATCTTGAAGTAAAGCTGAACTGGAGCATATGATGGGACTGCATACCACTTGAGATCTTAGTCAGAATAAGCAGAAGTGGGACGTATTTTGAGTAGTGTCTGAAATGACTCTTAGAGCAAAGGACAGAGCGAGAAGATAGTGTTTGGTGCACAGACAGATGCTAAGAGAAATTCACTTAAAATCACTGAGGAAAAAAATTGAGTAGAGTAAGGAACACCGTACAGACCCTCCTGCATAAAAAGGGAAATGTTTTGTTTCTGTATTAATAAAGCAAGCATTTTAATTTGTACAGATGCAAATACTTCTGCTTTGTTGTTGGAGTTAAAGGGGTGAAGCAGCAGCAAATTACCTGTTTGCAGCTCATCCTGCATTTTATATCCTTCAAGGTTCAGGAACTGCAGTTCTGCAGCAGCTCCAGAGACACATGAGCACGGTGAGCCAAGGAAGCTTTTTCCACCTTGGTCAATGGGCAGTTAAGCAAATAAAGCTGAGGATCATATGTCGCGTAAGCCCCTCCCCTTCCTCTCCCCATGACAGGGGTAAGCATCACGGAGCAAGACTGTATGTACCTGTGAAAGGAAATTTACAATATTCTCCAGATCATCACAAATAGGAATTAAGACTGCAAGCCAGTGAGTTCCATGAGGTTTAGATTTATGAAAATGTCTTAAAAAGAGAAAGATGTTCTAGATGTTTGGTTTCCCCTGGGTCACTCTGCAGCCTCAAGCTACCTCTCCAGTTAGTGCAGTAGCTGGAAGAACTGAACATGAATTGCCTGGTTTCCAGGTCTACCTGACAGATAAGGGTGCATTGTTCATTGACAATAGTGCAAAGAAAAAGGAATTTAAAGCGACTGCAATCCATGTTACATCTTGTCTTCTTGATGTGTTCTGTAGCGTTCCAAGTTCTGTGGAAAATAAGTAGAGCTGTCACCTGACTGCTCTTTGACTTATAGCAGCTTGGATTATAGAAGTCAGCAGGCAAAGCTATTCATTCTGCTAATGCCTGCACATCAAATTGCTGTTACAGGTCTGCAGTAGTCAGTCAGAAATTGTATTTGCTGAGGCTTTTAGAATGAGAGAAGCATTCTGAAAAATCCACTATCTTGCCTTGAATGCCTATTTACATTGGCTTTTATGGCCAGGTAGCAATCTTCTAAATGTTTAGTAGCTGTCAGACTCTTTGCCTTGGGAACCCATGGCCTGATGTGCACATAGCCAGCCACCCGTTGGGTAACTCTGGCTTGCCAACCCCTGAACCCAGTTTCCAGCCTTGGACATTGCAATAACCCAGGAAGGGAGCATTCCTGGGTTGTCATTTTAAAGCAGAGGCGAGGAGCACACGGAGGGCAAAGAGGTTGCTTGTTCACCCATGCTAGATGCAGGCAATTCCTAGGGTGAACGTGCAAACCAGCTCCGCCTGGGGATGCCCGTTATCATCCGATGAATGGTATTTGGAAAATGTGGAAAGTTCAGCAGTTACTTAGCCGCAAACATTGAATGTAGATCTGCAAATAGGAGCAAGGAAAGAAATTTGCAGTGCTAGATCTAAAAATGCCTTCGAGTCAACCAAAATGCCTCTCCGTATTTTTTGAGCTCCCCAGAGCTCTTAGCCAGGCAAAGTGAAATTCCCACCTACCAGATTTCTGAGTGTTTCTCCATAGGCCCACTTTAAACATCTGGAATACTAGGAAGCGTGGCATGTTTTAAAGTCTCTCCTCACACCGAAAGGCTTGGTGCTTTCTTCAAACAAGCATCCACAATTGTCCTGGGCACAGAACTGCTCCATCAGACCCTCCAGTCAGCTCCAATTCAGTGCTCCCTTCTCTAGTGCTCTTCCTGCCTGGCTGATAGTTCAAACTAGTGATGGCAGAGATCAGCCCCGGAACTTGTACACGCAGAGAGCACCCTATCCCGACTCCACCCCGCTGCAATGGATGCTTCTCACTGTATAATCCAAATAATGGCCTTGTGCGGAGGGGTGGCTGTCAAGTGAGTGGGAAACAGCTGCACTGAAATTTTTCACACGACATGCTGCAATTCTAATCCACTGATTCTCTAGTTAGCCCAAACAGAGCTATCTTAAAATGTTTTTTTGACTGATTTCCCCTGAATCCTGAATAGAGTTACAGGCATTTTAACCAGAAAGCATGAGGTAATGAGGCAACAGGCAGGCAGGTGCTTAAGTACTCTGGCAAGCCCAACTGGGGCTTGCTTTGTTCTCTAAGGGAGCAAAGTAAAACTCTTACTATCCGTCTCAAGAACACAGGCTGAGAACATAAGAACTCTGGCAAGCCCAAGCTGGACCACTCAAGCAGACGTCCACTTCATACAAATTTTAGGCCTGCAAAGGCTCACAAGACTAAAAACATGCTTTAAACAAAGTCACTTTGTTTTTTTCCAACACCAAGAAAAGGAAGCCAAAAGCTTTAAAATGTTAACTTTAGCAAGAATTTACTGCCTGGAAGTTGTTTTTTCCTGTAAATGTAGCTACCTATTTTACTGTAAATTTTCAAATGATAAAATTAGTGTCCTCCATGTTCCTTCTATTGAACTGGCTGCCTACACAGCAACTAATGGGAAGTTTTTGTATATATTCCCAGAAACTAACATGCAGGTACAAGGATCATGTGGCAGCACAAGAACATACTGGACAGCGAGGAACCAGAAGTAACGGTAGCTCTTCTAGGCTGCTTCAAAGCCGGCTTTAGCCACACCTGTACCCCTCCTGTGTTCCCTGCACTACCAGCAGCTTCCACTAAAAATACAGTGTCCTAAGAGGAACAGCACAACCATTTTTAGACGGCTCACCGGGCCAAACCCGTTACACAACACTTAGGTCACAAGGTGTCCTGTTACAGCTGCTTCACAGTAACTGCTGAATAGACAACGTTCAAATTACGTTTAATGGTGCACGTGTTAGATGTATAACCTGCGATATAAATCTTCTGCAAACAGAGGTAACACGAATGCTGTTGCTATGGAAGGGCTGGATGTGGTGTTAGTCTTCTGGAAACCCTCTTCTGTGGGGAACGGTGGGAGAAAGCAACTTTTTATTATTATGAGTGGACATGCTGTAATCTCCCGAATGTGGGTGACAGAAGGCCGGCCTTTCGAATACATGCAGCCCCACACCCCTCCACCCCAGGAGGAAGCAAGATAGCTCCTTCTCAGACTTCATGGCGGAACTCCCTGTAGCGCCTCACCTGCAAGTACACCAAAGAATTGTAGCCTTCTTAAAAAACTGCTCTTAGGAACGGCCATTTACACACCTTCAGCAGCATAACACTGGAAGATGGCTTTGCCTCTTACTAGTTAGTAAAGCCCAAAACTGCACTCATGACATCTTGCACTTTTACGGAGAAGCCCCAGATGCACTTTAGCAAGCCAAACACAAAGGGGAAAAAAGAGCTACTCCACAGGACAGAAAATATACAGCACACCCCTCTTGCTAGGCTCGAGAGAGAATACTGGGAACAGTTGCTGAGTCCCTCTATAATTCTCTGCTCAGGCACACAACTGGGCTGAGAACTAACTAGCCCCTTGCTAACAGGTGCCAACTCTTACCCATCATTAAGAGTTTAAGTGGGGCACTGTCACTTTAAATGGTACACCCAAGTAACACAGACAGTATGTATACATACTGGAGGCATTAAAAATGCATTTTTCTATTTGACCCAAATCTGCTGTTAGGTTATTTAGCACCCTTTCATGCCTGTCGAATTAAGCAGGGCTATTAAGGGTTGAACAGGCCTAAAAAAGGAACTCGAATGAGCTAGGAGTGAGGACCTATACAGCCCAGCTGATTTGGTCAAAACTGGCAGCCTCCAGTGTTACTGAACCAAAACACACATGCAAGACTATGGGCAAAATCACAGGAATGCAGAGTACAAGTTATTTTCAGAATACAGTCTTGATTCACAACACAACAGTCAATTAGCTACTCAGATGCTTCCTCTACAAGCCAGGGCCCAAGCATCTTAAGGGTGCAGATTACCCACTTCGGCAGACATGGAATCAAGGTGGGCCAACACAGACTGTCCTTGAAGGCTCATGCCCCCAACCCAGGGACTCTCCCAGTGATGGTCAGCATGCCACCCATCTGCAAGGAAGGGTCTGGTTCTGACGTAACACGGGTCTACCACACCATCATACAGAGCCACGCGTTCAAGAAAACCATTTTAATGGCTCCCACTGCTATACAAATTTGCAGCCATGTGCAGTAGCTTTTGGCAGTCAAGGATGAGCAGCTCTCCTCTCGCTTAAGCAGCCACACTCACTAGCCTTGGGTTTTGTTTCATCTCCATCTTATCCTTGGAGTAATTTCTGGAAAGATGTGTAGCATGCAACGAACTGCAAACAGCGGGATGCCCTCAATTTTGCCTCCCCACCCTCCCCAAAAATTCTGTTTTCGTGGCTTTCCAAGCAGCTGCCTACAGCCTGTAACAGACTTTGGGTCTGTGCAAACGTCCGTCAGGACAACAGAGTGCGCGCACACACGGCTACCACGCCAGCCCTTGCCCAGCGCTCAAGCACTTGAAACTACAACTACCGGAATTAAATTTAAACTGATACACAACACAGCAAATTAAAATCCTGTGATTAAACCAGTATTACTTATGTATTTTAAGTTATGATTATTCCGAACTACAGCACGTAGGCAATGCCTCAAGTTCTTGCCTAATACGCTCACTTTGGTTGCCAAGGGTGCTCCTTCCACTTGCTCTCCCTTACAGTCACATAATCTGCTTTATTCTGATTGACTGAAGACATTCCTCTCTCCTTAACTGGTTAGGAACGTGGAGCATGAGACAGAGCCGCACAATTGCCAGGCTTCCAATTTTGTCCGCCAGCTAGTTATCAGGCCTGCTGATTGGCAAGAAGCCAAGTCCGCTTCCAAAAGAAAGTTGCCTTCTGCATTAGTCATTGCCGGGGATCTAAGAGGCAGTTCAGTTGTGGCTGGTTGATCTTCTGCGTTCCAGCGTCCCCAGAATGTGAAGACAGTCTGACACAAGCATTAGGGCCGGGCTATGCTACCGAGAGGTCGAGGATCCAAATGCACGCGAGCTACGGCAAACTCGCTGAAGAGCCCTGCTCAACACATCAAACCAAGAGGCATTACCTGTGCTGGGTGTAACCGAGGTGTGTGTGTTTTATTTTAGACAGCCTACATGACAAGTTTTTAAAAGCCAATGCCTCCACTCCAATTTAATCAGGGTCAAAATAAATCAAATTAAGCTCAGGGTGGCATCAGTCCAAGTTTTCAGACATTGATGAGTCATGATGTTTGTTGATGAATACAGCAGCAGCCAATTATGATGATGACAGACGATCCTGAAGGGCTCACCTCTTGTTACTGTTAAGAAAGGAAAGGGAGTTAGCTTAGGCCAATACAGACTCTTTGTGCCCGCATTCAGTGTCCGTCCATGAACTGTCCTCCCCTTTTCAATCTGCGCTGCCACACTACCAGGCAGACAGAAAGCGCAAGGATATTGCTGTTGCATCTTAATGCAAGCCAGTGAGCAAGAGCAGCTGTTCCTGGCCTATCAGCAGATGCTTCACATGCAAAATCGACATCTTGCTTCCTTCCACCCCTGCAAGGAAGGCGGTCTTGAGGAGCAGCGCTTCTCCAAGCCCGGAGCAGATGCACAACAGAGCCAGCAGTGGAGCTGACTGCCGTGTTCATGACATGCTTGAGATTAGTTCAAGGGAAAATCATAGTGTCAGTGGACAGCTTTGCCCATGAGGGATTATTCTATTTTTCCCTTTTTCAACAAAGAGAATGTGGGAGAGTGAGCAAAGCCTAATGCCCCCACCTTGACCACCAAGCTTAAAATGAAGCTGCACAAGCAACTTGGCCAGGGAGACCAGCCTCCTCCTCTTTAATAATCCACTCACTAAAACCACTGGAAAATGTATGCACTGAAAATCCCACTTGGGCAGCCAAGTTCATTGACAGCTCAGATATGAAACTGTTGCCTTCGTAATGGCCACGCATTGCTGAAATCAGCCTTTCGCCAGACAGTAATTTTTACAAGCTATAGGAGAATTTGGGCATGTGAGCCATGGGATAGCCAGGTTTGGAGGTAGGAAACAGTGAAGACCTACAAAAGACAGCAAAAAAATTCGTTCTAAACTAGATGGGTGGCAATGAAGTGGAATCTATAGCTTTACCAAGTATACCACTTCATATAAATGGCTGCCTAGCCAAAAAGTTTTCTTTGAAGTATAATAGTCAGCTTAATGAAAATGTCAACTTTGTGATGCAGGAAGAGGATGCTGAGGATACAGGGAGATTAACAGAAATTCCAGCATCATAATGCCCTTGCTTTATAGGTTTCAATTTTTAAAAGCCCAAAGATGCATTTTAGACATTCAGAGGCATAGACCACATGGACAAATTTTTCTCCCTCCTGTACTGCCATGATAAAGTTTATCGTCAGCAGATGTGGGCTGAAAATGAAAATACGCAACCATGTGGATAAAATACATGGGAGTAGTAACAATACACAACTCCTGAGATGTGAGGATCAGTGGAAGCTAAGGCAGCTTTTCAAGCATTACATGAACAATGGACCCACCAACTTCTGCCATAGCTTCACTCTGGCGATGTGGAAAGAGCAGCCGTTGCTGGAAGTAACTGAACCGTCATCCTCACACTCTGGCTAGGAGCACTGTAAGAAGCAACTGCCTACTGCCGGAACATCTCAGGGGGCTCTTGCCCTAACCCAACAGGGTTTCTATGCAGCGAACTGTACTCTCTTCTCGAGAAGGGTGTAAAAGCAAGGAAGTTTTTCATCTCAGCAATTTCTCTTATGTATACTTACACATTTCTCCATCTCTAATCCGTCCTTAAAAAAAATCATATATGGAGTGACACCATCCTCACGGAAATCCAGCAGCCCCACCGTGCCGTCTGGATTCATATTCTCTCCTACAAAAAACTTGGAAAGAAAAAAAAACCCTCTTACTGCAAGTAAGTTATCCTAAGAAGCCAGTATATAACTCCTCCAATCTGGCAACAGTTGGACCAACTACCAGAAGTTTCCATGCCCAATCCAAAATGCTTAACTTTTTAAACCATGGTGCAGAGAGGTGCGTCAGGGGTCGATCTCTCACGCACTCCATCAGCAAGGGTGCCATGCATCAGATGCATACAAAGCCTTCGTGGCAGTGGTCTGTAGTCTTGGGAGCTCCCTTTCATGGGAGCTCCCTTTCATAAGTTTGACTGGTCCCATCGTCTTTCTAGGAGAGCAGCTTCACAGAACACTTCTGGACATCTGCTCCAGTGCAATCACCTTTAAACCATACTTTGCCTCTAATATATTTCCCCATGTTGCTTCAGAATGCTTGAAATAAATTCTGTCACATAAGAATACATATTTCCTTGTAAGCACCAGCCATTTCCCAAGAAGGACCTCCAGTAAAACAGAATGCCAATCCCTTCACCTATCATACAGATTTGCTCAGGGAAAGGGTAACTGTGAAGCTTACCTGGTAATTGTTGAAGTTTGCAAGGATATGTTTGACTTGTTCAGCTGCCCCCGTCATGAACAGCTTTACTCTCTCTGGCTTTGTTTCCTCAAGTCTGGCTTTGATTCTAAAAGGAGAATTCAATCTTTGAACACTCAGAGCAAGCCACGTGCAGCCTAAAAGTGTAGCCTTAATTCCACTGGAATGTTGCTTCCAATGACTGATCTTCAAGGGAGATGCTACATTGCTTCAGACTGCCCATTTCCCAGAACATTTCTAGATGTTCCTTCTCCTCCAGGGTATTTAATCTCCTGCAATTTTTTTAGCGCCCACAAAGAATTGTATGTAGGTGTATCAGGCAAAAGAATTAAGTATCATTATTATCACGTTGCATTTCTATCCCACCTTTTCCATCTTGCGAGGAACCCAGAGGGGCATACGTCGCTCCAGTTTATCCCTGCAGCAACAGCCTTGCCTGTGAGGTAGGAAACGCTGAGTCTCTGGGACTAGCCCAAAGCCACCCAGTGAGCTCCAGGGCCGCATGAGGACTAGAACCTGGATCTTCCAGGCCCCCCGTTCAACAGTCGCATGAACACACCACACTGCACTTCAGTAACCTGAGCTTGACTCTGTGTGAGACTTGAGAGCTATGCCTGGTTGAACAAAGCGAAGGTGGCAGAGACCTCATCTTCATACAGTTACACCTGATGGCCATCCAAGGATTCAATCATATAACCACCAGGCTAACCACACACAGAATTCACAACTAGCCAGCTCACCTCACTGTGAAAGCAAGCTGCGGTGCACATCTGCACTGCCAGACGTTCACACTGCACCGGTGCAGTCCCTATGCACATCCCTCACTGTAACAGACTTTAAGGCTGTTATGCAACCCGAATTGATATGCCAATGCTATCCTTGATACACGGGAAGCAGAACCTGAGGAATGGCTGGCCAAAACCGTAAACAGGAGTTATAGTCGTACAGGAAAGGGACAGGACACTGACAGAGACCTCCTTAAGCAGGTCTAGCTAGTTTCTGTGAGCGTGCCCCTTCTAGGAGACTGGTTGCTGCATTCTGCAGCATCTGAACACTATATGTAAGGTCACCCCTATATAATCCATATTGCCTATCCTTGAAGAGACAAGAGCAAGGATCACTCACGTTTTCATGTAACCCTTGATGTACTTCTTGTAGGAATCTTTAGTGAAACTTGTTTCCTGAAGGTGGTGGTTCATGACGATATCAACACCAGTGACAACTGTGGCCTCGATCCCTTCTTCTGGACCCTCAGCAGATGCATTTCCACCAATTAAAGCATCATCTATTTCACCTTCTTTTCTGCTGACCATCTGAGGCATTCAAACAAAAACTCTGATAAGACAACTGCACAGTTAGTTTACAATTCCACTACTGGCTGTTCATAAGCAAACAATAAATTGGAACTTCCTGATACTCATCAGTGTGAGCTTTAAAGGCACTGTAAATTTAAACTTTCAAATCTTTAGACCCAAGATTTAACGTTTTAACTCTCTAGATGCTATGTGATACTTAGCCAGGCCCCCTGGCCACCAACTTAGCATTATCCCTTCCATTTAAATAGAAAAGGCCACTCAAAGTTAAGACTGCAGCAGTGCACCAGTTACATGAAAACATATTATGGGAAGAGTGCATGTGGGTGCGGCAACAGATGCACCAAGATACTCAATGCGGCTGCCACAATTAAGATTTAAAGCTGTGCAAGCTCTCTTTCAGTCAGTTTAGGGTAATCTTGGGTGGTACATTCTTTTCTACAGTAAACACAAGAAGCTGGTCCTCCAGAAACACTAAAGCCCATCTGCCACTACACTCCTTACGATGCGACGGCTTGTAACTCGGCACCGAGCGCTTGGTGAGGTGCGGCTCTCACACTCCGATTAACAGCCGTCTCCTCGGCCACTGCGCTACACAAACGTTCTCCGTTCACCATGCCATCCGGGGCCAGCTGCTTGCACGGCTACTCCAGCCGGGGGCTGCCCCGCAGCGCCGCCAAGGCGGCTGGCTGCCCCTCCCTCCGCCGAGAGCCCCTGCCCAGCCCGGGCCTACCTTCCCTTCCACTTCCAGGCAGAGCCCGTTGGCCACTTCTGTAATCTTGTAGATATCCGAGAACATCTCATCCTCTGCGGGGAAAGGCAACGAGCGCGCAGCGTGAGGAGCCGCCCGCGGGTCGCGGCACCGCCGCCGCAAGGCCCGCGACCCCCGCCCGCCCGGACCGGCTCGCCCCAGGCCGCGCCCGCCACACCGCCGGAACAGGCCGGAGCTCTCTGGGCGCAGCGGAACCGCTCTGGCCCTCGGCGCCTCTATGATAGGGCCGCTTCGCCCTGGCAGGGAGGCGGCGGGGAAAAGCTCGCCCTCAGGCCGGAAGTGCCCGCGACGCTAGCCCGACACCCACGCGTCCCTCCGGCCGCGCACGCGCACTCGCCGCGGCCGCCCGCGCGCTCCCGCGGCCGCGAAGCGCATGCGCAGTGAGTACGCCGTCGTCTCAGGCAGCCCGATCCCTTTCCACCCCCTCCCCCCCCCCGGCAGGCCTTTCTCGCGCGCGCGCGCCAGGAAGAGGGTCCTCGCGGCGGCCGTGGACTTGGGCGTGCGCGCCCGCGCGGCCGAAGCGCCCCCTCCCCCCCATATTTGTCTCCACCCCGCGGAGGGCCCCTCTGCTCACGGCTGATGCAGTCGCGGTAGATGATCATGGCGGAGGCGGGGGGCAGGCGGGCCAAGAGGGCGGGCGGGCGGGCGGTCTCACGAGGAGGAGAGGCTCGGCGGCAGCCCCCGGCGCGCGCGAGGAGCGAGGCGGAAAAGGCCGGGACGGCGCCTCCGCGGAGCTCATATAGCCAGCGGGGCACGTCCCCACCATCCGCGCGCCACCAATCGCCGCGCTCCTCGGCACGCACGGAACTGTGACGCCAGCGCGCACGCTGCGCGGCACCATAGAGCTAAGCCATGAGACGCGACCGCACGGCTCGGAGAGGGCACTCCCGGGTCCCCTGGGCCCGCGCCGCGCCCGCTGCCGCGGCGGAGGCACGTCTGAACGCGGAGCGGCGGCAGAGGCCGGGCCGGGCCGGGCCGGGCCGGGCCGGGCGGCGCTTCTCGGGGTGGCCCCGCTGCGCGGGTGCCACCCGTGCGTTTCCCAGAGCCCGAGGGCGAGCGGACCGCGTGAGTCGCGCCCTGCCGCCCGCCCGCCGAGTTCACCTGTGCTGTGGGGCCACCTGGGCAGGTGCGGTCATGCCCGTCTGCGCACGCGCAGCAGCGCCCGCGGGGCACCGGGTCCCTGCCCAGCCCGGCTCGGTCTGGCCTGAGCAAAAATCCGCAGGCAGCGAAAGTAACTCTTGAAGCGCCCATGAATGCTGAGCTCCCAGGTACCTGTGGCTGCCATCCCGAGCCGCCTCCTGCGCTGGACACCTGCACAGAAAGAATTGGAAGGGGATCTCATTTGCCTAAAGCCAATGGCAGTTTTACACCTGCTAAAATAAGAGTTTGGAATGTAATTTCATTATTCTTTATTTCATTTCTATACCTCCCGGTAGCCGAAGCTCTACGGGTGGTTTGCAACGATTTAAATATTCATCTTTCTATGAATTTTCACATTAGGTATTTGAACTGCTTAGGGATTTTATTACGCTTAAGTGGCACAGCTATCAGAAATGCATAAGTATTAATGCTTTTGGAATGTTGTTGTTATTCGCGAAGTCGTGTCCGACCCCATGGACAACATTCCTCCAGTCTTTCCTGGCCTCCACCATCCCCTAGGGCCCACTCAAGCTCACACCCACTGCTGCTGTGACTCCATCCAGCCACCTCATCCTCTGCCGTCCCCTTCTTCCTTTGCCATCCATTGTTCCCAGCATTAGGCTCTTCTCCAGGGAGTCCTTCCCTCTCATTAGGTGGCCAAAGTACTTGAGTTTCATCTTCAGCATCTGGCCTTCTAAAGAGCAGTCAGGGTTGATCTCTAGGACTGACCGCTTTAATTGCCTTGCGGTCCAGGGGACTCGCAGGAGTCTCCTCCAGCACCACAGTCCAAAGGTCTCAATTCTTCAGCACTCAGCCTTCCTTCATGGTCAAACTCTCACAGTCATGCATTGCAACTGGGAAAACCATAGCCTCGACTATACGCACTTTTGTTGGCAGGGTGATGTCTCTGCTTTTTAGAATGCTGTCTAGATTTGCCATAGCTTTCCTCCCCAGGAGCAAGTGTCTTTTAATTTCTTGGTTGCAGTCCCCGTCTGCGGTGATCTTGGAGCCCAGGAAAATGGTTTTTGGAATGGTTAATTGTAAAAATCTTTCAGCAGAAAAATCAAGAATCAGAGTATATTCGAGGTTCACATTCCAAATGAGTAGAGCACATAAGTAAACATATTTTGGGGATCTAATCTAGTCAAATATAAAGCCCCTTGAATTGCACAGGTTTACCTCTTCCATTGAAAGTGTTGCGAAGTGCTCCATTTTTGGCTGCTGCTGCTTTTTCCTCACAGGCTTTCCCAATAGTTGTCGTTCTCAAACCACTAACTAATTAGCAAAGTCACATATGACTCACTGGTGTTAAATATACTTCAACTCAGGCAGCAACTTGATGGGTAGTTAGTCATTCCCATGACTTCTGGGCAGCCGTACATAGGATTGCAGTGTAATTCTTACTATAATTTTTTGCTAGTAGTAGTATTGGAAACATAAATTTGACCCTTAGTAAAAACTTTGGCCAAGCAAGATTTGAATCATGCCAATTAAAATAGAATTTTAGTGGTAAATTTGTGCAAGCCCTGGAAAAGCTATTCACATGTCCTAAGAGTCCACAACCAGTAAGCACACCTGCAAGCTCATTATTCTTTCATTTCAATCCAGAAGCCCAGGTGGTCTGTTTTTTGTCTTGGTCTTAAAATTATAATAGGCAAGCCTCTATTTAATAATAGATATTTTGTTTAATATAGGAGTTCCCATTATTATTTAACTTATGCTCCCATGTATTATTTAAAATATTATTTGATCTGTTTTACTGCTCATTTTGTTCTAACGGGTAATATTCCTTTAGAGCAAATGCTGAAAGGAAATAATATTCGGCTTTTTTAAAGGGGAAAAAAAACCTTACTACATTCTAGTAGCCCTGTTCCTCAGCCTAACTTGGAAAGGTCAGGGTAGGTTTAGAAAGGTCCATGTAATTTGACTCTCCTGGAAACAAATTCATTCTTCCTTGTCGCTGCGCCGACCAAAATCCCAGTGGCAGGTACTGGACGCTGAAAGACATAACCATGATATCACTCTGTTCTTCCATACTGTTGCATTTCAAGGTAAGGACTCTGGGCACGAAACCAGTTCTTGTTTTTCCCCTTTCTTCCTCTCATTTGCAATGGAAGGTATTGGACAGCTAGCATGCTAAGCTCACCAGCGCGCGATGTGTCTCTGTAGGACGTCTGGCACCGTGTCAGTTCTGTGACTTGCATTTAGGCAGCAGTGATATATCCTCATCCAACCCTTCAGAGGGTCTGAAGGCGCTGAAATGAAGCCGTACTTGTCCGCTTGCAAAGCGGCAATGTGCGCTCTTACTTTTAGACTTCGTCTACCTGGGGCTTCTTGGCCAGACGGCGGCGTTCGGCAACAGTGGCGCTTGGATGCAAAAGGTGCACCAGCTGCTAAAATGTTCCCCCAGGTTGGCTGGCGTGATACACATGTTTGCATAATGTGTGCAGAGGAGCAAGGTCAGAGGAAACTTGCAAGCAAACCGTACAGACTAGGGACAAGCCTAAGGTACAGCGAGTCGCTGCAGTGAGCAGTGAGCAACGCAGCGAGCGTGATGGCGTCCCTGCGGGGAGCCTGGCATGGGGGAGCTAATTAACCTGTTGCCTTGATCTGGGCACAGGGCAAGCCATAGTGTGGCAGGTCACAGCGCCATCTCCCTAGCCATGTTCTGTTTGCCCGTTGCCGCGTGCAGGTCAGCTCGGTGTCCCGGAAAGCTGAAACATTTCCCCAGTGGATTCCCAGTGCTGCCCCGCTTGGTGTCCGAGCGCTGTCCTCCTGTTGTTTTCCATAGAGACCAGCCGGCCGGCCCTGTGTGGCATGCGGCAGGGCGCTGCTGGGCCATGCCACGCCCTGAGAACGGTGTCTCTCGTTTGAGCGTGCCGCTTTTTCCCACTGCCTCAACGCAAGAGTGGAGCGTCTGGGGGGAGAGTGGGGGCCCCTGGCCTCAGGATGAGGGAGCGGGCGCCACGGCAAGCATGCCCAACTTGGTGAGGCCACGGGTTAATATTTGCTTGGCTGCTTCACACCTCGTAGTAACCATCTTCCAGCATAAGGAAGCAGTGGTCTAGAGGCAGCCTTGCCTCCAAACAGCGGCCTCATACTTCTTGGGTGTGCCTTGTGAAGGGACAACTGTTACTGATTGCATCAACACGCGGAATATTGCAAAGGGAAGTCTCTTTTTCTGTTGTGATGCTTATGGTGAGAGCCCTCCAACACGTCCTATCCCGGGTGGCTCTGCTCAGCTCTTGTAAATTCCAGGCTGTAGCTTGTATGGATGTGAACCATCTTGTACTTGGTTTTCCTTTTCTTCTTCTTCCATTTAATTTCCCTGGCGTCATTATCTTGCCTTCTCATTACGTGCTTGAAGTATGACAGCGTCAGCTTTGTCATTTTCGCGTCCAGGGAACGTTCTGGCTCAGATTGATCAAAGACCCCGTTGTTCGTCTTTCTGCCTGTCCAGGGCATTCACAAAGGTCTTTTCCAGCACCGTGTTCTGAACATCTGTTTTCCGCTTGCCAGCACTGCCCAGCATTCACACCCATCACTGCATTTCTTTTTGTAGGATATCTCCAAGCAAAAGCCCACTACTTGTTCCTGTTCCACAGCTGGTCAGTTCTGGTCGTGTGTGGGCAGTTCACAATACTGCTCTCTCTTTCCCTTTAAATAATGTGACTGGCCTCACATCGCAGCCAGGCTGATCTGGTCTTGGCGATCTAAACCCAGCCTACCGGTACACTGCCGTGCACATTCAGATAGCAAGTTCCGCCAAATGGTTCTGAGCCATGGCCACAACAGATAAGTGGGACCATCCAGATCTATTGTGAAATTAAACATTTAATTCTGCTTAATAACACAAACTGCTTTGGAAACTAATACAAAAGAACACCACAAGCTTTGCATGTGAAACACAGGACAATGGGTTGTGAACTCTTAGTTAAAAACAGTAGTTTTCTAAGAGCTTGGCATGGAGATTATGAGATGCCTTTGCCAGCCACCTTGCAGAATCCTAGGAATGTCTGGAGGAGTGGGCTGTGCAACCCCCCTTCCTGACTGCAGTCCTGGGAACAGAGGCTGGCGTATGTCCAGTGGAGTCATCAGCAGAAGGGAACTGGCGGCTTGGATCCCCCCCTGCTCCAGGGCGCCTGCATGGAGCTAAGAGGGCACAAGCGGATGGCCGTGTCCAGTTGGGCAGGTTCTGGCACCCGGGCCAACGGTTAGGCATCGGAGGGGCTGCTGAGGATGAAAGTGAGGTCTGGTCTCATCGGTTGATTCGGCAGTTTTCACTCTTCTCCTCAGTCCAGAACAGCTCCCAGGACACTGCATCAAAATTAACAGTGAGATGGGCCCTTCGAAAGACAGGCCACAGAAGGAAAGGAGGGCGGGAGACGAACCTGGGCACCAGTTCTTGGCCCTTGCAGGCGTTCTTCCGGCTGGGAGAAGCGGAACAAGCTCCCTGGAGATGCTCCCCCGCCTCCGTGTGGAGAGAGCCATGGTGGAGATGTTCCTCAGCCTCCTTTAGCCGCGCGACCATGTGCCAAGTTTACCTCGTGCCCGTTGGCACAATGCACCAGAGGCAGCTATTTGCACACAGTGTGAAACGCTGAGCCGTGCAGGCTTCGGTGTGTGGCAACATGTTTAGCCAGCCTAAACAAACAGAGCAAGCCATTCCCGTATCATGCTGCACTGGGTGGCGAGAGACTTTTCTCAACTGCCCGCATGCTGGAAGGACGGGGGGTCACGTGTCCTCCGAGGCGTGCGCGGAGGTCAGCATCCTCCAAATAACCCTGAGCTCGGCCTGCAACCATCTGGCAGAGCGGAAAGTGTGCTGGAGGAGGCTCTGACTCTCCATCCTAGGCAGAGGTCATCGCTGATCCTGTCCCCTTCCTGCCCACCAGGAAGCTCCCTTTTGTCCTCCTCAAAGTGGCTTTTGTGCCCAAGGGACTTTGCTGTGCAGTCCTTTCCCCAGCGTCTGCAAGGCGGCTGAGGACAGCTCAGACGCCCAGTCCCCTCCCCAGGATTAAATGAGTGCCTGCCTCGCTGGGGAAGGATGCAAAAGCTGCAGTGGCCCCAGGACCACAGGATCGCTCCACTAATGAGCCAGAGGTTCAGGACAGGCAAAATATAGTGCTTCTTCGGATAACGGATACATCATGTGCAGAATCTGGGGTGGGAGGATTTGACGCCTTTCACTAGTGCCCACTCTGGCCCCTTGCTTAGCTGGCTTGAAAAGGAGTTCAGGAAGGCTCCCCGGGGACCTCGTCTTCCCCCCACATTCCTCCTGCATGGCAGGGATATCCTGCCCACTCTCTTCTCGTGAGACACGCAGCACAGCTTCCTCTATCCTCGCAGCGGCAACCCAGTGGAGGAGGCCTCTGGAGAGCAAACTGCCAGTGTATCAAGGAGGCATGATGCTGTTGTTATGGGGGGCGTTGGTATCCCCGATATCTGAGCCAGTGTGGCGTCGTGGTTCAGAGCACGGGACTGGGACTCAGACGATCCGGGTTCGAGTCCCCACTCGGCCATGGAGCCAACTGGGTGACTTTGGGCCAGTCACAGACTCTCAGCCCAACCTACCCCACAGGGTTGTTGTTGTGGGGATAAGATGGAGGAGGAGAACGATGTAAGCTGCCTTGAGCCCTTTGTAGGAAAAAGGCAGAATATAAATTGATAAATATATAAATCTATCTGTTGGAAGACACATTGTGCCAAGCACGGCCCCTCCAAGAGTTCCCAACATGTGTTGCTGACAACTTCCTCCAACGGAAAGTGGAGGAAGGAACCGGAGCAGCCACTGTCCTTGACTTGAATCTCAGCAACGGGAAGGCCGAGCCCCAGGAACTCTGGGGGAAAGGGACCGGGCCATATGGGATCCTTGATTGGAAGGGAAGCAAAATCCAGGCATGTACCCTGGATTTCAAGGAAGCCGGTTTTAATAAACTCAGAACAAGGATAAGCAATGCCCCATGGCAAGCGACTCTAAGGAGAACCGGAGTCCAAGATGGGTGGGAATTTTTAGAAAAGGAGATTCTAAAGGCACAATTGCAAACCATTCCAGCCAGGAAAAAAGGTAGAAGACAGCAGAGGAAGCCCATGTGGCTTTGCAAAAAGTTTACCGATGATCTGGAAACAAAACGGCATGTGCAGGAAGCAGAAAGAAGGACAGGCTACAGAGGAAGGACACGGGTTGTTAGCAACGAATTGCAAGGGTGGCATCAGGAAGGTGAAAACAGGGAATGAACTGAGGCCAGCGAGGGATGCTGGCAGCCACAAAGAGGCCTCCTTCGGGTATGTCCAAAGGAAAAGACGAGGGAAGACACGGGCTCAGGCGCTCCGTGTGGGTGGCACATGGGCCGCAGAGGCGGGAGCGCTCAATTCCTAGTCTAGGTAAGTCTTTTCCCAGAAGAGGATGCGTGCGCTTCCTGAGGAAGGGGAAGTACAAGCTGAAGGAGCAAGATGGCAGCTCAGGACTGACGGGCGAAGGGTCAAGGGCCGTGGCTCACGGGGCGCGTCCTCCGCGGTCCGCTCGCTGGCCGGCAGGGACGGCAGTGCGCATGTGTGCCCGGTTGCCTGGCAGCCGGACCAGCTCCCCGCACGCGCCTCGGCGCCTGGGCTGGGCGCATGCGCGTGCCTGGCGGCTGCCCGGCACTCTCGGCCCGCCCCGCCCCGCCCCGCCGGGCCCGGCTTTTGCTGAGTGGCGGGACGGGGCGGACGCCGCGGCGCCTGCGAGCCTGTGCGCGGGTAGGTGGTGAACGCGGGTTCCCCGTGCTGGCCGGCCGGCCGGCCGGCCACCCCCTGCCCTGAGCGCGCCCTGCCCGCGCCGGCGGGGGCTCCCTCGCACGTGGGGATCGGTGCACGTGAGTCCCGCGCGGGAGCCTTTTAAGCGCGGTGCGCCCCGAGTCAGCCCCGGAGCACACCCGGAGCAGCGGGGTAGTGCATGCATGCCTCGGTCTCGCGGCTCGGAGCGGCCTGCCCTCGAAGGAGACCCCCCTGCAGTCTGCGGAGTGGCTCGGGCGGCCGGGCGGGCGCTGTCCCGTGCGCCACCCCGCTTCGCTCTGCCTCGAGCTGCGCGGCTTCCCGCCTTGGGGCGCACGCGGTCCCGGAGCTCCCGCACAAGCGCGCAGGGCACGTCAGGCTGGGGAGGCGGAGGGGAGGGTGGCCGGCCCGTCCGCCGGCCCGAGACAGCAGCTCCGGCCGCTGCTGCGGGAAGTTCCTTTCTCTGCTCCCGCGGGGCAGCCCGAGCACCGATTCCCATCTACCAGTTATTTCCAAAGGCAATTTCCCTTCCCGGTCAGACGTGCCTGTTGATAGGAAGAGGCAAATAGATAAGAAGTTGAGAATAGCTTAAGATAGTTTGGAGGCATAAAATGCACTGGGAACTTGTGCATTTTTGCTTTATGCACGACAGCGGTAAAAATCTGTGCAACAAGCACGCAGTAAACTTAAATTCTTTGAACACTCCATACACCTCATAATCACCATCAAACTCTTGCATGTATAGTATAGCCCACCTTATTTCTTCTTGCGGGGAACCCAAGGTAGCTTCCCTGCATCCTCACAACAACCTCCCTGTGAGGTAGGCTGGGCTGAGAGTGAGCGACCGGTCCGAAGCGTCCCGGTGAGCATCGCGGCTGGGTGGGGACTAGGACCTGGACCTCTCAGTCCATCCCTTTCGCCCTGTCCCACCCTGGCTCTTCTTTAGAAGGACACGTGTTGTTTGAATATCTCAATGTGTGTAGAGGTGAATGCAAAGGACACAGCCCCGTCACATCAGTGGGCCTCCTGACACCATTCAGTTCTTGGTACGTATCCCAGGGGGCTGAATTCCCGTGGTGGGTGGGGCTGAAAGCAAAAGGACAGAAACCAGAGGCAAAGGGGGCAAAACCAGGATGCCAACAATGGCAGCGTTCGGTAGCAGAGAGCAATTTCCATGGTAGCTAAGGATTAGAAGGGGCACCTTCAGCCTTTCTGGATGGGGGAACGGTGCCTCTGAACAGCTGGCAGTTGGGAAAAACGGGGCGGAGGCAGGGAAGTGGCAGCGATGTTGGAAGAACTCTGGGGGCTGGATTTGGCCCTCAGGCCTGAGGTTCTGCCGCCCGGTTACTTCTGAGTAAACAGAAGGCCCCGTGTGAGGTATTTGCCAAGCAAAACAAGGATCAAGAAGTCAGGAGGGAAAGCCTTCATTTCATTGTATACCACCCTGTAGGCAAAGCTCTTTGGGTAGTTTGCAACCATCTGTACAAACAAAGCAATGTGCAATGAAAATATACAACCAAAGTAACGTTAAACAGTTTGAAACAGCAAACATAGACAGCAAAATGGTGAAAATGTGTGGCGTGGCTCTGGCCCTCAAGCCATCGGGTAGCCACGTAAATCGTGAAAGACCTTGCCATGAAGGGCCGCTTTACCCTGGTGCTGAAAGATCAAGATTGGGGCTAGGCAGGCCACAGTGGGGAGGGTGTTCCAAAGATGGGGGTCCACCCCGGAGAAAGCCCTCCCCCCAGCACCTGGAGGAAGGTCCCCGAGGCTGATGGTGGCACTTGCTTGGATCGCAGCTGGAGAAGAGAGGTTGGCTGGAAAAGTGGAGAAGCAGAGGAGGGAAGGAAAATTGGGAGAGAGGTGAACGTGCATGTGATGAGGAGCTGTGAAAGTGGGAAAGCGTAAAGTTCACTGGCTGATGTTGAAATGAACTAACCAGACTTTGTTTGCTGCAGGCTGTTAGCAAAGCTGTAATTCTAAGAGGAAGCCAAGCCTCTCCCAGCGATTCAGGGCAAAATTGAATAATCTTCAAGCTTGGTGATTTTTAACACATGTCGGTCCTCCTTTTAGACTATCCGGAGAGGGTTTGGTTTGATCTAAAGGAAGGATGGTGTGTGAGAAGTGGAGTCACAATATCTAGGTGTGTGAGCCTTGCTCACCTGTAGGGACAGGAAGATCGGAGGTGTCTAGAACTGCAGTTCGGAAGAGTTGCGTATGCACTTCTGCAAATTCCACCGCACTTAAGAACACGACGTTTTACCTGCGTGTATTGAGCATCTTTTCATGAAGCTGCTGTTTTGTTGCTCCACAGAAGGAAGACGCATCTAGGAGAATGGCAGCTTTGAACTGGAAACCTTTTGTGTATGGAGGCCTGGCTTCCGTCACTGCAGAATGCGGTACGTAAAGTTCTTTTTAGGCTCTGTCTACATTCCCTTTAGAATAAAAGAATCCTAGAATCCTAGAATAGTAGAGTGGAAAGGGGCCATGAAGGCCATCAAGTCCAACCCCCTGCTGCTGCAGGACACCCAGTCACACCATCCCACTCAGGTGGCTGTCCACTTTCACCTTGAGTGTCCCCAGTGGGGGAGAGACCCCACCTCTCCAGGCAGCTGGTTCCACTGTCCCATTGCTCTGACAGCGAGGAAGCTCTTCCTGATGTCCAGCCTGGATCTGGGTTGCCGCAACTTGAATTGATTATTCCGTGTCCTGTACTTGGGCAACAGCAAGAAGAGATCTTGACCTCCTTCTTTGTGACGGCCTTTGAGGCACTTATGGAGGGATATCATGTCCCCCCCAGTCTTCTCCTCTTAAGGCTGAACATGCCCAGTTCTCAGTCTCTCCTCCCAGGGCCGTGTTTCCAAACCCTGGATCATTTTGTTGCCCTCCTCTGGACCCTTTCTGATTTTCCTGCATCTTTCCTAAATCTTGGTGCTCAGAACTGGACACAGTATTCCTGGTAAGGTCTGACTAGTGAGGACTATAGAGGAACTACTACTTCTCATGATTTGGAAGTAATACTTCTGTTAATACATCCCAAAATAGCATTTGCCCTTTTTGTGACTTCATCACATTGTTGGCTCATGTTTAGCCTCTTGTCCACAAGTACTCTGAGGTCTTTTTCTTTTTCCGTTCTGTTGAGCCATGTATTCCCCATCTTGTATTGATGCCTTTGGTTTCTCTTTCCCAGGTGGAGGACTTGGCACTTGTCCTTACTGAATCTCATTCTGTTGCTTTCAGCCCAGTGTTCAAGTTTAGGCTCTGCTTTTCATATTAACCAGCACTAGTGGGTAACTTTCACGTTATCTACTGCTAATATATTTATATTTTGAGTCCTCGGGAGAGGTGGTAATTTTGTCCCAATGCATTTGTGTAGCGATTCTCCAGGTTACCATCCTATAGCCATTATGTATAAGAACTCATGTAAATGGAGAAGTGTAGATAACTGCTCAAAGAGGGGAGTTCAGTTTTAACGATTTGCACACCTTTTATTATGGTTGCTGAACTGGAAGTGGCTAACAATGCAACACTGGGCACTTTTCACGTGGAAGCACGTCTGGCTAGATTCGGTGTGACTAATGTACAGCCCGAGCACTCGGGCAGGGCAGGATAGAGGAATCTGGCTGGCAGTGGTTTTGCACACGCTGGTACGCCAGGCCAACCTTCTCTCCTCCCTCAGAACAACAACAACAACCACAAGCCCTGGTTGTGCAGAGGGGGAGGGTGTGTGAAGAGAAACAGGCAACAGACCACTCTCTCCAGTCGTCTGAAGGCTGCTCTGTCACTTGTGTGCGACACAGAAAGACCGTACGGCTCCGGAGGAGATGCAGAGGCTTTCTTCTTCGCTGTGTGTGTTTTGTTCTCTTAGCACCTAGTGCGTTTCTATACTGCCTGTAGCTGAAGCTCTCCAGGCGGTTCAGAACATTTAAGTCACCCACCAAATTTCAGGCAGGCCTGACCCTGCTTAACTTCCAAGATTAGGCAGTGTCAGGCGCTTCAGGCTCTGTGGAAGCTTGATTTAGTCTTTTCCCCTGGGTGTGAGGGGTTAATTTTATTTACTTAGTTAGTTATTTAGAATATTTTTATCCCATCTTATACAATCCAATTGTCCCAGGATGGCTTACCATATAAACAAACAATAAAACATAACAAGCAAAGAATACAGTAACAAATAAAATGCGACTGAGAATATTAATAACACTTTAAAATGTTGGGGGAGTCAAAAGGTTTTCACTTGGTGCCGAAAAACATATAAATAGCCCTCTTGCCACAGTCTGAGTACTTCATGGGACTGCTCAGTCTTGGGGCATCGATCTCACTTGGCAAAGGTGGAGAGCTGCAGATGTGTGGATGCCTTGGGTGAACTCCTGGTGGCTGGAGTTGGCAGCCTGCTGAAGCCCTGGGCTTGCCCTGGAGCGCGGAGGTTAGGCAGGCTATCCAAAAACCGCTCCCGAGTGCCCACAGGGGCGATGGCATTCCTGGCACAGGACTCGGTGCAAGGATGACCCTCCAAGGACGGGAGCACAGAACTGTGTCCGGGGTGGGCCAGACACAGGGTCTCAGCCCAGCCTACCTTGCAGGGTTGTTGTTCTGAGGATAGCATGGAGAGGAGGGAAAACCTTGGGTCCTTGCTGGGTATAAATGTAATGTGGTGATGATGGTGGAATATGTGGAGCCATTTCAGCCCAGGATCACGATTAATTTTGGAAGAGAATTGACCTTGCTCGCATGTTCTGCTCCTACCCATTGAGTGGCCCCCTGGCAGTTGTTCCGTGAGCACCGACTCCCCGAGTCCGAGTCCGGCAATAGTGCTCCCTGCATACGGAGCTTCGCAGGCCTGGGGTGTGGGTGATCCACTTGCCCCTCTCCGGAACTGGTGCCCTGTCGAGAGGGGCAAGCCTTCCTGGGCGAGGAGCGCGAGGGACTGCAGCGGCTGCCTCGGGGTTGGAATGCGCTTTATATGGGGCTGTCCTGGAGCCTGCTGTGCGGCTATAGTTAGCCCAGCGGAATGTGGAGGCGGAATGCTGCACAGAGGGCCAGCCAGGCGCCCGCGACCCCGTGCCCGCCCCCAGTGACAGACAGCGCTGGTGAGGCCAGCTGGGACTGACGCTCTGTGGGGCCCGAGGCAGCTCAGGAGCCGGTGGGGGGCGGGAGGCCCTTGTCCTGGCACCAGCCTCACCAACCCCACGGACGGTTTTTGTCAGATGCTGTTGTTAATCACTCTTCTTGATGGATGCTTATGGTATTCAGGGCATGTTTGAAGTGGTCTCACGAACCATTTTTTTAGGATAAAAAAATAAAAGTTGTACAGATGGTCTGTGAAATAAATAAATGAATTATTTTTTCAGGTGGGCAGAAAAGGGATCAGAGACTGATTTTTCAGGGCTAAATTGCTAAACTGCCAAGCATTTGCTAGATTTTTTCCCCAAATTTGGCCACAGGGTACACCTTGCTAAGTAGTTTCTCTGTACCAGATTTCAGGCTAAATACACATATTGTCCTGATTCTCATAAATAATAAAGCTTCCTGGTTTTATAGTGGTGCACTGCAGATAAAGTGTTTCTTGTCACTGTAAAATGAACCAGATGTCATGTATTGTACTTTCGCCTTCCATTCCACTTCTAACCTGTTCACCTTTCTCAAACTGCAAACCCCATGGATAGTTAAATGCTAATGGAATTGTTTAAAAAGTGGTTGAGAAAGTGTTCTTTCAGAGCTCCAAAAAATTAGAACATAGGCTATGAAACTTGACCCTGGCATGCTAATTGTTAATTAAAGCACATCAGCTTGCTGCTAGTTCATCAGCAATTCATATGTGGAGAATGACTGACTTCTGCAGCAATAAGGTCAGAAGCATCACCGGCTCCAAAGAAGCCTGCACAGGAACTTTCCACTTGTCCTGGGCAGCCTAGCATGACGCCGGAGGGCCAAGCGCTGGGCCCGTGTCCAGAACAAAATTAGTTCACTGGTTGGGCGTCCCTTGGAGGGGGACTGATTCTGGACCAGAGCCAGGTGTGTGTGTGAGGCACTCCAGCATCTGTCGGTGCTCACTAGACCCAGCTGGTAAGACCAGAAGTCAACCTTTAGTGGAACAACTGAGTCCAGGCGATACCTGATCATGTTTATGATGGTTTTCTGTTTAATGATGAATACCAGGACTTGCTTCCCTTTCCTGCTTAGCCACCGCTCATTAGCAGAATGATCAATGGCCCCTTTGTTTGCGGGACGGCAGAGGCTGGGTGCAAGGCTCCAGCCCAATTCACCATTCAGATCCACCAGATCGCAGCCAGCACCCTCAGATTAGATTGGTCCGGGTCCGTCTTCGAGGAAAGCCCTGTGACCTTGGAGAGAGGGGGCAGGGCAGGGAGAAGACGTGAGCAGCCGGGACACGAGGTATCAGGAAGCCACTTCTTAAATGGCAGATCCACATCTACCTTTGTGAAGCTCTTGAAGCTAAACCTTTAGTGGTTTGCTAGCGTCTAATCCATCTTCGCTTTGTCCTTAAGGCACCTTCCCAATTGATTTGACAAAAACGCGACTCCAGGTGCAAGGTCAGAAAAACGATGTGAAGCACAGAGAAATCCGTTATCGTGGAATGGTTCACGCGCTAGTGAAGATTTTCAGGGAAGAGGGACTGAAAGCATTGTACTCTGGGTAATGTATCTGTTCTGTGCCTTACTGAAACCCGTTGAAGTTAATATATTGGTATAGAAGGAACTGTGCACAGATCTGTAGAAGTGCTAGGCGTGTTTAATTTTCCCTTCACGGACTCCTGCAAAGAAACACTCTGGCTCACCGGCCCCATTCCCAACTGACATCAAGCCGGCGTTCCCAGTGTGAAAGGCAAAGTAATATAAACCAGGCTCTTTGCTCCTAAGCCACCATGAGATGGAAGAGGAGATGGAAGAAGCCCCAGCATTTGCTCCTGGTTTTATAAACACATTTCTGAAGCCTCGAAAAGTCTGTTGTATACTCATGATTCTCTGAGAACAACATTCTTGCTCCCAGGATAAAATTGATTGATCATATCAGAGACACTGCCAGTAAAGTATTCAGAAATATGCAAATGCAGGTGAGACTCGATTGGCCATGTGTGACAACATCTACATACTACTTTTGTACTTTGATTTTACTTTTCTCATTGCACTAGAACGTGCTATTTATAATGTAATTTTCAGTTTGCATTGGACAAACTCTAGAGCGTGGGTCCTCAAACGGCGGCCCGCGGCTGATCGGCGCCCCATGCCCATCTGTCCGGCCCACCTCAGGGGTTTCGGACGTGCCGCACGTGCACCCATGCACCCGCCGCAGCCCACCTCACCCCCTGCATGGGGAGGCGGCAGCTCGCTCGCACGGAGGTCGTTCTGGACTCGCTTGGAGAAAAGGATCTCCGAGCGAGCAAGCCACTGCCTCGCGTGCCTGCCTGCCCGAACTCGCCGCGCCCCCCACCCCTTGCCCCCAGCGCGCCCCCGGCACCGGCACCTTGCAACCGGCACCCTGTGAAAACGCTTGAGGACCCCGCTCTAGAGAGTGATTTAATTTGGAATGTTCACTAAGCACAAATAAAGTAAACAATGCAGCTGACAAGTACCCAATATTAATTTTTGTCCTAATTCAGCATAGGTATTTGGCTCAAAATATTTGAGGGGGAAAAGTTAAAGCATGACTGGAACACTGATAAAAATGTAGAGACAATAGCAGGTACTTCCCTTACATTGTTTAAATGCAAGAAAGAAGCTGAAACCTGTGGACTCATAAATCAATCTTTCTTCTGGTCTCTGAGCACCTGTGTCTGAGTTGGACCCTCTTCCGGGAAACTTTTGTAGCCGAGGAGTTTTTGGTGGGACCTTCCCCACGGTCTTAGAGTGGATTTTGGTTCTTTACAGCAGCTGCTGTGACTGCCTGAGAGCAGCTTTTCCAGTTTTTTGGACTGCATTTTCTGGTTTCCCTCTTTTGCAGCATTGCTCCTGCTCTGTTACGTCAAGCTTCCTATGGAACCATAAAAATAGGCACTTACCAAAGCCTGAAAAGACTATTTATTGAGCATCCAGAAGGTAAGCCGTTTTCACGCCTGCACAGAGCATTCTTGCAGTAAAATTTCAGAGCCAGTAGTTCTGATTCAGCCAGTGTGTGTGTGTGTGTGTGTGTGTGTGCGCGCGCGCGCGCACATGCAAGGAAATAGTGAACTCATGAAATGATTCAGGAGCTGCTAACCATTTCATGTTAGATCAATAACATGCCTTGACTGAAGCATATGAAGTTGTTAACTGCTTTGTAAGAAACAGGCCATGTGAGGTTTTGCGGGGAAGGGACTTTAAATATAAAGCCTAAAACATCCTTTTGAAAGAGTTTTATGTATTTATTTAAGGTTTTTATATGCCGTCCAATACCAGAGTCTCTAGTTAAGCATGGCCAGAAACCAGCACGACATCAGTGCAAGTCCAACTTCGAGAGATCCGAGGCAGGGAACTTTCAGGAAAGCCTCTATATTCACAGGCCTGCACGGGCAGGTCGTGTAGCGTTCGGCTGTGTAGTGTTGGCCTGAGAAGTTTAATGGGGTAACCGAATCTGCCTCAGCGATTTCTTGAGCTAATATGACAGAGTGCAAGCTGTGGCATGTGACTTGCTGTTCCAGTTTTGTGCATTTGTGTTAATCTGTCGATTCTGATATGGCTAACCAGGGCCCCCCCCACATGGCCGACCTGCTGAGACTTGGTTGTTTGCAGGCCACGACTGCTTTATCAAAAGCAGAGACAAGTGTTTCATTGGTTCTTCTGGCTGAAGTGTGATCGGTGCCTTTCCTGGCATATTTAGCATGGCCACGATAAATGTCTGGACTTGTGCAAACTCAGCAAGTTCTCTTACATATATCCAATGAGAAGCAAAGAAGAAAAATCTTGCGCGTGACACAATTATCTTATCCCTCCCCATTTCTGACATCCCCCAAAGACCCCTGCAGCAAATTGGTCTGTCACTCTTGCCTGAAGGAATTGGGATAGCTGTGAGAATTGTGGCTGTCTGAAGGGAACCTGGATCCCCCTAGGTGTATGCAACAGGTGAATTTCAAAGTCTGCTGAACGTGGGGAGCACAGCAAAAATGCCCTTTTGGCACTGCAGGTTTTCAGATGCATCCAACCAGGCAGATCACTGGCTCGGGCACTTTGCTGAATGCTAAAGCTGCATGCAAACATTTGCTTATTTCTGCCACAGATGAAACCCTGGCAGTGAACGTGTCATGTGGCATCCTCTCTGGTGTCATTTCATCGTCTATCGCCAATCCGACAGATGTCTTGAAGGTAAGAACTCCAGGAAAGGAAGGCTGCCAATCTGCACCCGGGACGGATTCCTGCAGCACCTTCAAAGCTGCCTCGGGTGAAGCGGTCTGCAACTCGTTTGCTGCAGTGTGGCGTTTGGGGCCAGATGGGCAGATTATAGCTCAGGATAGGGTTTGACACAGAATATATTTTGCATTTACTATATTGTAGGCATTGCAGGAGAAGCTCTGGGGCAGCGCTGTTCACCCGTAGTGAATTCTGTCAGAGCAGGGTGAGCAACGTTACCGCTGCCAGGTCCCATCCCCCCCCCCCCCCCGCCGCTTCTACATGGGCTGTCCTGTGTGAACATCCACAAACAGTAAAGGGGGAAATGGGGGTCGCTGCTGCACTGAGGCTACAGGCCACTCCGGAGCCGCCTTCTCCGGCCAGTTTTGGTGCTTTAGTGCTCTGCAGGGCTGCCATCGGTTATCCTCTCTCTCCACCACTGACTTTATCTTGAGGGTGCGTGACCAGGCGCAGTTTTGCTGGCGACTCTAGGCAGCTTTTTGCCACGTTGGGTCAGAAGGACCACGCGGAACCTTCCCACCTGACCAGCCTGAGCAGCAGTGTGTCAGGAGGGGAGGAGAACCCGCTGCCCGCTCATGCCTGATTTAGGAGCAAGCCTCGGTGCCTGTGCCACCGCATCCCAAAAATAGCCGCTACACTTGCTGTGACGGAAATACCCTGGCAAACGCCAGCTGGGCCATCATTTGCATCAGACAACAAAGATCTTGGAAATACAGAACCCAGTCTTTGGAAGGAGTTTGTGAAACAATTATAATGAAGGCATCTTTCACTCGCTGGTGTTGCATTTCCTTGACGCTGAGGTTTCGGTTTCTGTGTACGTTTGGATTTCTGCTCACAGCCGGCATAGCAGCAGTGTGAGGGCCTTTGGGGAGGTTTCCCTAACATGTGCAGACGGTGTCAGTCGCCTCAGCGGTTCCCAGGACTTTGTGTCAGCCTTCTCCAACCTCATGCTTCCGATCTCAGCCCCCATCAACCTTCCCATCGTCACCAGTGGTCTGTTGGGGTCTCTGTTCCAAAATATATGAAGACACTCGTTGAGGAAAGCAGCTTTCCACGTTCGTGTTGTATCCCCCTGTTGGCCACAGCTGCTCCTGGTACTAAGCAGTGACTGCCTAGTGAGAATTTTCTGGCGTGCTTCTGGTTCCCTGGAAACATTGCTCTAAAAAACGGTGTGCTGAGGGATCCAGTTCAAGTTAAATGGGTCAAAGAGATATTAGCAGATAGACTGTGTGAGAGAAGTTGCAGAGTCTGGCAACCCATGGGAAGGTGAAGGCAAGCGTGTTTCATGAGTGAACGATTGCACCATTGCCCATGTGTGATTCTGCGTCCTTTCTCCTGCTTTGAATGACCCCTAGATCCGAATGCAGGCCCAAAGCCACGTGATACAAGGGGGAATGATCGGCAATTTCATAAGCATCTACCAAAACGAAGGCACCCGAGGACTGTGGAAGGCAAGTTGTTAAAATAAATTTCCAATGTTGCTCTGCAGTTACACTCAGCAAATTACTGTTTGTGGTTGTGTTTACTTTATTTGTATTTTATGCAAAAACACCTTTGGAAACAAAAAAGTTTAGAAACTCTGCATGTTCGAATGAACATTACTTTGGCCTTTATCTACAGTGCATGCAGGTCATGTGGGTGTTTGTGGGAGCCACATAAAGCTTTGAAGCTTCCTATAATGCTACAGCCCATTCTTGTAAAACGAATTGAGTGGGTAGGAACATTCTCTGTCCCCACACAGAATTATACTGAAAGCAGAGTGGAATCTAATTATAGCAGACTGAACTTTGGAGACTGAACTGCTTAGCCAGAAAACTAGCTGTCCATCCTCCCCATTTGCTTGAATCCAGCCCTGGGATAGTGTGCAGAAAAGATCCATGATGTTTCCTAGTATCTCAAGACCTACCCTGCAGGGTTGTTGTGGGGATAGAATGGAGAGCAGCAGGAGGAGAATGATGGAAGCTGCTTTGAGTTCTTTCTTTTAAAAAAGTGGGCTATAAATCTAATTAATTAATTAGTTAAAGCAAGTCAGTTTGGCTTCCTCCAAGGAACCAGTTAAGGGTTCAGATTTTTTTGGATGGAAGTGAACATGCAAAAATTTCCTCAATTGAATATATTCTGATGGGGAAGATATTCCCTAGAAACTATTCAAAGGTTTTTTTTTCCCCTCCTGATACCTAAAAGTAAATGAAATACAATTGGTTCCTGTCATCCTGGCATACCTTAATCTTTAGAATAGTGGAATGTTATTCTAAGTAATTCCAGAGGGATAATTTGGTGAGTCTGTTATAGCCAAAATGTTTGGCTGGATCCAGAGTAATGCGGATCTGAAAGGTAGTGAATTTTTATTTATTTATTTATTATTTATTAAAACATTTTTATGCCGCCCCATTCGCCGAAGCCTCGGGGCGGCTTACAACATAGATAAAACAAGTTAAAATCCATATAAAATAATCTTAATGTTATAATTTGTCACAATAGAAGTTTGTGTGGACCACTTCCGACTTGGGCTGAACGACCGTTAGTCTTTCAGGTGCCATAAGACTCCTTGCTGTCTATCCTAAACAATTGTTTGCTAGGATGGAAAATCCAAAGGTTGCTATTTCTTAATCATGCAAAGCAGCATACATTTCCTGCACTGAGCAGGGGCTTGTACCCGACAGCACCTTCTAATTATACATTTTAGCATTCAGTAAACAGGTGAAGACAAAAAAATGTAGGCATAAAGGGAGGGGCTTCGTCTTTGGTACTACCTTGCTTTGTGTTTCAACGTTTTCGTTGTCCTTTTGACAGGGGGTGTCGCTCACCGCTCAAAGAGCAGCCATCGTGGCCGGCGTGGAGCTTCCCGTTTACGATCTTGCCAAGAAGCACCTAATAATGTCGGGACTCATGGGTGACACGGTGTATACGCACCTCCTGTAAGCTTTCACGAGTGACGGGAGGTTTCTTTTTCCAGGGGGCTGTACAGAAAGCTGAGTGTTGCCATTGAAAGTTTTTACGGATCGTTTTTAATTCATCGGTCTCCCACAGCACAGCATAGTTAGACAATTTGACAGGGTTTTTCAAGCCATCATTCAACACGTCTGCAAAATCTGAACCATAAAAACTCAAATGAAAACTTTCTGCAAGCTGTTGTTTTTCTGTACTATCAGAAAAACAAAATCAGACATGAGTGTGCAGTCTTTAACTGCGCTATGCCCTTTCCCCCTGCACTGGGAAAAGGCAGTTTTGGTAACCGAAATCTGAATTTGTTTTAGAGCCAGTTTTACCTGTGGCCTCACTGGAGCTCTCGCATCGAATCCCATTGATGTTGTGAGGACACGGATGATGAACCAGAGACGCTTACGGAGCGGAGTACATTGCGGCTACAAGAGCACTTTCGATTGCTTCCTTCAAGTAAGCAGAGCTTGTGCAGTGGTAGGAAAAGAGCACGGTATAAATGAATTGGTATGTTGCACTGTCGGTCCAGGACAGGTTCAGACCATCATTGAAACAGTGACTGAGAACAGGACGGGAACATGTGGCACCCTGTCCTTTTCGTGGACCCTGCTGTGCCAAATTTCTGGCCATATGTTCCGTTTAAAACAAGTCCTGGAAGGTACACGTGCCTTTATTCTAATGCAGAATTGCACTCCTGCAGCTTCTGGTGGTATGTTTGCATTTGTGGAAGGTATGTGTTCCTTGCATTGTTTTGTGTCTTTTCTCTTGTTGCGGACTTGTGGCAACCTGGACGTGGTGATTTCAGCAGCAGAAGCGTGCGTGAGTCCTGGTGAGTCTCAGGTGGTGAAGGAAATTGGAGGTTACCCCCCCGGTTTAGAGGATGGCAGGTTACAGGTTCATGCCTGGTCTCCCAGGAGTCCCTCTTCCTTGAATATATGAGTAGCAGAGAAGAAAGTCGCCATCAGTTTGTACCAACTGCCACTTCTCCTCTGGTATGAGCTGATGAAAGCTTTCGACAAGCAAATCCCAAACTCAGCTTGTTTCTCTGAACTCTTGAGCGGATTATTTCTTCGGAACCTGTTCCTGACCCGTCCAACCTTGAAACAATCCACTTGGATTAGTGTTCACACACACGTTGTCCATTGAAAACGTGCACCATTTTGAAGCTTTCCCTAACAGAGTTTTGGGATTTGCTTTCTAGTGTATATGAGGTAGAGAATTTGCAACTGAGATGCTGTAAGATCCCATGTGGCATGCCCAGTTAGCTTGCAATTTAACTGGAAAGGGGGTGGTTACGCATTGTTTCTCAGCTGTCCCTAAAGGGCAGTTTGCAGAAGCTGATATTCCTTGATTTACTGCTCCAGTTTCCCAAGGAAGAAGTGCAGGAATGATGGTACTACAAGGAAAGAGGTGCTGCTTTCTTAAAAAGAATTACCTTTCTCCTACTGCCAAACGACTGCAATGCAAAAGTGGTGATTACAACAGTTTATTATGCTATAAAACCTTAACGACCTGCAAAAGTGTAAACACACTGTAAAATGCCATGCATGGTTTCATGTTAAAGGTAACGAGAAAGCCATCTGCCCCGTATCCTGAGCCTTAAGAAATGAAACCACGGCTGCCAGCCAGTGTCTACAGTACTGGGCTGGATGAGCCATGGTCTCAGCTGATCTAAGGCAGCTTCTGCCAGTCCTGCCCCTCCCTCTCTTCAGCTAGTGATGGTCCACACGTTTCACCGGGTTTTTTGTTGTTTTTGACAGACGTGGAAGAACGAAGGGCTTTTTGCATTGTATAAAGGATTCTGGCCAAACTGGCTGAGGCTCGGTCCTTGGAATATTATCGTATCCTTTTTCATAAGGGTTGAAGCACATTAACTAAGCCGGGAATTCTGCAGCAAGAACATAGTGCTGAGATTTGTGCCAAATGATCTTGAGAATACACTGTGTTCTTTTGACGCCTCTAAACTGAAGGGACTCTAGCTTGGCCGTCAACTTCAAGACACTTTCAGCTTGAAATAACGGTCATTTAGCCAATAGGAATCTCACCGTGATGTTTGTTGGTTTCTTTGCTTAAACACAGAGTTTTTGATAGTCCTTTATAAAAGATCTTGGTCTATGAATTTCCTAAGAAATCACGAAATCAACAAATCATGCTGTTTCTCTGCTGGAGAGTTCTTACCTTTTGTTTTTTCTGATTTAGGGTACACTCCTAAACAGAAAAAGCCACCTCCCATTCCCAGCATTTCCCAGCTGGGACAGTTGGCTGCAGCATGCGAGAAGAGCTCACGGAAGTCTTCCCCAGCCTGGTGCTGGCCAGATCTTTTTACTGTAACTCTGAGTATCCCTGTGCATCAGCCACACTGGCTGCAGCTGGTGGTTGTCGGTCCAAGACATCGGGTTCTCCCAGCAGTAAAAGTCCGGGTGGATCTGAGGAGTAGCAGATGCTAGAAAGGGAAGCCACTGCTTGGATGAGGAGAGAAATTGCTTCCAGAGCCAGGGGTACTCAAGGCAAGTGAAGCCCTTACTGGCAGAGAGAATGGCAAGCAGGCATCTGGGACGGAAGTATTCCTTTTAGTTGCCGTTGCATGTTTATAAGGCAGTTTCTACACTGTATTCTTCCTTAGTGGCAAACCCTAGTTCTTTGTGACGTATGAACAACTGAAGAACCTGGAATTATGATGTGCTGGATATTAGAGAGTTTCAGTCCTTCTGATGATGAATTCACTCTTCAAGTGGTCTTGAGTGTACTATCCACAGTAGACAGCCGTTTTGACTGAAAGGAAATGCCTGTGCAAGAACATTAACACTTTCAATGTCTCCACCGTTATGGAATTGTGCATTGCTGGAGGTGGAAACAAAGTTCAGCAGACATCAGAATATCTTTAAACACTATTGAATGTTAGCTCTGATAATAGCTTGATGTTTGCAGGGGGTTGGAAGCAAGTGTGCCGAGCTTCTCCGAGTCTCTGCTCCATGAAATTTGCCCCGTGGTGTAGCATTCAGTAACAAACTATAATTTATGTAGTGTAGCACTGCACAGGTTGCGTTGTGTGTATGTTGCGGCTGAAAACCGGTGTCCCTCCTTTCAAATATGCCACTGCAGCTTCATCTTTAATTAAGATCCATCTTCTGTGGGGCTAGGGCTCTGCAACTCTACAATGACACCCACAGCAGAATTGGTCACCTAGTTGCATGTGTTTTGCTTGGGGACTGTCCTGTTGCAGGTCCCCGTTTCACTGATGCACACGCATCTCGACTGCATTCTTGGGAATGTGTGAATCGGCTGCTTTTAAAGCATTGCAGCATGAACGTTCTGTCAGGGACATGAATTAGGAAAACCCACCGATTCAGGGAACCCATTGCAGAAAGCTCCGTCCTGGCGACATGAGTTGCATTCCCCTCTGGAACACCTTAAGCATGCATGCTTAATAACAATTCGGAGGATGCAATGCCTCTCCCAAAAGAGTGCCTGAGGAAACCCCCGTTGCAGGTAGATGTAGAAATTGGCCAGCCGGCGGCACAGATTCTGCCTTTCCATGTCCTTATACCGGCTTCCCAGCATATGTGCCTGTGAGATGCAAGCAGCATTCTTATACATCTGTTCCTATAACCGAGCGATTTCCATGCAGGAATGGGATCGCATGTGATGCGCCACGGAGGCTGTTCAGCGAAGAATCCCCAAGCGCGAGGCACACGGGGCTTTGCGGTGGAGGGACCTTTCCCATTCTCTGCGAGGTTCTTGTCAAGCAGAAAAAGATCAGACTCGCTTGAGGTCTGCACTCTAGGACATAGGAGGCCTAGCCGTGGAAAGAGTTGCACAGGGCTGCCCGGTTGCCTCCAACTTGCAGCGACCCCGTGGCTGAACGCCCTCCGGAATGTCCTCTCCGGGACAGCTCCGTTCTTCTCCCAGGCTCAAGGCTTGTGGCTTTCTTTATGGATTCTGGGATATGCTTTCTCTCTGCCCATCTCATAAAGTTGTTCTTCCTTCACCTGAGTTAATTTGTGTGGCGGGTCAGCTCAAAAGTCCAAATAATAGTATTTTGTGACACTGCTGTTTTTCAGTTCAGTCTGCAGAGAGCTGCTTTGGAGTGGTTGACTGTGTGAATGTCAAGAAAGTTTGTTTGTGCATAGAAAGTAGAGTTTGATGTAGAACTGACTTGCTGAGCTAATTTGTACTGCTTAACGAGTACATTCCACTTAAGGCAGTGTTCGGTGTTCAAGATGCACAAATGCGCATGCCACTTTTTCCACTGATATTGACATGTTTGTGTGTGTGTCAGAAGGGTAGACATGATGAGGGTTATTCATGGGGCATTTTGTTACAAAGAAGTATACTCTTTGGTAAAATATATTTCTGCAATGGACGTTACGCATTCCCTGAAATCTCACTGGAGAACCAGTGAAGAAGAAAAGGCCAGTTCGTGCAATCTGCTTGGTTTCTCCTTGGTTTGGAGGCCACAACATCCGTCTCAGGGAACCGAAGAAATTAACGGGGTCCCCTCCCACATATCCTGGGAGGGGTTCCCACCAAAAGGAGTGGGAGCCTGGCTTGGAAATCTTCGTGACAACAGGGTCAGAGTCCACCTGTGTGAATGCACAGGTGACCACTCGAAGAACAATGGGTACAGGTAGACAACCTGCCTTTCTGAAGAGGACTTCTGCATATATTCAGCTGAAGGTGCTCAGAAACCTCTGCATGGTCCAGAAACTCAAATGTTCTGTGTGGAAGCACAACCCTGAGTGTGCTGATCGTGGGATAGTATGAAAGTCCCTCAGCAGAGAGGACACTGGGGGCAAATTTTTGTATAACCCGGAAGTGGATCTTATACGGGGAGGTGATGTGTGTGTGTGCTTGAACAAAACTTTCCTTGTCTGTCACTGACATTGGGCATCGTTTGGAAATCATCATTATGTAGAAAGGTTCTTATGAAAATTAGCTCGAGAAGTTAAAGTGTAATTATTACTAGTGAGCAATTATGGGTATAGGAAAGTGGTTCCATGGTTTAAAAACACTGCTGAACGAGCAGTTTGAACAAAGCTTGGAAATGTTAAATGCAAGTAAATGTTACAGGTAAATGTTTGTAAAATGCAGGTATTTTACAGAGGAATGTGGACAGAGGTGTGCACATTGCATTGAAATGCACATTTGCTAATGAAACGACAATTCCTTTTTTCTGTAGCTGAGCTAATCATTAGCTGCTATAACATAATTCTACTAAAATGAAAGCAATCATTTGGATGTATTGATCCTTCAAAATTTTGTTAATATATTCTGTGCTATGAATATCCATGGAATGTTTCTGGGCTGTTCGGTACTTGGCTTGCAATAGTTGTTTCAGCAATGTTATTTATTCACACGGGTTCTGTACTATTCAAAATAGATAAACTACCATTATTTTTTACCCTGGTGCACTTCGCAATGCCTCTCCAATGTCGCAGCCAAGCGCCTGCGCGACCGTGGGCGAGACCAGGCCGCTGTGTGTCTCTTCCTAACCTGTTGTGCTTCTCATGTGCCTTTCGGGTTCTGCCAGGCTACGCTCGTCTCTCCTCAGTTCCCTCTTGGGCTTTATCACTTGACCTCAGTGCCATCTCTCCAGGTTCTGCCTCCATCATACCAAAGCCATCAGGACGTTGTGCATGTGCTTCCTCTGTGTTCGTATAACAAACCCTGTTTGTGAGAACTCTAACTCCAGGCTGTTGTGTTGCTACTCACAAGCCAGGATGTCCGCACAGCATGCCATGCCTGTAGGTTAAAAGCGCAACAAAGGGTTCCACATGTAAGCAAAGCCTGAGAGGTCCCAAGTTTCTAATCTAATCCTCTACTAAGCAAAGGATTCCTCTGGAGAGCTATTTTGCATCATGGCACTGGATTGAAAATTGCTCGGGTCTAGGCTTAGGGCAACGAATGGCTGACCTTAAGAATTACTACCATAGTCCTCTAGGTTCAACATCAGGAGCAGCCTAGAGTTTGGCATTTGAGCACTTGGTTCCAAAAGCCGGGGAGATGTCCGGAAGTTGCAACAGTGACCACCATGGGATGCGGCTATTCCTAGAAATAAAAACGGGGGTAGGTATATGGACGGGGGTTTTGTTCCGTCAAAGAGGGCACAGCATATAAGCCGAGGAGTGAATGTCACCCGATCGCTGGCTGGAACGATCAAGGAAGTTACTACTGTTTACTGGCGGCCCAGTATATTCAGAAGGTCCGGTGTTTTTGCGAATGGCTCTTCGACCCAGCAGGGGCTTCTGTTATGGCGGGGCGGGGCGGGGGCCGCAGTGGATTTTCCTCCCTCCGCGGACACTACTATTGCCTTGCATTCAGATGCAACCTTGCAGGTCAGCGCCGGGTGGGGACAAATCCACGCGCGCACGCGGGCGCCCCCATTCACACGCGCATTCGCCCCGGCGCGCGCCCGCCCCCGCCCCCCGCCGCGTGCACGGCCTCGCCGGCAGTCTCCCCCTCGCCCCCTTCCCCACCCGGCGCCTTCGCCCGGGAGGAAGCCTGCGGCGCCTGTCCCCGAGGAAGCGCTCGGCTGGAGACGCGGCTGCCTCGAAGGGTTAAGCCGACCGAGTGCCGCTTCCTAGAGGGGCGCGTCCCTTCTAGGGACCGGTGGCAGCCGGCTCGGCCCTGGGCTCATCGCTCCCTCTAGAGGCGCGGAGGCCGCTCCGCAGTTCGGCGGGGCGGCTCGTCGCGTCCCGCTTTCCCGCGCCAGGACGCCCGGGGAGGGGGCCGGATCCCCCGCCTGCGATTGGCTGGGCCGGCCGCCGCGGCGCGTCATCACGTGGCGTGGCCGGCGCCGCCTGAGGGAGAGCGGCCCGCGCGGACCCCGGGCCTTTTTCCGCGGCCCGATGCGGAGGAGGCTGGGCGAGGCCCCCCGCAGGTAGGGGCGGGGCGGGGGCGGGCGACGCGCGCCTTGGCCCCAGCCGGGGCGGCCCCGCGAGGCGGCGGGTTCCCCGGGCAGAGTTGGTTAATGAGGCAGCCGCAACGAGTCCGCAGCCCGCTGCCTGCGGAGATGTAGCGGCAGCGCGCGGCAGACCGCGGCGTGAAAGACGAGCGTGTTTCTCAAGCTGTTCACGTGCCGGGTGAGTGGGAAGGGGCTGGTCGGGCGCCGGGAGGAAAGAAGAGTCGGTGCCAGGCGCGCCGCTGTGGGAAGCGGGGCCCGTCAGTGGCCTTTGAGGTTTCTCCGGGGCTTCCGCGTCATGCACGCATGTGTTTACTTTGAAACGTTTGCACCCCCTCTATACCAAAACAGGTCTCAAGGCGGCTGTTTGAACCGTTTTCATTTGGGTAAGATGCATCCAAGGCTTGCGACCCTCTGACTTTACTGTTGCGAAAGTGGCGAGCAGCCCTGGAAAGCCCCTTCCCCGCACGGGGCCAGCGGGGCTTTCCGCCACGTTTCTACCAGTCCCCAGGCCACACATCATGTACCAGGTGGCCCAACGGCAGGGGCTGATCCTGTGCGGTGCACTAAATAGGGCTGGGAGAGGAGGGATTGCTAGACAATGCCGCATTCTTGCATGCAAGCTTCTCCTAAGTTCACATCAATTTGCATAGCAGGGCTTTCCCTGAAAGATCAGTGGGACAGTAAGAATGCGTGGGTTGCAGAGGTTTCTTTCTCCAGTTTCGGGTTCTAGAGGGTTAAGAAATAATGACCCATCAGCTGGTGCTCTGTTGAACTGCAGCCCAGAAGTTAGAAATGATGGTGACTTGCAAGGGCAGCAGTGAAGGAACTAGAAAAAATCATCACATGCGGAGATCCAGGCCAAGATCCCCCACGCAAGATTCTGGTCGCTGTGTATGGGTGTGAAAGCTGGGCCGTGAAGAAAGTGGACAGGAAGAAAATGGATGTCCTTGGGACGCGGTGGTGGAGGAGAACTTTGTGAATACCCTGGCCTGACAGAAAGATGAACAAGGAGGTGCTAGATAAAATCAAGCGGAATTGCTCTAAAAGGAAAAACAACAAAACGGCAACTGTTGTAATGTCACTAGAAAGCACGACTCCCCTGGAGAATACAAAGCTAGGAAATGCTAAGGCAGGAGGAGGAGGAAGAGGGGGCGGCGGTGGCAGAGGAGGAAGAGGGAAGATCAGCTGTGAGATGGGTTGATTCCCAAAAGGGGACCACTGCCATTTTTATTTTGTGTCCCTAGTATGTATAAATAGTTTTGTAATTTAAAAAAATAACAGTCAAGCTCACCGATGTGCTTTTTTGCACAGTCCAAAATGGGAAGCTTTGCCAGGACAGGGTCCTTGGAGATGTCGGCTGAGTGAAGGAGGTACCAGCCATGGACATGGACCTTATAGAGCTGCAGAAAGGGTTGCTTGCTTGTTTGTTGCTTGTTTATACACATATTTATAGGCTGCCTGTAACTGCCGAGGCCTTCCTAGGCAGCTTTTACTTTGCTTTCCCCTGGTGTGTTTTGACAATGCCTTTTTTTGCATTTGTATGACAGTCTACTATGGTAACAGTTTGATCCAGAATCTCTTTGCCCCATTCTTCATAGGTGGGCTGATTTATTTACCATATCTTGCAAGTGTTAGTGCTAAAGTCATCACAGGAAGCATCCCTTACATGGAACTAGTCCACTGACTGACTTGCTCAGCGGTGTCTGCTACACTGACAGGTATCCACTCGCTCATACATTTATTTCCAGAAGAAACAATAGGAAAGGAAAGCGGGTATAGGAGGGGAAAGTGCCGAGGGTCTGTCCACAAGCATAGCGTATGACATCAGCAGTTACATCCATTCATTAAAGAGACAGGCATCCGCTCGCCAAGGGTTCCTTAGCAGGCCTGTCTGGATATGCCTGCCTGCGAAGCGGTCGTGCTGCCGAGGTCGTTCCCCTAAGGAGTGTGTACCTCCTCTCAACAGAGCTTAGAGGGAAGGGTACAGTTTGGGCCGACATTGCAGTTATGCCTTCATTGTGTTGTTACCAAGATAACTCCCAAAACATTGAGTGGGGGGGGAGAGAGAGAGGGGAACAAATGCTTTTCTGAGAAGTAAACAAGCAGTTTACTTCCCAGAAGTAAAAAGTACCCTTTAAACACAATGTGTTTCCCGTTGCAGAAATGCTGAGTGAAAATAGCTCTGTATGCCTGAAGAAGAAATGCTTGTCTTCCGCACCACACACTGAGCCACTTGAACATGAAGATGAAAAGGCCAAGTGGGCTGTGCAGAAGCGCTTTCAAGTAAGTGTCTCTGCCCGTGATATCAGGTGTAAATTCTTGTTAAGGTGCTGATTAGTGTAGTGCCTTAAGGAGTAAAAGCCTGTTGTTTTAAATCCTGTATTTGCCATCAAATCCTGGAATGTCTGAATGTCTGCAACCCTTTTGCTAAGTGAAAATATTAGGAGAACACCTTGTATTAAGAACATTTATTTATTTATTTAAACAATTTCTATGCCGCCCCATTCGCAAAAAGCCTCAGGGCAGCTTACAACATAAATAAACAATTATATAATTAACCTTAAATCCGGAAACATCTCAGCACGTACATAAAAACCCAATAAATACAATCAATAAATTAACAGTTAAAATAACTTAAATAAAAAGGTCTTGGCCTGGTGCCGAAAAACAAATAACGACGGCGCCAGGCGGACCCCATCTTAATATCTTGTTTGGGAATCACAGCAAATATAACTCTGCCGCCAAAATGCACATAAAATCTTTTGGAAACTTATCAGGGTTTTCGAAATTTTCAGAAGGCCCAGGGTAGCTTTCCTTTCCATCCCAGCTTGCAGTGAAGGGACAAAAGTGACACCTTTCCTGTCTGCTGTGATCCTTGTCACCTTGGAGAAAAGCTCCCATTGGCAGAAATCTCTAAAAGTGGCTTCGGATAGAGAAGTGAGTTTCATCAGGATTGCAGCTGGAGAGCAAAGACTTAAACTTCCCTTCCTGCCTTCTGCAGTCCTAGAATTCTGGCTTGCTGCTGCATCCAGATGTTTCCTCTTGTCCTCAGACAAAGCTGATTTTAGCCTAGATATTTAGCTTACAAGGTCAGCAGCTACATGTCTGAGTTCTTATAGAACTCTCATGTGTGTGCCCCCTGGATTTTATGATTTATTTTAATGCTTAGCTTGTCAGCTATCCTAGGATTTAATCTGTTACCCCTCTTAAATTAGTTACTTAGACACTATGCTGCCACTTCCAACAATCCTAAATCTTCAGACATCCTGAATCTTTTACAGTGAAGACTGTTGTACTCTGCAAATTCTCTTTCATGTTTTTAAAAATTATTTTTAACAGTCTGGCTGCCTTCACAGCTAGTTTCCTGCTTGTGATAATGTATATTTAAAAATGCGTATAGTTTGTCTTTATTTTTAACAGTTGCATCGCGTTTTTCCTACTTGCTTTATTGTCACTATCCTTTTTAATGGATAGTAACATAAACCATTAAATAAACAATAAACCTTCTTGCTTTATTGTCAATATTCTTTTTTTGTTTCTGCTCCTTTTTGTTCTAAGAAAGGGAGAGTCTCCATGTGTGGAGGTTTATGCGCACTGAGGGTGTGGGGCAGAAGACTGGTCCTCTGCTTTGTTCGTGCAGGAACTAGTTTGCAAGCAAGGAAGGGGATGGACCTGCAGCTCCTACTGGAGGCCAGGCAAAGAATGCCTTCCCTTCAGTAACTTCCTGTGCGGCTTAAGGGGCGAAGGGTGGCTTCTTTTCAAACATGTGAAAATGGTAGATGCAGTGAGTGGTTGGAATGGGCGTGGCGCACTTCCAATGAACAAGCCCATCTAGTGTAGACTGATAGCAGACAATACTTTTAGAGGGCGTAGGGGGTATTAGCAGTTCAGAAATGTAACATGATTCCCTCCTTTAAAAAAAAAAAAAAAAGGATGGGGCTCCTTTACATGAGTGAAATTTCATACTCTGGAGTATCTCAGAGGGGAAAACCGGGTCAGCTACTTTTATAAGGTTTATTTATTAGATTTACATCCCTCCCTTTTTCTTTTTTAAAGAACTCAAAACGGCCTGCATCATTCTCTTCCTCCAGCTCTCAGTCTTATCCCCACAACAACAACCCTGTGGGGTAGGTTGAGCTGAGAGTCTGTGGCTGAGCCAAAGTCACCCAGTGGGCTCCATGGCGGAGCGGGGACTCGAACCCGGGTCGCCTGAGTCCCAGGCCCACACTCTGACCTGCTTGGGTGTCTTAGATGGCCAGAGCAGCAATTTGGCCTTGCCTTGTCATTCACAGTAGCCATGTGCACTGGGGAGAGAAGTGTAACGCCCCAAGTGGTGTGAGCGACACCAGCTCCTTCCATTAACTCTGGCAAGGTGAGACCGAGATCCCAGGCGTCCGCGTCCACTGGCCTTCCTGTCGGATGTGTTTCTAGGCAAACCTGCTTAGCATTGATGGGCCAGTGGCAGCTGTGCTTCCTAAATCGATGAGGAAGTTCAGATACCGTATTTTTCCGTCTATAAGATGCCCCCATGTATAGGACGCCCCCCAAAATTCAGAAATCACTATTTTAAACACTAAATAGAAGACATTTTTATTTAGTGATTGGGCAACGTGTGCATACCAGTGCTATGATCTTATGCATCACACTTAGCTCTGAGCAAATCACTCTGTTCAGCCTCTATCACATTGCTGGTTTCTTCTTCTTCATTTTCATTTTCAAACGTCTCAGTTTCCTCAACTTCTGCTGCCTGCTGAGTCACTGTCTCTACGCGTGTATATGAGATCATCCTCCGTTCCATTCATGGCATTGCTGAGTCCACATTTCTTAAAGGACTTCACAGTCACCTCTTGTTTGATGCCAAGGAGGAGGTCCAAACTGTCTCTCTGCAGCTTTGTTTCCATGCTCTTTTGCATAACTGATTACATCCAGTTTAAATTTTGCAGAGTAAGGCATTTGCATTTTTATGGGCTCAGAATGCTCACGACATTCCTGCTCCCTGTCGCATCTGGGCACTGGCTGCACACTCTCCGCACTCTCTGACGTCAGTTACATAAAGCTCATGATGGGAGGAAGCCTATGAGCTTGTCTCTGCAATCGGAAGTTTCGCTCATGAGGCTAGTTTGCAGAGATAAGGTATCGGCAGTTTTGCCACCATGGTTCTCCTCTCGCCCTCCCCCCCGTGTATAAGACACCCCTCCATTTTTAGGTAAATATTTTTAAGGAAAAGTATCATATATGGAAAAATACGGTAAATTCTTGCATAAGCACCTCTGTACATCCTGTCTCATAGATCTTTGAGACCACAGCTCCCCAAAGAATGAAACTATTATAAGAAGCAAAGGGTTACACAGGTAAAAAAGCTGGCAGAGAAATTCCGCATGTTCTCGTTTTTTAAAAGCAGGTTTGTCCAAGTGTGTCCCTGCTGCCACCACCAAAAGTGTCCTGTTTTCAGTTGCAGAAAATGGCATGAAAACTAAAAGTACACATACTAGTAAAATCAAGCAAGGTGTTTCTGTTTGCCGAAGTGTGAATACATATATGGAATACCTTTTCTTGTAACCTGATACTTAAAAATAGAATTTTTGAATCTGGAGTGATCATTAATGGTACCTCCTTTTTTTTAGACCCATCATCCTAGTTGCGATTGGCTTTTGCATCCTTTACACAGTCAAGTTAAATTCTGATTCTGGGAGGTGTGACATGGCAAGAATCCATTATGTAAACACTGAATATGCCAAGGTGGGTTATGTATGTCACTTTATGTGCAAATGTTATGTGCAAATGTTTCTACAACATAATATTTGGTAGAGAGTTTTGCTACAGTTTTCCTCATGTACTCCTTGTTTTTAGTATCAAGGTATTCTTCAATGAGCTGTGCTGGATCAAACCACTGGATCACCCGGTCCAGCTTTCCGTTCACATGGTGGCAAACCAGTTGCCCACGGAACCCTCCAGCAGGAGCTCTGTCTTGCCCAAACCCCTTAGCCACTGGCATATGCAGAGTCCTGTCCCTCTGATAATGGACATAGCCACTAGCCAAAAGGGAAGCCTTCTCCTCTACAGATTTGCCCAGTTCCCCTGTCAAGCCATGCAAATTGACGGCCATCGCTGCACCTTGTGGGGTTGAATTCCATGGCTTAACCACGTGCTGTAAGAAGAACACCCGGCTCTCTGAACTCGCGTGTAAATGTGGTGCAGGGTGGCTGGGACAGGCAGACGGCTGCGGAGGGAGGGAGGGAGGAGCCCTTAGTCTCCCCAGGCTGCCCTGCCAGGCCCCAGCAGGCCACCTGCTCTACCCGGGCAGTACTTGAAGAGGAGCACACGAACTGGTTGGTTTGGGGCCCACAAGCCGGTTGCACCCAAGCCTAACTCAGGCCACAGCAGTGCTGCTGCTGCTGTCCCACGAATGCTGTTTTGGGGAGGAGGAGAAGGCTGAGGAAAGTACCAGAACAAAAGCAGGGCGGATGAAAAAGTTGGGGGTGGATTCCATCCTGCGAGTCCAGGGTGAGGTCTCCTTTGGGGACTGATGGTCACTCTTTGTGCGCCTGTGCCACGCGGATGTTCCACGGAAGGCCTGCGTTTTATTCCTCTAGAAAGCCCAGAAGTTTGCCCAGCACGTCCTGCAAGCGGAGTGCCGACCGTCTTTCGTGAAGAAAGAGATGAGTCGGTTATTCATGCAGAAGTACAGTATGAACGTCCCTCCTTTTACAAGCAAGCACATAAACGCGCAGCAGGGTGCCTTCAAATATGAACCACCCTTTGGATTTCACAAGTTTTCAGAAAAGCTTCGAGACCTCTTGGAACTTTTGCCCGAGTATGACTTCCCAGAAAGCTTGCAGTCAGCACCCTGCAAGCGTTGTGTTGTTGTGGGGAGCGGCGGGATACTTCGTGGCTTGGAGCTGGGTCACGCCCTCAACCAGTTTGACGTTGTGATAAGGTACATTGTGTTTTTTTCTGTTGGAGGTTCTACACTGGAGCTAGTGCTAGAAAGCAAATGTGCCCGTGTCCCCCTGTCAAAGCCCGTGTCCTCCGTGAGGAAGAGCCTGTGACTGAGTGTTTCCCAGTTAGGACCATTTGAAATTAGTTACATAGAAACAGCGCGAGCCAGAAGGGGTCTCCCAGGGCATCTAGTCTGACCCCCGGCTCCAGCCGGCTCCGCTCACGACATGCCCCCCATGTGCCTGTCCAGCCTGTCCTTCAACACCCGCACCGATGGGGCCTCAGCTACCTCCCGTGGAAGCCCATCCCATATCCTATGGGTCCTAACCGTCAGGAAGGACTTCCTGCCATCCAACTTGTTCTGTTGTTATGTGTAACTTAGACCTTTTGCAAGGCCAAATTAAAATTGAGGGTTACTCTTTGAAAAATATGGAAGGGTCTTAGGGGGGGTTTTTTGGAAGCTCTTTTTTTAAGGCTTGCACTAATAGGTTTGATTTGCTTACTTGGCAGATTAAATAATGCACCAGTTCAAGGATATACAGATGATGTTGGTAATAGAACTACCTTAAGGCTGACCTACCCGGAAGGGGCCCCCTTGTCTCATCGTGAATATTTCCCACAAGGGTTGTTCGTTACTGTTTTATTTAAAAGTGCTGACTTTGATTGGATTCAAGCAATGGTGAAAAATGAAACATTGGTGAGTAGTCTGTGATAATGCGCCTTCTCTTAACATTTTGGTTATATTTTGTTCAGGGAAGTCTGGAGGGCTTCACTTGATCTCATCACATGTGTGCTGATTCATTGCCATATATTTTTCATTTCTGTGTTGCCCCACAGTTTAAAACATAAAATACAGTATAAAATACAGTATAAAATGTGCATAGTTGAAATAAAAGGAAAACTCGAGCAGGCCCCAGCAGCAGTACAGAGTTGTAAGATAAAATGCAGAATTTAAAACAGTGCAAGATTAGAATTCGTGGGAAAATTCCAAGCTTTTCAACTGGCTCCAGGGGGAGTACAGTATGCTTGCCATGTGAGTCTCCCCAGGAAGTTAATTCCATGGGGTGTCACGGGAAAAGGCCCTCTTCCTGCCAAGGTTGTCATGCCCGTAGTGAACAATCCTTCAAGCCCTGCCCGGTAAGTCAGAATGCCTGTGGGCACTTGACGGTTTTCTTCAGAGGCATGTGCCAGGTGAAGCGGAGAGTCCTGACACGCAGCGCTGTTGGAAAATGCATTGCTAGAGAATGAGCTGATTTCAGTCACTAAACCCTGTGGAGCAGGATTAAAACGTCAGCTGCCTTTTTCCTTGCCTGCCCTATAAAAAGAAGCGAGAGTGGAATGCTTGAGTGACTTGGTTACAGGCGTGGCTTTGCATTCCGTATCCTTGACCAGCCACCTACGTCTGGAACGCAGCAGCTTTACTCTTCCAAGAGAGAGCCTGCAATGCGACCTGTTCTGCTTGAACAAGAAATAGATAATATGTCGCTGTGATAGTTCTCGCTTGTGCAAGTTGCAGCTTTCTCACTTAGAAATTCAGGGAAGTTGCTCTGGGGAACCAGTTCGGCCGGCCTTCAGTAGGTTTGAAGGAGGAGCAGTGACTCACATGTTACTCAGCAAAGCCCATGTTTGAATTGTGTCCAAATACCCACATCCAGCACTCCCCTGTATCGTGAGGAGCTGCCCTAAGATACAGTGGAAGCAACGTGAGGTCGTAGGGCCAGGCAAGCCAAAGGGAAATTGCAAGCAAAAAGGAGCCTGGGATTGTTGTGGATGCCAAGCCGAACGTGAGTCAGCAGTGTGGTGTGGCTACGAAAGGCCGGTGCCATTTTGGACTTCCTGATCCCGTGCAGGACTGGCTCCCCTCGGCTGAGCACTGGTCAGCCCTCATCTGGCGTGCTGATCCGAGCGAGCCTGCACACAGCCACTTGGGACAGATGCAGGCTCTGGGAAGGGTCCGGAGGAGGCGGGAAGGCTGATCCGGGGGCTGGACACGAGCCCCCTCGGGAGAGTCACGCATTCCCCACCCCGCTCGGGCCGTCAAGGTAGCAGCATTCACTGTGGATTCCAGATTTCGTGATCACCGGGATGCCTCTGCTTTCCCTCAGTCGCTCTGGATGCGGCTCTTCTTCTGGAAGCAGGTGGCGGAGAAGATCCCTGTGTTGCCGAAGCAGTTTCGCATCTTGAACCCAGTCATCATTAAAGAGACCGCTTTGGATATTCTGGAGTATCCCGAACCTCGATCAAAAATTTGGGGATGGGATAAGGTGAGCGTGTCTTTTGTGATGAAGGAATAGGCTTTCTTTTTTCCTATGACTGTTGAATCAGTAAAATGACAGTACTCAATTATTTTGATTTTTATCCATACAAAATGACTCTTTGGGAGACTGAAAGACCTCTCTTTTGGGAGCAGGGTAGATTCTTTATTTATGCTCTATCTAGTGTGAGATTCAATACAGTTCCTAGTGCCAGAATTCATATGTTTCTGCAGCAGAAGGAAGGAGAGCATACGGAATATGGCGTAATTTCATTCACCCCTCAGTTAGGTCTGGCCAAAGAAACCCCCGTAGTTCCTCAAGGGAAAGCTCTTACTGCCCCTAGAGGTGCCATAAGGATACTTCAGAGTCCCAGCTCTGGGGCTGGAGCTCTCCGGCCTTGGCATGCCTAAGCAGAGCTCCGATCCCCCCCCCCCGCACCCCCTCACAGCCAGTGGGAGAGCACTGGGTCAGAAAATGAGCTTGGAGAAGGGCAAAGGGGGTGGAGAGGGGAGGCCAGGATTTGGGACATTCCAAATGGCTCCAGCCTTCTCCCCCCACCTCCAAACGCCATCCCCGTGGAAATGGCCATCTAACAAAAAAGCAGGGTGGGAGGAGTAGTTGAGGAGGAAGGCGAAGGTCCCCACTGATGCCCCTGTCGCTTTCCTCGGCTGAGCGAGTCCTTTCGCATAGAGCCTGCGACGTGTGGAATCCAACCTGTGGCCGTGAGACAAAAGAAACCAGCCCATTCAACTTGAAATGCCTTTTTGTCCCACCCAGAATGTGCCCACCATTGGCGCCATAGCAGTGGTTATGGCCACACATTTATGCGACGAAGTGAGCCTGGCGGGGTTTGGATATAATCTCAGCCAGCCGAGCGCACGGCTGCACTACTTCGACCGCCTGTGTATGGCGTCGATGAACAGGCAGACGATGCACAACGTGACGACGGAAACAAAATTTCTTCAGAGGCTGATAAAAGAAGGTGTTGTGAGAGACCTCAGTGGAGGAATACACTGTGACTTCTGCAGCAAAAAAGCTCGTGACTAAAACTCCGTCCCAGAACTGGATCCCGCATGTTTCTGTAAGTTCATCCTCTCAAGTGTTTCCACTGCACCAGCCACCCGAAGAACCACTGTAAAGCTGCTGTAATTTTTAATTTCATGTTTAGCTGTATAGTATTTTTTAATATATGTTATAATAATAGTTTGCTTACCATAAGAATTTTGTGGGCAATTGACACTTTGTTGGTATGTTATCTGATGTTTGGAAAGAGAATCAAAACCTTTATTTTATAAGCTATTATATTTAGATGTCTGATCGTCAGCCTAACGAAAGAAAGAAAACCTTCTCCAGTGTCAGTCCATACCAATGCAATGGAAATATTTTTGGTTTGGGAATATGAAGTTATTTAAGTGGATCTTGGCTGTGCGAAATGTACGTAACAGAGTCAGTGGACCAGAACACGCTTCTTCTCTGACATGCTGGGGAAATGCCACCCCTGCTCCCTTTTTTGAGGCCGAGGCCTTTAGCAGTTGCCGAGCGTAGCAGGTGCTGTGCTGAATCCAAGACCTGCCCTGCTGAGTGGATTCAGTGAAGCAAGCGGATGATCATAACCTTATTTATTAGAGTAATACTTAGGCATTAGAATATTTCAAGATTTAGCCATGTGTCTTTCTGCCCCATCCCTCCAGCCCAGTTTGGGCATTGTGGTACTTGCGACACCTTCCCCGCAGGACCCGCCCCTCCAGAGCAGTTCTGACCTTCAGGTTTTGACATCAACGCAGCATGGGATCCAACCGCAGAGCGACGATGAGCATGAGCGTGGCGCTGAATCCCCCGTTTCCTCTTGGGAGGTAGCAAGGCCTCATCTGACGATCGGCTCTGAAGGAGGATGCCCCCCCCCACAAAAACTGAATTTGTTTTCCTCCCTCCGATCATTTAAGAAATGGTTCCTTTCATTTTTGTTGTTGTAAAGCTTACCTCTTTCCAGACGTGGTATGTTGTGTGTGCCATCACGCAACAGATGGGACAGGGACAAAGTGAGTGCACGTAACGCACACGTTCGTGGTCCCTCTGCAGTTTCTAGCACCTGCAGTAGGACTGCTCTCCACCTCCTTGTTAGATGCGTGAGCTGTAGGCGCATCTTGCGCGGATGCAGCTGCAGCAGTTCCACTCTGCCCATTGTGAAGAATCACAGAAATGTGAGTCATTTTTGTCTGCGGCCTGTGGCCTTCGCCCTGGAAGCCAGCGTGTGGCAGCAATAGTAGAGTGACCAACATACGTAAGTGGGACCCGTGGCAAAACGTTACAGTATTTCTCGCCCTCGGCAGGAATCCTGTCCGGAGCGCCAGCCCGCCACGCCTCCTCCAGGATGCTGGAAGTCTGCAGGGTGCTCAGGCTGGCCAGCGACATTCCCTGGATTCTGGAGGCCACAAAGCACGGCCAGAGGGAGCCCCTCCTCGGAGGGACTCGTGGAGATGACGCTGCCCCTGCGGTGTTTCCACAAGGGCTTCCCACAGCCATTTTTAAATAAGGCATGGGGACTGTACTGAGCTCCAGAAATTGCAGCGGAAGAAACCTCTTTGCAGGAACCTCCCCAGTAGGTTTCTGGATCTGTGCCAGAGTTAATTAAACAAAACATTTCTCTTGGGGCCGATCTCGTCATGCCAGATGCGCTTGCTTGCCCTGTTCCTGTACCGGGGGTGTGGGGGAGGGTGCTTACCTTTGCAGAACGGACCATGCAGGGAAGGGATGCCCAGGTGCTCTCCCCCTCCAAATGGCCCCTCCAGGCTCTGTTGCTTCACGCAGTTCTCGCCCTCCTGCCTCTTGGAGCTGACTGCAGGGGATGTGCTCCCGGTGGCAGGCTTGCTGCGCCGTCGTGCCCTTGATTGCACTGCTGCAGCTCCCCGGGAGGTGCTTACAGACTGCTCGAGGAATCTTTTCGTTTTCTCAATACCTGTTAAGAGGGGTTGATCAAGATACTTAAGTCTCCCTCCCCCACAAAACTAAGGGAGAACAAATTTTGTTCAGGTGTCTCTAAGTTTGAGAGCAAAATGGGCCTACCTCAAAATACATAAGTGGTTTCTATACTTAGAGCATTTGCTAGGCACAGAGAAACATGTTCTTCTTGTTGTTGTTGTTAGTCGCAAAGTCATGTCCGACCCATCGCAACCCATGGACAACATTCCTCCAGGCCTTCCTGTCCTCCACCATCCCCTGGAGTCCACTCAAGCTCATGCCGAGTGCTTCAGTGACTCCATCCTGCCACCTCATCTTCTGCCGCCCCCTCCTTCTTTTGCCGTCAATCGTTCCCAGCATCAGGGTCTTCTCCAGGGAGTCCTTCCTTCTCATTAGGTGGCCAAAGTAGTTGAGTTTCATCTTCAGCATCTGGCCTTCTAAAGAGCAGTCAGGGTTGACCGGTTTGATCGCCTTGCGGTCCACGGGACTCGCTGGAGTCTCCTCCAGCACCACAATTCAAAAGCATCAGTTCTTCGGCACTCAGCCTTCCTTATGGTCCAACTTTCACAGCCATACATTGCAACTGGGAAAACCATAGCCTTGACTATACACACTTTTGTTGGCAGGGTGATGTCTCTGCTTTTTAGTATGCTGTCCAGATTTGCCATAGCTTTCCTCCCCAGGAGCAAGCGTCTTTTAATTTCTTGGCTGCAATCCCCGTCTGTGGTGATCTTGGAGCCCAGGAAAATAAAATCTGTCACTACCTCCATTTCTTCCCCATCTATTTGCCAGGACGTGAGAGGACCGGATGCCATGATCTTAGTTTTCTTAAAGTTGAGTTTCAAGCCAACTTTTGCGCTCTCCTCTTTCACCCGCAACAAGAGGCTCTTTAGTTCCTCTTCACTTTCTGCTATTAGAGTGGTATCATCTGCATATCTGAGGATGTTGAGATTTCTCCCAGCAATCTTAATTCCAACTTGTGATTCATCTAGCCCTGCCTTTCTCATGATGTGCTCTGCATATAAGTTAAATAGGCAGGGTGACAGTATACAGCCTTGCCGAACTCCTTTCTCAGTTTTGAAATAATCTGTGGTTCTGTGTCCAGTTCTCACTGTTGCTTCTTGACCCGCATACAGGTTTCTCAGGAGACAAATAAGATGGTCTGGCACTCCCATCTCTTTAAGAACTTGCCACAATTTGTTGTGATCTACACAATCAAAGGCTTTAGCATAGTCATTGAAGCAGAAGTTTTTCTGGAACTCCCTCGCTTTCTCCATGATCCAGCATATGTTGGCAATTTGATCTCTAGTTCCTCTCCCTCTTCGAAATCCTGCCTGTACTTCTGGTAGTTCTCGGTCCACACACTGCTGGAGCCTAGCTTGCAGGATTTTGAGCATCACTTTGCTAGCGTGTGAAGTGAGTGCAATGGTGCTGTAGTTTGAACATTCTTTGGCATTGCCCTTCTTTGGGATGGGAATGTAAACTGACCTTTTCCAATCCTGTGGTCACTGCTGAGTTTTCCAAATTTGCTAGCAAATTGAGTGTAGCACTTTTACTGCATAGTCATTTACGATTTTGAATAGCTCAGCTGGAATACTGTCACCTCCACTAGCTTTGTTGTTGCTCTGACTTCCTAAGACCCATTTGACTTCACATTCCAGGATGTCTGGCTCGAGGTCAGTGACCACCCCATCGTGGTTATCAGGGATGTTAAACTCTTTCTTGTGTAGTTCTTCTGTGTAATCTTGCCACCTCTTCTTAATCTCTTCTGCCTCTGTTAGGTCCCTGCCATTTTGGTCCTTTATCATGTCCATCTTTGCATGAAATGTTCCCTTCATATCTCCAATTTTCTTGAAGAGATCTCTGGTCCTCCCTATTCTATTGTTTTCTTCTGTTTCTTTGCACTGTTCATTTAAGGAAGCATTCTTATCTCTTCTAGCTATTCTCTGGAATTCTGCATTCAATTGGGTGTATCTTTCCCTTTCTCCCTTGCCTTTGCTTCCCTTCTTTCCTCAGCTATTTGTAAAGCTTCCTCAGACAGCCATTTTGCTTTCTTGCATTTCTTTTCCATTTCTTTTTGCGTTTCAGAGAAATATAGTCACTTGTAAATTAAAAGAAAATAATAGAATACCTCAATGGTCGAAGCTTCCAGGGTTGAGGACAAAGTGTATGCCAGTGCAAGAGTTAATTCATCTCATTGTCCAGGGAGGGAACTTTTGGGTTCTTGAATCTCCAAAGCAGGAATTTCTGAGTGTATTGCGGCCTTTGGTCTAGGCAGCAGGCCTGTCCCTCATCACATCTATGCAAAAATCTGGGCTTTCCCCGTGGTTTTCTGTTGGCAGCTCATGCTTCCTCTCCTGGGGTCTGAAGGGACCAGATGCTTGGCAGAGTGTGTGAACCTATCGATTTAGTCTATGTTTGAGCTCAGCGGAGAAATGGAATATGATAGTGTCTGTTGAGAAAGGGGGAAAGGACCAGAGAGCAGGCTGATAGTAGCTGAGGCACAAAATGTTAGGCAGTCAGGAGAGGATTTATCCTCCCTCTGCCCCCCCCCCCCACACAGCATATATTTATGTAACTCGGATCAGTTCACAGAAATTCTGTTCCCAGGGCAGCTAACAAGGTAGTAAGAAGCAATAAAAGCAGTGTAAAGCAGAAAATAATAAACGACGAAAACATAGCACAGCAAATAATGTTGCCAACAGTCCTTCCAAACAGAGGAATCAAAATGCTACCACACGCCTCTCTCGAGGAAACGCCAGGAAGACTGGACGTTCCGACAGTGAGCCAGCAGCTGCGGGGAGATGCGTGCAGGCAGTGCTTGCCTTCCCTCCCCACTCCATGCATCTTCCGTGCAGGCCTCACTTGCGAGACCCGTGTTCACTTGGGCTCAGGCAGTCGAAACCAGATGAAGCCTGGTCTGTTGACTGAGTGCGGATGTTTGCACGTGGCGTGGACTGCAGCTGAAAGGTGTCCCCTCATTTGCCCTGTGAAATTGGCGGTGGCTGCTTGGATATTGTTTAGTATTGAATAAATTTTGAGGTGCAGCGAGAAAAACAATTATGGCAACTGCTTATTAGAAGGCAAGATAATAAAATTTAACAATTCAAATGCAATTAGCTGACTTCTGGGAAAATAATTTGACATTCGCAACTTTCCTGTTTGCTTCTTTATTGTGTAAGGAATGATTAAAGGTAACTAATGTTGACTTGCAAAACAGATACTGTGTGCAAATGGTCAGTGATTATAATTTGGGGTTTGGTGCTGGGCATAGAAATACCAAAGGGACAAGCAATTCCTGTTGTGGGGTAAATAGTAAAACATTTCTGATTCTGAAAACAAAATGCTGGCTGTAGGAATTTATAGGGGAAAAGTCGATGCTGTTGAGGGCAGCTTTCTTCAGAGTTGCAGGGACCCAGAGTAGAGCTTGCGAGGTAAGCCCTGCAGGCAGCTACAGAA